ACAAAATAATAGAAAATGCAGTAGATTTTCTGAAAAAGATTGATCCTCATCTCTGTCCTACAGGCCTACACTATGCAGTATTCACCTATATTAAAAGTCACCAAGTCCAATTGCAAAGTCCAACTTTCCAAGTCCAATTGGAAACTCGTCTCCCTATATCTCACAATTTTACAATATATCCTTGGTTTATCTTTCCCTCTCTCTCTCTCTCTCTTCTCTATAGCCATCACTTATCGACTCCTGGACGAACGCCTCTTTCATATATTTCCATGTTTCTTTATCCTGGGTCACCTCAAGTCATCTGCTCCTCGCAATTCTCTTTATGTCATGTATCCATCTTCTTGGGGTCTGCCCGTACTGCGATTTGTCATTCTTGGCTGCCAGCATGACACCTTCGCTGTTTATATAGCGTGGTCTTGTCTTGGCCACTTCAACTCCACGACTATTTCCTTATAGTATCCTTATAAGATGATACCAGGCATAACTCGATCTTGTGCTCTCTGCATGACCTTCAACTGATTTACCCATCATCGCCATGTTTCCAGTCTATAGATCTCCACAGGTTTATTGGTATGTCGCCGTTTCTCAGTATGTGTTTCAATTTACCAAAGTTGTATTCTGCACTTTATCTCAGCTGTCCGATTTCTTTTGCCCATTCTGATGGCTTGTATATAAATACATTCCTCTACGCTTTCCACTAATTTCAGATACCAAGTTGAAGAGTTTTGAGGAACTACTGTCTCCTTGGCGCATGCCTTTTTTAACATTAAGTTTATTGGTTACTAGATCTTCGTTTATTTTGACTTGAAGTGTAGCGTTTGCGTTTTAATGTTTAGTTGTATTATGGCATGTGTCTGGAATCTTACCATTATTATAAGGTACTTGTTAAGAAGTATGCGCAGTAAATACATTCCTCTACGCTTTCTACTAATTCCTCGTCTTTGGTGATATTTTCACCACTGTTGCTGATTGTTCTGGTTTTGCTAAAGATCATCTTTAGGCCCACTCCTCTGGTTGCTATATTTTTATGTTAGCATATTTGACAGTTCTTGAATATAGCTGATCATTATAACTGATGTTTTGGTTTCTCATGATAGTGACTTGAAAATGTTTTCAAATACCAAGTTGAAGAGTTTCAAGGAAATCTGTCTCCTTGGCGTATGCCTTTCTTAACATGAAGTTTATTGGTTACTAGATCTTCGTTTGTTTTGACTTGAAGTGTAGCGTTTGCGTTTTAACGTTTAGTTATATTATGCCATGTGTCTGGAATCTTACCATTGTTAAGGTACTTGTTAAGAAGTATGCTCAGTACCTCTTCTACCATTGTTCCCCCTTTTTTGTTTTTTGCTTTTTTTGCAGCGCAGTTTAGTTATTTGCGGTATATCCTTTGACAGAAAGTTGCACGATCAGATAAAAAACAGATATCATCGTTCTATTATATCAGCAGATAAAGGGAATAGTTTTAGTGCAAGTCTTCGACTTATAACATCCCCGTAACTGTCAAAATCTCCATCCTCACCAAATCTAATAAGAACCCAACCTAAGCAACAATGATCATCAAATTTTCAAGATTGAGACTACTAGCACAGAACTACTTGTAAAAAAATATTATTTTCATTCTGAGGCTATAACCTAATACCCTTTTCGAAATCCTAGGCATATGGATTTCTGGTGGCAGCATTTTGATTGCTAAAATTAGCTTACATTTTGATAATCTTGCAAATGTAGACACACAAATTGATTACACACTGGGTTGCGTTCTAAGAGAGTTGCTCGATGATATAGATTTTGGTAAATAACTTAAAATAATTCTTTTTGTGATATCTTTCGTCATATCCTAGAATTATAAATTGTATATTATCTTTAATTCTGTCTTGGCACTAAATTTGAATAATTTATAAAACGGTTCTCGTCGTAGTAAATTCCACAACGATTAAAAAAAAATCATAAAAATACAAATTCTTTTTCTTTTCATCATAACCTGTCTGCCAATCCTTGTATTTTCTTAATATTTTTCGAGACGTTTTTCAAATCGACCTCGGCCTCAAACCGAATATAAATATTCTCCCGTCTAGCGCGATTTGACGCTGGCAACAAATCGAGCGTCGCGACGGTAGGATGCGTCAGGACGGCACAGACAGATTCTCGAAACGTTGGCGGAAAAGCCAAAGTGGGAGGTCCCAAGTTCCAGCCGGTGATTTTCCGTTTAATACGGAAAATATTTTCGTTCGGTCGGGAAGCGGGTGGAGATTATATTTTTGGAAATCGCCGATAAGTAAAATTAACGCGCGCCGTTCGGTGGGTGTTGAAACTCGCGGATTTATTTTAAACTCTATTTTATTTTTGGATTGTACCGCCTCTCGTAGTTCATATTGTTACTACGTAATATTTTCTAGGAACGAAAACGTCTATTTTGACGCCACATTTTTTCGTCTTTTTGTTTTCTCGTCAATAAGATAAGGAATGTTTATAAGAAATTTTCGTCTGGGTGTATTTGTTCTATGTAATCATCGTTTAGTAGTGTTCTACGAATCTATTATTTAATTATCATATTTGCATCATTTAGTTAGTAGAAATTACAAAATGGCCTATACCACTAAACTAAAATCTGAATAAATAATAATAAATTATAATACATTTGCGTATGATCAGAGAAAAAACAGATATTATCGTTATTCCAGCATATAAAATAGTTCTAGATCTAGTGTTAGTGCTGTTACATTAGCACTGTTACTATGTAGAACTAACACTATACCTAGAACTAGAATAATTTGGGTTTAGCCGCATGTCTCTAAAGACGGCTAAACCCGAATGATTCTAGTTCTGGGTATAGTGTTAGTTCTAGTTTTACACTTGCACTGTCACTAGAACTAACGCTAGACCTGGAACTAGACTTTTACTATATAATTTAATATACGTACTTTTCTAATACGTATTTTTAACCTATATTCATTAGAAATATACAATAATCTAGCGCTGAATAACAATTAAAACTAGAACTAACACTAGAAATAGAATTAGAAACATTCGGGTTTAGCTGTACGTCTTTTAAGATGGCTAACCCTGAAGAAAAGTAGATACTGCTGGCAGAAGACTTGCTACTATTGGCAAAATATTTGATATTGCTAATTCAAGAACAAATACTGCTGGCAAAAGACTTGATACTGTTTATAGAAGATGAGACATTGTTAATTCAAGGCTAGATACTATTGGCAGAAGGCTTGATACTATTTGTAGAATATTACAGATTGTTAATTCAAGGCCAAATACGGCTGGCAGAAAATTAGACATTGTTAATTCAAGACCACTTCAAGACCATTCATTCAGTCTTCAGACGCATGGCTATACCCGAATGTTTCTAGTTCTAGGACTAGTGTTAGTTTTAGTTTTACACTAGTACTGTTACTGTGTAGAACTAACACTATATCTAGAACTAGAATCATTTGGGTTCAGCCGCATGTCTCTTAAGACGGCTAAACCCGAATGATTCTAGTTCTAGGTATAGTGTTGGTTCTAGTTTTACTCTTGCACTGTATCTAGAGCTAACACTAGATGGGTTTAACCGTCTTAAGAGACGTTCAGCTAAACCCGAATGTTTCTACTTCTAGGTCTAGTGTTAGTTCTAGTTTTAATTGTTATTCATCACTAGATTGTTGTATATGTTTATTGAACTAAAACTAGGACTAACACTAGACCTAGAACTAGAAACATTTGTGTTTAGCCGTCCTGAAAGACGCACTAAACACATAACTATAAAGCTTCTGGTTTATTAACTTGTAAAATTTGCATCAATTCTTCATCAACCTTGTATCAAGACAACTCCGCCTAATCCCAACATTATCTCTTCATTAACTTTCAACCATGTTCTATCAACTGCATTAAGATAACATCATACCTCTATCGGATCTTTACGATTATATAAAATCTTCTTACAGATCTTATTAAATTTGCATCAAATCTGTAAAATTTGCATCAAATGTCTATTATGTTCTTGATTTGTCAGATGCAGTAAATCTGCCTCAAATATAATAGTAGATTTGAAAATCTCTATCATACCATGAAAGGATTTCATATAAAATCTACATTTTCTCTGTATCAGTTATAACCATGTTTCAATCAAGGCAAGTCTGCATCAAGACTTAATTATATCTTAGTTCTTATTAAGTATCTAATCTTCAATTAATAATGTCTAGTATTTGGAAAATAATGTCTGGTCTACTAAAAATCTCTCTCTCTTTTTGGTGGCATTAGAAGGACCCTTGTTGGGCCCTGGCCTCCATCAATTTTTGCCTCCAGTCATCTTCCTTCGTTGCCACCCTTTTCCAATTTCTCACGCTCCGTCAACAGTATCTAGTCTCTTATTAGCAGTATGTGGTCTTTCATTAGCGATATCAAGTCTTCTGCAAATAGTGTATTGCTTTCCATTAGCAATATCTAATCTTCAACAAATAGTATCAAGTCTTCTGCCAGCAGTATTTGGTCTTGAATTAACAATGTCTAGTCTTTTGCAAATAGTACCAAGTCTTTTGCCAGTAGCATTTGGTGTTCTGCAAATTGTATCAAGTTTTCTGCCAGAAATGTGTGGTCTTACATTGTGGTTTAGCAGAGAGAGTTAACTTTCTATTTCTACGTTTCGTGTTAGTTCTAGTGATATTGTTAAGTTAATTCTATTTTTAATAATAATAATTGTTTCGGTGATAATGGCAAAAAAAAAATCATATTACTTTAATTAATGAAATGCATGAAATATTTAACACCAATACTCTTAAATTAACTCTTTCTGACGTAATAACAATTTTTTTCAGTTTAAAATTGTCTCATTTATTTTCGGTTGTCGTCCCACGCATAAATTTTTGCATGTTTTATTGTACTTTGCACGCTTCTGTAATATTTTAATATTCAACAAGGGTCACGTTTTACGATACTGACACGTGGTGTGTGGTTTAAAACGCTGCAGCGATTAAAATCGGAATAATATTTTGATTTTTCCTTCTGTAAAGGAATTCCGTGACAGCCCCGTGGCGGCTTCCGTCGCCAGCAATTTGGACCACGGGCACTCGAATCCCATCGCCAACAGCGAGTTCACCATTTTCACTCCGATTTCCCCCGCGCACCACAATAATAACGTATTTCTTGCCAATCAAAGGATTGTAGTAAGCACCAAAAACACTATTTTATAGAGTTTCTTTTTTTTTTTAATTTATTTTTATCAATTTTTTTTAAAAGATCTTTTTGGTGGAGATTTTTGTTATCGTTAGCCAAAAAGCTTTTGTGTTGTCTTTTTTAATCTTGATTTTCGACACCACATTGTTCTTTAAAACTTGATATTTTAAAGTTTATTCCGTTACAGAATCGCACTCCGGATGATTTTAAGTACGGTGACATCGAAGTGTCGTCGTGGTTTGGTAAGATGTTTTTTCTTATGGTTTGCGAAAAAGGATTTAGAATTTTACTTTGCTTCTTGACAGATGGTTCGGAGAAAGATTTTCCCAGGACACGACTGAAATACATCCGGGAGTTGGGAAAAGGGTGGTTTGGACGGGTAAGAAATGTCTTATTTATAGTAAAACCTCGATATAAGGGATTAATATGGAGAAGAAAGTGTCTCCATTATAGAATAGTACTAATACTAATAATATAGCATAACAATTAAAACTAGAACTGTTACTTTCTAGAACTAACATTAGACCTAGAACTAGAGTCATTTGGGTTTAGCCGCACGTCTCTAAAGACTGCTAAACCCGAATGATTCTAGTTCTAGTGTTAGTTCTAGTGATAGTGTAAAACTAGAACTAACTAGTTTTATAATTGCACTGTCACCAGAACTAACATTAGACCTAAACTAAAAACATTTGGGTTGGGTTGGGACATCTCTAGAGATGGCTAAACCCGAATGATTGTAGTTTTAGGTCTAGTGTTAGTTCTAGCATTAGTTCAATAAAAATATACAAGAACCTGACGCTGAATAAAAACCAAAACTTGAACTAACACTAAACCTTGAACTAGAAAGTTTTCTCTCTCTGCTAAATCCGAATGTAAGACTTACTGGCAGAAAACTGTATACTATTTGCAGAAAACTAGACATGGTTAATTCAAGATTCGGGTTTAGCTGTACGTCTCTTAAGATGGCTAATCCCGAAGAAAACCAGACACTGCTGGCAGAAGACTTGCTACTATTAGCAAAATATTTGATATTGCTAATTCAAGAGTAGATACTGTTTGCAGAAGACTAGATACTATTTGCAGAAGATTAGACATTGCTAATTTAAGACCATATACTACTTACAAACGACTTGATACTATTTGTAGAAGACTAGACAATATTACTTCAAGACTAAATACTACTAGCAGAAGACTTGGTACTATTTACAGAAGATTAGACATTGCTAATCTGGAGACTCACGGCTAAACCCGAATGTTTCTAGTTCTTGGTCTAGTGTTAGTTCTAGTTTTACACTTGCACGGTCACTAGAACTAACATTAGACCTAGAACTAGAAACATTTGGGTTTAGCCGTACGTCTCTTAAGACGGCTAAACCCGAATGATTCTAGTTCTTGGTCTAGCGCTGCATAGCAATTAACACTATCACTAACACTAGACGTCTGAAGACGCACGGCTAAACCCGAATGTTTCTAGTTCTAGGTCTAGTGTTAGTTATAGTTTTACACTAGCACTGTTACTTTGTAGAACTAACACTATACCTAGAACTAGAATCATTTGGGTTTAGCCGCACGTCTCTAAAGACGGCTAAACCCGAATGATTCTAGTTCTAGGTATAGTGTTAGTTCTAGTTTTACACTTACACTGCCATTAGAACTAACATTAGACCTAGAACTAGAAACATTTGGGTTTAGCCGCACATCTCTAGAGATGGCTAAACCCGAATGATTCTGGTTCTAGGTCTAGTGTTAATTCTAGCTTTAGTTCAATAAAAATTTACAAGAACCTGACGCTGAATAAAAACCAAAACTTGAACTAACACTAAACCTTGAACTAGAAAGTTTTCTCTCTCTGCTAAATCCGAATGTAAGACTTACTGGCAGAAAACTGTATACTATTTGCAGAAAATTAGACATGGTTGATTCAAGATTCGTGTTTAGCTGTATGTCTCTTAAGATGGCTAATCCCGAAGAAAACCAGACTCTGCTGGCAGAAGACTTGCTACTATTGCCAAATATTTGATATTGCTAATTTAAGAGTAGATACTGTTTGCAGAAGACTAGATATTATTTGCAGAAGATTAGACATTGCTAATTCAAAACCATATACTACTTACAAACGACTTGATACTTTTTGTAGAAAACTAGACAATATTACTTTAAGACCAAGTACTACTGACAGAAGACTTAGTACTATTTACAGAAGATTAGACATTACCACGTACTGCTAGTGCGAAACTAGACCTGTTGACAGAGGGTGAAAAACTGGAAAAGGATGATAACAGAGAAGAACGAATGGATACGGAAATTGAGCGAGGAGAAGGCTTCAACAAGAATGCCACAGAAAAGAGGCGCACGGCTAAACCCGACTGTTGCTAGATCTAGTGTTTTAGTTCAATGAAAAATATACAGGGTAATTCAAATTCGACCCCCACCATTGGGATCTCAGAAACCATAAGAGATACAGAAATGGTTAAATGGGGCAAAAGTTGCGTATCTTAGAGCTCATCATCTTTCAACTAAGTTTGTGGATCTAGCCGTTTTAGTTTTTAAAATATGGCCGAAAAACTTCGCCTATAACTTCTTTATTTTTCGTTTTTTCGTGAATCTGAAAAAACCTTCTTAAGGCAACTCTTTATGACAAATGTCATGACACAACTAGAAATTTTCTTCGACGTTTCGTTTTCATGAAACTATCATCAGGTTTATTTTTTCTTATGAACGCCATATTTGATTTTTACACCAAAAAATAGCATAATTAATTCTGATTTCAATGATATGTCACACAATGTATTTCATTTAAAAAAACATTGAATTATTCAAAAAAAAGAATAAACCTGATCATAGTTTCACAAAAACGAAACGTCGAAGGAAATTTCTGGTTGTGCCATGACATTTTTCATAAAAAGTTGCCTTAAGAAAGTTTTTTCAGATTCACGAAAAAACGAAAAATAAAGAAGTTATAGGCAAAAAACGAAAAAGTTATTTTTTTGTTTTTCGGCCATATTTTAAAAACTAAAACGGCTAGATCCAAAAACTTAGTTGAAAAATGATGAGCTCTAAGATACACAATTTTTCCCTCATTTAACCATTTCTGTATCTCTTATAGTTTCTGAGGTCCCAATGGTGGGGGTTGAATTTGAATTACCCTGTACAACAACTAACGCTGAATAACAAGTAAAACTAACACTAGAACTTTTATCCGTTTTATCGAGCTTTTATTGTATTTTTTTATGGACTTATTACTTAATATTTTTTATTTGAAGGTTGTGGAAGGAACGGCTCAAGGCCTAAATCAAGATCCTAGTGAACCGGAATGGACGCCGGTGGTTGTAAGAATTCTGAACGCGTCTGCCACCCCCAAAGGACGCGTTATGTTCCTTCACGACGTCGATGTATATAGACACGGATACCATCCTAACATCCTAAGACTCTGGGGAAGGTGTCTAGACACCACCCCATTACTTCTTCTCCAAGAATATTGCACAGAAGTACATAATTGATGAAATCAAAAATTTAAAATTCCTGTTTTGTTTTTATTTCTTATTTGTCCAGGGAGATTTAAAAAAGTACCTGAGATCCATGAAGCCAACAAAGGAAAAATTCCTCTCAACGGACCTGCCATTGCTTTGGTGTTACCAGCTGACGCAGGCCCTGAAATTCCTGCACGAGCAAAAAGTTCCCCACCCGTGAGTATAACACCAGGTGTTATCCTTTAAAAGGACTTTCCACCTGTTGAAAGTTTCCTTTCGTTATTTCCCTTTTTCTTCGTTTTATAGGGATTTAGCTTCCAGAAATTGTCAACTAACGAAAGACCTGACGTTAAAACTCGGCGATTACGGCCTAAATTCCTCTTTTTACCCGGAGGATTATTACGACATGACGTTAACGATACCATTAAGATGGTGTGCCCCGGAGATCATTTCTTACACTAATACAACTATCCAAACTAAAAAGGTAAGCGAATTTGAAAACTAACAGATTCAATTTAAATTTAAAAGTGCTAATAAAAGCGATCGTTTTATTTAAATGGACGTTTGTGATGTTTAATGGTAATAGTTTCGTGAAATTCTAATACAAGGAAATAGTATAATTCTCGTAGAAGTTTAGTTTAACGGGTCGGAGTCGACGTTGAGTTTCCGCTTTGCGGTACTGCAATCGGTTAAATTAGTTGCGGCTGTCAAAAGTTGCCCGGTTATGTAAATCTGGACGGGAATCGCATCCACGAGTCCCGTTCCAGTCGGGTCGTTGGCTCGAAACCTCGCCTGGAACGGCACGACTCCGAACCCGACGCGATACACAACGAATCCATAATCCACGCGGAACAGCCGCAGTAACTTCGGAAATTGGGAATGCAGCCGGTGTGGATATTGGATTTTGGACAATTTTTACGATCCGCCGCGCTTGAATTCGTTATTACTATATTTGCCCCAATTGGCTTAAAATTTAAATCGAATAACCAGGATTTAATAACATCAAAAAATTAATATTAAGTAATTAATTGATAAAATTAAAATGGATTTGATTCAATTTTGCTTCCAAGTTGAAAAATGTTTTGTAATGAGTAAAATATTTATGAAAATTATATTTTGGGGTACGAATTCTATAACGATTCCAATTGGCATCAATGCGACATTTTGGGGCAGCTGGGGAAGCCAAAAACATTATTCTTTCTTATAACTCACTATTCATTCTAAGAATGTGTTATTTCATAAAGTTCTTATTCATAAAGTTATTAACTTAATGTTCTAAGTAGTCTAAGTAGTTCTAAGTTGTCGAAATTTAATAAAATATATTTTACTACCTTAATATACTATAGTTAATTATAACAAGGTAGGGATGTTTTATCTTTGTCAAAAGATTGCCGAGGTCGTTTGCGGCCGAGGCTCTGGAATTTCTTGATTAACGAAATATTACTACAATTTTAGTAGAATTCTAGTACAATTCTAGCTACAATTTCTAGTGTTAAATGCATAGTAGCCAAGGTCGCTTGCGGCCGAGGCACAACAATCAACTCTGGTGAAGCGATATAGCTGTGGGGGTGCAATGTACAGCGTTAAAGAGATGATCACCAAGGTCGCTTGCGGCCAAGGCCCTGGAATCTACTTCATTAACGAGATATTAATAGAGACGCTATAATTTACAGTGCTAAGAGGTAGTAGCCGAGGTCGCTTGCGGCCGAGGCACAATAATCAACTTTATTGAACCGATATTGGCTTAGTTGTTGCAATGTATATCGTTAAAGAAATGGTGGTCGAGGTCGCTTGCGGCCGAGGCCCTGGAATTTACTCCATTGACGAAATATTAATAGACACGCTATAATTTACAGTGTGAAGAGGTGGTGGCCCAGGTTGCTTGCAGCCGAGGCACAACAATCAAATATATTGAAGCGATATTAGCTGAGAGGTTGCCATGTACATCGTTAAAGAGATAAGGTTAACAAAATAATCAACGTTATTGAACCGATATTGACTTAAATGTTGCAATGTATACCGCTAAAGAAATGGTGGCCGAGGTCGCTTGCGGCCGAGGCCCTAGAATTTACTTCATTAACGAAATATTAATAGAGATGGTACCATTTACAATGTTAAAAGACAGTAGCCAAGGTTGCTTGCGACCGACGAATAACAAACAATTTTATTAAAGCGACATTAGGAAGAGATTACAATATACAGTCTTAAAAATAATGGCCGAGGCCGTGGAATCTACTTCAATAACGAGAAATTAATAGAGATGCTATAATTTACAGTATGAAGAGGTAGTGGCCGAGGTTACTTGCAGCCGAGGCACAACAATCAAATATATTGAAGCGATATTAGCTGAGAGGTTGCTATGTACATCGTTAAAGAGATATGGTTGCCGCGGTCGTTTGCGGCCGAGGCTCTGGAATTTAATTCATGAACGAGATATTAATAGAGACGCTATAACTTACAGTGATAAGAGGTAGTAGCCGAGGTCGCTTGCGGCCGAGGCACAATAATCAACTTTATTGAACCGATATTGGCTTAGATGTTGCAATGTATAGCGCTAAAGAAATGGTGGCCGAGGTCGCTTGCGACCGAGTCCCTGGAATTTACTCCATTAACGAAATATTAATGGAGATGCTATCATTTACAGTGTTAAAAGACAGTAGCCAAGGTTGCTTGCGACCGAGGAATAACAAACAATTTTATTAAAGCGATATTAGCAAGAGATTACAATATACAGCCTGATTCAGAGTAAGCGCCTTATTTTCTTTTAGCCACACTATGGGTACTACTTTGAAAAGTTGACAGTCGCCATTTTGAAATAATTCGTCCAATTGAAAATGTGGTATCACCATCGTGTAGAGAATATCCTAAAACATATTACTGCTAAATATTTTGAAAGTAGTACCTATAGTGTGGCTAACAAGAAATAAGGCGCTTACTCTGAATCAGGCTGTAGAGTCTTAAAAAATAATGGCCGAGGCCGTGGAATCTACTTCAATAACGAGAAATTAATAGAGACGCTATAATTTACAGTGTGAAGAGGTGGTGGCCGAGGTTGCTTGCAGCCGAGGCACAATAATCAAATACAGGGTTATTCTCAACCTACACGCATAAACTTGGGGATTTATTTCTCATGACAAATAATGACTTGTACTTAAAATTGTAGTAAAAGTTTTTAGTTTCCTAGATATCCAATATATGCGGTGACATGTAGATAAGGGGCTTCCCGGACGATGAATAGATTTAGCTAGTCCATTAGTCTGACCATCTCGATCGCCCAATCTTAATTCTCTTGATTTTTATTTCCCGGAAGATGAATAGATAGAGGTAGTCCATTAGTCTGGCCATCTCGATCGCCCAACCTCAACTTTCTTGTTGAAATTAATACTAAGCAAGAATTGCGAAATCGGATACATGCTGCTGCCAGTTTAGGCCGCGCTATAGATAATGTGGGAAATAACTTCTAACACTTGCTGTGATGTCATTTTGATATCTAGGAAACTAAAAAACTTTGCTACAATGTTTTTCATTTATTAGTCATTTAGGAATAAATCCTCAAGTTTATGAGTATATGTTGAGAATCACCCTGTATATTGGAGCGATATTAGCTGAGACGTTGCAATGTACATCGTTAAAGAGACATGGTTGCCGAGGTCGCTTGCGGCTGAGGCCCTGGAATCTACTCTATTAACATGTTATTAATGGAAACACTATAGTTTACAGTGTCAGTAGCCGAGTCCCATTGCAGCCGTGGCACAGCAATTAACTTTATTGAAGCGATATTACCAGGAGGTTACAATGTACAGTGTTAAAGAGATGGTGGTCGAGGTCGCTTGCGGCCGAGCCTCTGGAATTTAATTCATTAACGAGATATTCATGAAAGCGCTCTAATTTGCAATGTTAAAGAGACAGCAACCAAGATCACTTGTGGTCGAGGCACTACAATCAACTATTTTGAAGCGAGATTAGCTTTGAGAATGCAGTGTACATCTGCACGTGTACATATAAAGATATTACGTTTTAGTTTACAGTGTTAAGGAAGTAGTAGCTTACAGCTTGGAAAATCTATCTTGGTCGGTCAGTTGCGCAGAAGAAGTGCTACAGTAAATCCTTCAAGTGAGATAGGTTCTACAAATCTTGTAATATTAATTACAGCTTCGTAGAGATAGTAACATAAATTTAAGCCATATTAGTGACTTTTACTTTTGTATATTTGTGATAACTGTCTATTCAAATTATGTTTGTATTATGCTATAAAGGCAATTGCCGTTAAACATAGATGCAGGTAGTCAGTTTTTAAGAAATTTAAGGATTTTTTGCTATGTTATAAACTCCTCTTCTGTTTTCAATAATCAATTACTATATGTATAAACAATTAATTCTAATAATAAGCCCCTATTGCCATATTTTTATCTTCTTTCCATCGAAATTTTTGTAATATATGCACACAAACATTTTCGTTGAGCACTGTATACAATCTTCATTTTGTGAAATATAACAAAGAAATGAAGCTCACGTGCCATCAAGGGATAATAAGTGAAATTATTTGCTACCTAGATAGTACAATTCAATTGGCGAGGTCTAAATTTGAAGCTAGATAAGAGAAATAAATAAATTAAAAATATACAGTGCGTTTCAAAAGTAACGGACAAATTCGATAAAATCATTACAAACAATTTATGAAAAAATCGCTGAAACGGGTCTAAAGATTTAATTTTTTTCAATTTTGGGTGTATATTTTAAATTTTTTTCCCCATTTTTAAACGAGTTATGACGTCATCGAAGTTTTTTTTAAATGGAACATTCCATTTTTTATACCGGAATTTGAAAGAGGATTTTTTTCTGAATTATGTACAAAAAATATTAATATCGGTTAATTTTCGAGAAAAATTAATTTAAAGTTTCATTATTTCCCATTCATTTCATATAGAAAATAGCAGTAGTGCGTAACCATGGCAACCAATTGTTTTGATTTGACATTTCCAAGTGTCAAAATTCGATTTGAAACAGTGTATTATGCGTTAATGAGATTATTTTAAGTAGTATTGTGGAGTTTCTTGTGTTAATTGTTGTTATTCGTTGTTATTTGTTGCTATTCATCGCTATTCGTTCTTATTTTTTTGTTGTTACTAAAAAATTAAAATTTTTAGACCCGTTTCAGCGATTTTCTCCCAAATTGTTTATAATAATTTTAATGAATTTATCCGTTACTTTTGAAACGTACTGTATATTAAAAAAGTTTCAATGAACTAACAGAAGTGGCCTACACTAAACTTTTTCACGTGTTATATATTTAAAGGAATATTTAGATTGTGGGCGATTCTGAGAGGGACGATTTCGTCTCAATGAGATAAAAACGTTTTATGTGTAAAAACTCATCACTGATAATTATGTACTTCTCCAAATGCCTTAAACGTGACAATTTCCAGTATTCATCAATAAATAACCAGAAAAAGAATTAATTTTGAATTAGTTAACCTTATCTTTGATACTATTGTGTGGTGGTAGACCATAAACTACATTATTTTGTATTGAATCTTTAAAGTTATTAAACAAGTAACAGTTCCCCTTTACAAATAAAACCATCGCAGCGAGATATTTTTATCTTGGCAAAATTTTAAACGCTAAGAAGTGGCTGATTAAACACTTCGTTAACTTAATTTGAAAATTAAATATGATCGGAATAATTTAGCGATTAAACTTTTACTTCATCTTTCCCAATACTTTTATATAACTTAATAATAAAGTTATCTTATGATGATGAATTAATTATTTTTAATATTTTATTTAATTAGATCACATTGGAAGGAAATATATGGTCTTTAGGTGTTACAATGTGGGAAATTTTAGAATGTGGCGATCAACCTTATTCAGATTTAAACAATGATGAAGTAATTTCCCAAGTACTAGGTTCCCCAAATGTACGGTTACCAAGGCCTACAGTTAACGTTATTTACACGGATTACATGTAAGTTATAAAATATAATTAATAATCAAAGTTAGATTAAATTGATTCATTAATTGTATTTGTTTAGGTATAAATTAATGCAATCGTGTTGGAGTACGGTGGAATCACGTCTTTCCGCAACGCACATAGATTTAATACTAAATGATCTCATGCAAGTGTACGAGCACACAAAAGTCTCGACAGAACTGAAAGATTGTTCGATACATGACTTTGATCAACGGTGGGAGGCGTTAAAGCCGAACGCTGTCGCGATGACGGATGAAACGCCTTTGATGCACGAAGAAAAGAAATCGGCTAGTTTAACGAACTTGCACGGATCGCTCGATAATTTATTACAAGATCACAATTCCGTGGATTCGTGGTTGGAGAACGTGGCTAATAATAGCGGGGATTTAGTGTACGCGAAAGGGCTGTCGGAAGCGATGATGGATTTGGATAATGTTTTGGAATTAAATTCGAATAATCCCAGTCCTAAGCCGTTGCATTTTAAAATAGGACCGAAAGTCACTACGAGCAGCGAAAGCGAGACTGAGGAAGAAAATTGGAAAAAGAAAATCGAACGAGGAGCTTACACAGAAAAGGTGCGCCAAAAATCTCGTTCGGTAGCTGATTTAATGGTTCTTACGCACGTGGATTATTCGGAATCCGATTCAGAAACGCTCCCAAGCCTTACAGAGTTTAAAAATCAAAAATCCAAATTTAAAAACATGGATAACCCAGCTTTGAAGTTCGGTAGCGAGGGTAATTTATTAAGCGTACACGACACGTTTCAGGAAGAGCTGCGAAAACTCCAAGACGAACGTAGAGATAGTTTACTCTTTGTACCTGATAAGTATAGTTATTCAGACTCGAAATCCGGCGAATCGAGTAGCAGTCGTCAATTGGACAGTTTAGAAAACTCCCCAGTGAAAAAACTTCTCGTTGAACTTAACAGTCCGGCTGAAATTATTCCAGCCAAACAAGTATACAACGTCTTTAACGTATCCGTGAAGCACTTAAACAGTTTGGTGGACAATAAAGACGATCGAGTGAATTTACAAAAAAAGACTAGCTGTGATAGCCTTAAAGAATCAAAAGATAATAAGGACGTAATCCATATCAAAAACGGCATTTCCTGTGATAACGATCACACTAAAATCCCGTCCAATCTCGACTTAAAACCGAAATCGTTGGAAAATTTAAGCGACTTTCATGTAAAAATCGAAGTGTTAAGCGATCAAAGTTCGCCCGTTGACGAAGAAATCGCATCGCAAGAAGAACTTGATCGCCCCGGAAGTAGCGATGATTACATCAAAGAAACCCGAAAATTAAACGTACCAAAATTATCAGAATTAATTCAACGAAATGATAATTTAAAACCGGACAGAGAAGATAAATTATTAACGAAATTTTCCGACAAAGATCTCATCGATAAAGATTCCGGATTGAACACTCCCGAAAATAGTGCGTCATTAGAAAAGCTTTACGATGACATTGAGGAGATTTTAGACGAGCCGTCTGTCTTAAAAAAATGTTCAAAGTGCGCGATAAGTTTTGAAGATAACGATGTTTACACCGGATCGTTCGATTCTGATAAATCAAACGATTTGAAGGTCGATTTACATAAAGATTTATGCTTATTAAAGGAGGAAATTAAAGTTTCTTCGAGCGAAGGAAGCGGATGCGAGGAAGATTCCGGCACGGGGACGAGTTCCAAAGAAACCCAATCGATCGATGACAACCTAAGTGCCAAAAGCTTAGAGGATACCCTCGACACGATTAATAACGATTATTGTTTGAGACGATCGAAAATAATTTGCGAAAGCTTTTTAGCGAACGAAAAATCGAATTATTCCCCAACAGACGAATACAGAGAGATTTGTTTCGAGACTAACACAAAATTTAAAGAGGATGTTACTAAAGATGTGCATCAAATTATTTCGGCGCATTTAATCCCCGATTTATTAACCGATTTACCCGACGTCGATAAACACTTATTAAATAAGGAGAAAAAATTAGAAACGTTAAGCGAATATTTACTAAAACCATTAATTCATATTAATTTAGACACGAAATCGCCCAATAATCTTAATTTAACAAAAACATCTCTCATTTTACCAATTATTAAATCAAATTCCCCCAATGATAAAGAATCAGAATCGGAATCTGATAGCGTGGAAAGCGTCGCTGAGTTTCTTTCCCCCGAAATTAGCCAAGCCAGCGATTTCAAAACCATATCGGAATGTTCGATTGAAAATAACGCATCACAAGCTTTAGCTGTGGATAATTCAGTACCAAATACGATGTTAGATGTTTCTTCAGATGAAATGAAAACTTTGGAGGAAGGGGATTCCTCAAAAACGCTTGGAGGTGATAGCGACGCCGATTTAAACGTTGAAGAATTTGTCGATTGCCAAACAGAAATTAATGAAGATACGAAATTAACTCAGGAGAAGCAAAGAGATATTTTAAGAAAAACCAAAGAATTTTTGTGTCAAGAATTGGTGTTTTATGATAAAGATGTTACACATATCAAAGAAAACGTTAAATGGGACGATCAAAATGTTGAAAATGAAATAAGCGACGATTTGAATGAAGTACAAAATTTTATTGGGATTGAAACTAAGTTAAAAGAAGAAATTGATGAGATCTCAAATGAGTTACTTACACAAAACTGTGATAAACAAAACGATGAAGTGAATAAAAATTTTGTTATTACAAGTTGCGAAAATACTAAATCTAATTGTGTTGATACCAAAAATAAAAATGAAAACGATAAAGAAGAAATAAAAGAAGTTGAAATAATAAATGAGTCATTAGTTGAAAAAATAGAGACTAATGATTCAATAAACCTTGATGGAAATGATATTGAAAGCTGTGATACTAAAATGGGAGATGTAGAACAAAATGATTCATCACTAAACGTTTCAATCAAAAGAAATCCAAATAATGAAAATAACGATGAATCATTTATAAATTCTAATAAAACATATCAATTCGATGTACAAGATACATCATCTCATATTGTTAAAGATGAATCTGAAAAAAATGTATTAAAACAAATTAGTACGGTCGATGTGGAAGAAATTATAATCGAAATAATAAATAAAGTACAAGATATCTCTTCATTAAACAATATTAATGAAACATCACCACAAAATAATAAATCACTTCAAGAAGAAAATGAAAACACAAAACAAATTAATTTTGATTTAACCAAAGAAGAATTAAATTTCAATGAAACGATTGTAAATAAAACAAAAGATTTTTTAAATAATGAAATTAAATCGTATATTGAAACTCCCCAAGAACGATTAAAAGTCCAATTTGATTTGAGTGATTCCCAAGAAGAAATAGCACCAAGTTCTTTAACTCATTTTCAAGGATTTTCAAGTACGCCATACTCAAAAAAGCGAAAACCTTTAGAATCAACGATACTGGATAATGACGATTACTCCATCGATTTTTATTCGACGAGTATCAAAGAAACCGGATCAATTAAAGGGGAAGATTTGAAATTTTCATCAAATTTTATACAAGAACCGCGTGAAACGAATAATAGCGATTTGTATTCTTTGGAAACGTGGGATAATTTTTTGGGGAAAAGTTTTGATGAACAAGAGAATGATATTGATTTTATTACTTTTAATCAAGAACCGCATAGTCTGTTGTTTTTGGAAAATAATAATGAGGGGCTTGATGAGAAATTGGATAAAAAGAATAATTTGCAAGTTAGTCATGTTCTTAATGAAACTTATGTACCTGATACCAAAAACGAAGACCAAACTTTTAATAAAGATGTTCCATTAAATAAAACATACGATGAAAGTAAAATTGGAGATGGTACTTTTGTTGTAAATAATGATACTTTTGTTAAAGATGGTAATGGAACTTTTATTAAAGAAGAAACGGAAAGTGAAATGATTAAACCCAGTACAAGTAGTAAGTATTTTTTTTTAAATATTAGTAGAGAACTTAAATACCAGGAATTTTATATAACTTGCAATATATGAATGTAGTAACCATACATACGAAATTACTATGAACTGACACTGTTCCATATAAAATGTAACATATAGTTCATTTTTTTTCTATAACATCTGTCAAATTGTTGTAAAGTTGGCAAAACTAACAGGGAGTTTTGTTATATGATGTTTCGAAATAAATGTCACACTGACGTTTAATCTTTCGTTATTCAAAAGAAAACGTGCATAAAAAAATGTTGTGGGGTGTGTATTTGGCATTTATTTACCTACAAAAAGTGTTTTGTTCTATTTAATTACTATGTAGCACCTTTTTACAATAAATATGTACTTGGTTAAAATTGTATTTATCTAAAAATTTATTAGTATTTTAACCTCAATTATTTAGTTACTGAAAATGTTACTAAAAATCAGGAAAACAACATAAATTTTATAAGGGTCCTAGATAATACCAACAGAAACCCTAAAAAATTTACATTGACAAGTATTATAGAAAAAAAAACGAACTATAGCTTAATAGTACAGGCATTAGGTAGTTTTACAAAAGAAAAATTTTGCTTGGAAAAGGTGACGTCCTTAAGATAATCCTGAGTTTTCAGCCGTCTTAAAAGACGCATGGCTAAACCCTAAACTTTCTAGTTCTAGGTCTAGTGTTAGTTCTAGTTTTACACTAGCACTGTTACTATGTAGAACTAACACTATACCCAGAACTAGAATCATTTGGGTTTAGCCACACATCTCTAAAGACGGCTAAACCCGAATGATTCTAGTTCTAGGTATAATGTTAGTTCTAGTTTTACACTTGCACTGTCACTAGAACTACCGCTAGACCTAGAACTAGAAACATTCGGATTTAGTCATACGTCTCTTAAGACAGCTAAACCCAAACAATTCTAGTTTTACTATATAATTTAATATACATACTTTTCTTAATACCTTTTAACTACTTCAATAGAAATACATATACAATAATCTAGCGCTGAATAACAATTAAATCTAGAACTAACACCATACCTAGAACTAGAGTCATTTGGGTTTAGCCGCACGTCTCTAAAGACGGCTAAACCCGAATGATTCTAGTTCTAGGTATAGAGTTTTACACTTGCACTGTCAAGAGAACTAACGCTAGATCTAGAACTATAAACATTCGGATTTAGCCATACGTCTCTAAAGACGGCTAAACCCGAATGATTCTAGTTCTAGGTATAGTGTTAGTTCTAGTTTTACAATTGCACTGTCACTAGAACTAACGCTATACAGGATGTACTATACAGGGTGTACTATACAGCTGTGTCAAATGTCTGGAATATAGACAATAACTTCGCCATTTGTGGTTTTAAAGAAAAATGCTTCAAATACAAGTTTCTTTATTAATCGTGGCGCATTTTTTTGCGATATTTGCTTGTTTGTATTGTTTTTTGTTTCGTTGCTATGGCAACCAACATTGTTATTTTAAATGGGATGCATATATTTTTTTTGCATACTTTGATAGAGGATAAGTCCCTCTGTGCGATGAACATATCAAATCATATGGTTGTATAAGAAAAAAATCAAGAAAAAATGCGTTTTTTGAAAGTCTTAAATCAGCTAATTACAATCAAAGTAGGCACCGAAGACAATTTAAATGTAAAAAAAATTACAGTTTAACAGTTATGAATAATTAATAATACATGGTCATTGGTAGCTGTCTTTGGCCATCAACTTTTTGGAAGGTTTTTAACACTTCCGGTGTTAAAGAATTTTTTAAATATTTTCGATACTGTGGATTGTGTAATCCTGGTAAATATTATTGAACAGTGTACAAACTTCACTTTGAGTGCGTTTTCTATCACCGCACCCATACATTATTAATATTTGAATTTTTTGTAAACTATCATTTTTTTGACATTTAAAGCTGTCAACGGCGTTATTTCGGGGCCTACTTTGATTATAATTTGCTGATTTAATATTTTCAGAGAATGCATTTTTTCTCGATTTTTTCTAATACAACCATATGATTTGATATGTTCATCGCGTAGAGGGATTTATCCTCTATTAAAATGTGCAAAAAAACATATGCATCCCATTTAAAACAACAATGTTGGTTGCCATAGCATCGAAACAAAGAACAATGTAAACAAGCAAGTATCACGAAAAAATGCGCCACAATTAATAAAGAATTTTTTGTTTAAAACATTTTTCTTTAAAACAGCAAATGGCGAAGTTATTGGCTATATTCCAGACATTTGACATAATGTAACATAAGTACTTTTCTAATACGTATGTTAAACTTTTCAACTACTTCAATAAAAATACACAACAATCTAGCGCTGAAAACGATTAAAACTAGAACTAACACTAGAACTAGAACTAGAAAGTTTCGGGTTTAGTCGTGCGTCTTCAAACGTCAAATTATATTGATATGTTGCATTTTATGTGGGACAAAATAAGTAGGTACGCCCTGATTTCTATGGAAATATATTTGTGTATATTGCATCTTAAGTGAAATTCACTGTATAGTATAAATAGTAGTCAATTAAGAAAATTTTAACTTTTGTAATTTTGAAAATATTGCCAAAACCAAGTAGATATAAATGATAAGTATTTAATGTGTTAATAATACTCTAAATCATATTTTTATATTTGGATTCATTTCTGTTTGGGATTTCAATATATTTGGTTACATTTATTATTCGATAATATCCACAGTAGTTATTACATGTCGTCATTATTTAAGATAAAATTATAAAAAAGCGACAGTGTTCATTTGGCAACTCTTACACCTCAACATGTTTCTCCTGAATTTGAAACCTAACACATCTGTGATAAAATCGAGAGCTCTATTCAATTCAATTAAAGTTTATGTATTAATATTACAAAGTTCTTTTTCTTACTTTAAGACATCTGTCTTGTTTCTTAATAAATCATAGTGTATGCTGAGAAGTTGATTTCGCCCTTTCATACCATGTATGTCTCTTTCGTATAGGAAGTCTTCTGCGAATTCTTTGATTATCCTTGATAGTCTTGTTGAGGCACATTATGTCCCTCACGTAACCTGATATCAAAGCTTCTTTCGTCCTTGGTGGTTCCTTCTGTTAGTAATATTGACGCCAAATAATATTTAAAACTCTTTTCACGTCAATTATTATTTTCTCCATAATCAAGTTGAAAAGTGCAAGGCTTAGACTGTTTCTTTGTCTTATACTGGTTTTTATAAGTAGTCTGCAAGTCACTCCTTCCTCTGTTCTTATTTTNATATCTTATTCAATATTTGTCAGGGTTTGGTATCAACTTAATGAATTACCCTAGTATTCTATATTCTCAGTCAAACAGAGGCGCTATACTTGACACCAAATCGTTTCAATCTTGATGACTATATTCTCTTTATAGAAGATTTATCACTAGATATAGCTTGTAGAAGGCTATTTACTGCTGGTAGATGTCTAGAAAACTGTTTGCAAAAGACTAGAGATTGCTGTCAAAAGTCTAGATACTGCCAATAGAAGAGTACATACTCCTTATAGAAGTTGAATAACTAGATACACTTTTCAGACGACTATATACTGGTATCAAAAGGTGAAATATTGCTTAATGAAGACTAGATAGCACGTGCAAAAGATTATAAACTAATGACAGAAGTCTAGATGCAACCAATAGAAGAGTAGATCCTCATTATGGAAGATTACTCACTTGATGCAGGTTTCAGAAGGCCATATCTTGCTGGAGAGCTAGAGCTTTTGGAGATTACTGCCAAAAGTCTAGGTACTGCAAATAGCAGACTACATCCTCTTTATAGAAGACTAGTCACTAGCTATGCTTGTAGAAGTCAATATACTGCTGATAAAAAAATAGATACTGTTACAGAAGGCTAAAAACTGCTGGATGAAAAGTAGATAGTATTGTGTAATATATGACAAACCAAATTCAATTTCCCCTATCACCCCCTTCGTCTCTCCCCTCGTCCCAACCACCTCCCTCATCCATCCCCAGCCTTTTCGCCCTCTTCCACAATCTGCCTTTGGTTCCTTTCCTTTTCTCTCAGCTCCCTACATCCTCTCAACGTATGTTCTAGCGTTTCCCAACCCTCTCTACACAGCCAACACCACCTCTCCACATTGTCCGCCCAGTACCTGTTCTCTCTCTCCTCATTGCCACAACGGAATCTGCCGACCAGCCTCTTCCTTTCCTCACTTCTTTCCTACATGAAGTATTTTTGAAGCCCCTCCGTCATTATGTATTTTACCTCTCTTATCTGCGTCCTTCTCTCCTGTCTCTGGACGTCCCTATCCCTGCCGCTTACCTTCCCCCACATCTCCACCCCTTCCCTTCTTCTTTTATTTATTACTGCGTCCGAATAACTCGTTCTTTTGCAGTATTCCTTCCTCTCTCTTTTACCATATCTAATCTTCCCCTTCCTAACTTCCTTCCAACATTCCCCCTGGATCCCGCAATATGGTATATATTTCTTCATATTTATCTGCTCTTCTGCCCGCCTCCACCCTCATTTCATCAACATTCACTTCCTCCCTCACCATATACCCCGGTGTTTCCTTGGCCAGACCCCGAACCCACCTCCAGTACCGATTCTGTACATCCTCCTGAAAATTCTGCCTTTTCCATCTCCAAACTTCCGCCCCTTACATCATTACACTTCACCAACTCATCAAACATAATTTTTCTCTTTCTGATGTCCCTTCCAAACACTCTCTTACCCCAACCCCAGACCTACCCTGTCACCTTATTTGCCCTTTTAGCTATCTCCCTCACATGCGCTGCGTCCTTGCAAAAGACTAGAGATTACTGCCAAAAGTCTCAATACTACAAATGGAACTACATCGTATTTAGCTTGTAGAAGACAATATACTGCTGCCAGAAAATTAGATACTGTTAATGGAAGACTACATCCTCACTACTAAAGATTATTCGCTAGATAGAGGTTGCAGAAGGCCATATACTGCTGGTAGAAGACTAGATACTGTTAATGGAAAACCGGAATCTATTTGCTAAAGACTAGAGATTACTGTCAAAACTCTAGATACTGCAAATGGAATACTATATCCCCTTTATGGAAGACTTGTCATGAGATACAGCTTGTAGAAGACAGTTGTAATATTATAGGTGTTCTCTACCATATTATTCTGTGCCATAATTATTTTTTAATCATTGATTTCTTGCGCAAATGTAATAGTTTGCTGCACTCTTAATTTAGCTCAACCATTCTGCCTGCCTTTCTTAATCTTCCACAATATTTTCACTACAACTACTTCGGTATTGAACAAAGTTCTGTATCTAATTGAATAATATTCCTGAATTAATAAACATTTTGGAAAATAAGTTTGCATGCAACAAGCTTCTCTGATACCCATAAGACGATCCAGGTTGTTTTGAGATTTTTGAGTACCGATTAAAAATATATTTTTTAATATGTATCAAAAATAATTAATAACAATCTATTTTAATATNGTTCTCAGTCAAACAGAGGCGCTATACTTGATACCAAATCTTTTCAATCTTGATAACTATATCCTCTTTATAGAAGATTTATCACTAGAGACACTTTATCACAAGATCTATCATAGCTTGAGAAGGCTATTTACTGCTGGTAGAAGACTAGTATTGTTAATGGAAAACTAGAAACTGTTTGCAAAAGGTTAGAGATTACTGCCAACAGTCTAGATACTGCAAATGAAATACTATATCCCCTTTATAGAAGACTAGTCACTAAATACAGGTTGCAGAAAGCTATATACTGCTGGTAGAAGACTAGATACTGTTAATTAAAGCTCAGAAGCTGCTTGCCAAAGACTTGAGATTACTGCTAAAAGTCTAGATACTGCAAATGGAATACTATATTCTCTACATGGAAGTCTAGTCACTAGATACAGCTTGTAGAAGACTATTGTAGTTTGCTGAATTTTTGCAGTTGTTCTCTACCTTATTACTCTATTCCATAATTATTTTTTAATCACTGATTTCTTGCTACTTGCGCAAATGTAATATTTTGCTGTACTCTCAATTTAAGTCAACCATTATTAACTACTTCGGTATTGAACAAAGTCCTGTATCTAATTGAATATTATTCCCAGTGTTGTATTCTGCGCATTTTACACATCTAGAACATCTTTGGCAAAAATTCTTCTTATGTCCATAGTTTTCATTAAACTTTCCACTTTTCAATTCACCAGACCAACACTTTATGAACATAGGTGATAATTTACTTTACATTAACAAGCCTTTTTGGAAAATGAATTGACACATTCTTGAGACATTCTTTTATATGCATCAAAAATAATTAATAACAATCTATTTTAATATCTTTTTTTTTTAATTTAGCTGGTTGGGAATCCGGTGGCGGTTGGTTTTTACACCCCCAAAGTAATTCTGAAGAATTATCAGGTCAAATCGCCGTTCAAGCTGATAGTTACGTTGGATTTAGTATGGACGATGAAATTATGGCTGCAATTCGTAACGAATTATTAAATAAACTCCCACACGCCCAAAGAGCTTCTTCCGAACAAATTGAAGAACGCGAAGAACTCGAACCGGCTGAGAAAAACGAAGTTTTTATTCGTTACAACGTCTATAACACCCCATTATCACCAATCCCAGAAGAAAGTTATATCGATAGTGACGATGATTCTCCAATTTTTACAAATAAAAGGTAAACATTTTTATTTTTAGTTGATTTAAAAATAATATAAATCATTTCTAGAAATGAAGAAAGTGATGATGATAGTTGTGATTGGTCAATAGAAGATAATATCTCTTCGAATATCCACACAGAAATTAATTCGCCAAAACCAGAAAGTTCGATGATAAGTAGTCCTGCTAAAATACCGAATCACCGTCACACTCCAAGTCTAGATTCTTGTTGTTCAAATGACACTTTATTTAACGTGGAAGATTTAAACTTAACGATTGAACCCGATCGGATTTTCGAAACTATTCCAGACGAAGATGAAAGCTCCAAAGAATCCAAAGAAAGTAAATATAGCGATTGTAAAGCAGAAATTGAAGATAACACTTTAATCGATGATCAAATAGAAAAAGAACAAATTCCAAAAATAAATGTTAACGATTACATAACCGACTTTTTAAATAACGAACGATACAATCAACTAAATAGTTGTATTGAATTAATCGATTTAAGAAGTGAAAACGACGAACGTTCTTCCTCATCCGATAAATTTTTAACTGTCAGCGATAACACGTTGAGTTTCGGCCAAAACATAGCACCATTAAATTCACCTGAAGACCGCCAATGGAAAGATTTACAAGCATCGTTTAGGAATTGCGACGAAACACCCGAACATCCAAAAACTTATTTATCACCAATTGAAAACCCAGACTATGACATCATTGATGAAAAATGTACAAACTTTGAATTAGTTACCGATTTAGACGATCCAGAATTAGATAATATAGAATGTCACATTTCTGATGAAGACATCGACAAAGTATTACAAGAAGAAAACGAATTAATCCCCGAAAATAAGGAAGAAACAAGTAGGAATATACCAGTTGCAGATAACTTATCAATCAATTTAGATAAAGAGAACATTTCGAGTAGCCGGACAGAAGATAACGCGTCTATTATCTATGTGAACACTGCGTCTAAACTAGAGGAAGGTGAAGGTAACAGTTTAAATGCAGATTCCGATCGAACGCCAAGTGATGTAACGGATTACGACGGAATTAATAAAAACGAAGATTCCCCCGAATACGTTTACGTTGAAAAACACGAGGATAATCACGAATACGAAAACGGTTGGATTGCCGATACTATTTACGCTAATATGCCAGCTGATAGAGCTAAAGAATTGGATTATGTTATCGCGGAAGAAAACAAAAAGAAAGCGGAAGAGAAAATTGAGGATTTATATGGTCCTTTAGCGGATATACGATTCTCTGGACCGGGGTTAGCCAATTTACAAATGATGTCGACGTCGTTTAGTGAAAGTAATGAAGTTGGTGATGAACAGGATTGGGATAGTGGTTCGGACACAAGATCTAGTTCAAGTGGAGAATTTATTTGGAGGGTAAGTCGAGGATTAAAATTTAATTAGTGGTTTTCGGTGTCTTTGTGTTCATTTTTCTGTTTACTTATTATATGTTACTAATATTAATTGTGTATAGGAAGGGGAACATGAGGCTTCTTTGAAGGCTCTTGATGCAGCCCCACAATCAGAGGTAAGAAATTTATTACTAACCAAAAATATATTTACTACTTTATAGTCTCGGGTTATTCAGAATTAGCGCGATAATTTTATGTATTTTAAGTATGTTTTGATAACAATAAGTAAAAAAACTTTATGGTTTTAATTTGTTATCACCATAAATAGATCAATAAAACTTGGAGTTATTATACATATTTAATTTTGCTTCACTAGTTTTGATTTCATGAGAAAATATTTTACTGAATTTCTGGTTGGAAAAGGATATTTTACTGGATGTAACAAGAACTTTGCAGAAATTGGCTTTTTGTGTGGATCCAGTCCATCAACTGGATTGAACGGGATTTAAGTGCTAGATTAGTGCATATAATTAAGAATCCAGTAGGAAATTTTCTTGGATCTAGAAACTCAGAAATTTAATCCAAAACCTAAATTGGATAAGATTTTCTACTGGATGTAAACAAATATCTGAAAAACTACAGAACTAACTGGATTGAGCAGGATTTTAATACTAATTGGTGAATTTATAAAAGATTTTTGGCCATTAACTTAATTGGGTTGGAACATATCACTGCAACAACGAATCCAGTAAGATATCGAATCCAATTTTATTAAATCAATTTTAAATCTATTAGCAATCAAAATCGCAGCATAAAAAGTCAAAGACGGCTTATTTCGTCAAAGTCGACTTGTTTCGATTAAAATAGAAAAACTTAGGTTAAGAAAAAAATCGGCAGCCATTTTGATTTTTTTAAGCTAAAATTACCGAAAATCAATACTTTTGATGATATATTCTTAATAAGGGCGAAAAATGATGAAATTTGATACCAAACTCGATATGTTTTTAATAAAAAATTAGATTGTGTTAAAAAAATTAGTGGCCATTTTGATTTTTTTAATCTAAAATTATTAAAAATAAATACTTTTGATGATACGCTCTTAATAAGGGCGAAAAATGATGAAATTTGATATCAAACTCAATATGTTTTCAATAAAAAATAAAAAAAATTAGGTTATGTTAATAAAATTAGTGGCCATTTTGATTTTTTTTAATCTAAAATTAACAAAAATAAATACTTTTAATGACATATTCTTAAAAAAGATAAAAAATGATGAAATTTGATACCAAACTCAATATGTTTTCAATAAAAAATAAAAACAATTAGGTTATGTTAAAAAAATTAGTGGCCATTTTGATTTTTTTAATCTAAAATTAACAAAAATAAATACTTTTAATCACATGTTCTTAAAAGAGATAAAAAATGATGAAATTTGATACCAAACTCAATATGTTTCCAATAAAAAATAAAAACAGTTAGGTTATGTTAAAAAAATCAGTGGCCATTTTGGATTGTTTTGGTTGAAATTATCTCAAAAGCCATCAAACATAAATAGATCATGTTTGGTATCATTTTAACGCAAATTTTATGAGAGATTTAAATTTTCAGCCAAAGTTAAAATATTTTCGAAAAAAATTTACAAAATTTGAAGTGTATCAAATGAAATCGCGGCCATTTTGCTTTTGTTAATCAAAAAATCAACATAGAGTTTATAATTTAAAATTAAACTCCACAATTTTTCGATTAAACTCTTATAAAGTTAGGTTCAAAAAAAAATTGGCAGCCATTTTAAATTTTATTAACTAAAAATTATCAAAAATAAATACTTTTAATGACATGTTCTTAAAAAAGGTTAAAAGTGATGAAATTTGATACCAAACTCAATATGTTTTCAATAAGAAATAAAAACAATTAGGTTAGGTATGTTAAAAACATCAGTAGCCATTTTGAATTGTTTTGGTTAAAACTATCTTAAGAACCATCAAACATACCAGTGACGAGCAGTAACCATAGTTACGAGACTACTATGCACTTGCACTGTCTCACATAAAATGCAACATAGCTGGAAAAAGGTAACATCCTTATGACAATCCTGAGTTTTCGACCATCTTAAGATACGCACGGCTAAACTCAAATGATTCTAATTCTAGTTTTGTATTAGTTCTAGTGATAGTGCTAGTGCAATACTATAACTAACACTAGACCGAGAACTACAAACATTCGGGTTTAGCCGCACGTCTCTCAAGACGGCTAAAGCCGAATGATTCTAGTTTTTGGTCTTGTGCTAGTTTTTAGTGTTAGTTCTAGTTTTAGTTCCATAAAAATGTGTAACTAGTGCTATCTAGCACTGTCATTAGAACTAACACTAAATCTAGAACTAGAAACATTCGGGTTTAGCCGCACGTCTCTCAAGACGGCTAAACCCAAATCATTCTAGTTCTAGGTCTTGTGTTACTTCTAGTGATAGTGCTAGTGCAAAACTAGAACTAGCACTGGACCGAGAACTAGAAACATTGGGATTTAGCTGCACGTCTCTCAAGACGGCTAAACCCGAATGATTCTAGTTCTCGGTCTTGTGTTAGTTCTAGTGATAGTGCCAGTGTAAAACTAGAACTAACACTAGACCTAGAACTAAAAAGTTTCGGGTTTAGCCGTGCGTCTTCAGACGCACGGCTAATCCCGAACGTTTCTAATTCTAGGTCTAGTGTTAGTTCTAGTTTTAGTTCCATATATATATGTAACATAGTGATGTCCAGTGCTAACTAGTGCTATCTAGCACTGTCATTAGAACTAACACTAGACCTAGAACTAGAAACATTTGGGTTTAACCGCACGTTTCTCAAGACGGCTAAACCCAAATCATTCTAGTTCTAGGTCTTGTGTTAGTTCTAGTTATAGTGCTAGTGCAAAACTAGAACTAACACTAGACCGAGAACTAGAAACATTCGAGTTTAGCCGCACGTCTCTCAAGACGACTAAACCCGAATGATTCTAGTTCTAGATCTTGTGTTAGTTCTAGTGATAGTGCAAAACTAGAACTAACACTAGACCGAGAACTAGAAAGTATCGACTTTAGCTGTACGTCTTCAGATAGCTAAACGGAATGTTTCTAGTTCTAGGTCATAGTTAGTTCTAGTGCTAAGTATTAGTCTAGTTTTATTTGTTATTCAGCGCTAGATTGTTGTATACTTCTATTGAGCTATAACAGACACTGTGTTCCCCCCCGTATTGATCCGTTATATCGAGGTTTTACTGTAATGTCAAATTATATTGACATGTTGCATTTTATATGGGACAAAGTATTTTATGTGTAAGTATATTTTTGTATATTGCATCTTAAGTGAATTTCACTGTAAATAAGTCATGTTTGGTATCATTTTAAAGAAAATTTCTTACCGAAAACAAAACTCTTTAAAAATTGACACAAAATTGCAAGTATTTTTAATTAAAAATGCGCCTTAGAAAAATTCTGAATCACCCGGTATTACTATAATTAATACTAAAAGATTATTAATAAGTGTCAAAAGTTCAACTAACATTTTTCTTTTAACATAACTCACCAAATGTGCTTATAACTGCTAATCTATCAAAAACAAACCTCTCCTTACTTATTTTATGTTTTAACTTACACAACTGATAATAAACCGCAATAGAATGCACCAACTAAATATTAATTATTAGATAATGTTATGATTATTTTTTCAATACTATTTCAAATTTTCTAAACAAATAATTTGCATACAGAACGCGCAAGAGTCGCTTCCTATGGAAGATATCCAAGAAGAAAACGAATTAAGCAGTAGTGATAGTGACTGTGAAGGCGAATGTCCCGAATTCGTACCTTCAGCATGGGATAAATACGCGATTCCAACCAAATCAGCGCTTAGATCCCCCGAAAAAACGTTCGAAAGAAAAGACCCGAAGGACAAAAAAGCCGTTTGGTTTAAAAAACAAAAATATCATTGCATTTATGAGTACCCTAAAGAACCGGAAAGTCCTAATTTTCAAAGTTATGATTTATGGAAACCCGCTACGGATTATTCTACATTAGCAGGTTAGTTTCAAAAGATTTTTTTAAAATCAAACTATAAATAATAAAAATAATTATTATAGATTGGGAATATGGTCCTGATTTATACACACCACGATATGACCTCATTGATCCTTTATCATCAACTTCAGACCAACAACAATCACCAAAGAGCCTCTATCACTTAACAGCGTTCCCAGAAAAGGGTAACTTAAATGATAAATTTATAATCAGATATTTAATCGATTAATTTTTTAGAACCAACAGTTCTCGATGAAGATTTCTTGGTAAGCAGTTCGTCAAAACCGTTCGATATGCTTGGTGGAACAACATCACAATTTTTCCCTGGAAAACAATTCTCCGATCATTGGATAGACGAGGGCACTCCGGATTGCGAAGACATCTTAACACCGGTGATTAAAAACGATAAAATACCGAGTTTGAAACATTTGGCGGGAATCGTAGTGAATAAAAATAGAAAATCGCGCGAATTGGGTGGCTTAAGACACACTAGGAGTAAATTAAAATTAGATTTACCACCGAGTCCGAGCGCTTTTTCGAGTAATACTACTTTTAATGTTGAACAGCCGGCCGAAGAGATCGTGAGAAGGCAAGTACCGACGTTTTCGACGTTTGGAAAATCGAGGTTTTTAGTTCAACACGTCGATACGCCCCCGGATGATAAGTTGGAGAGCAAAAATGTTTCGTTCGAAGCTTTACCTTATAAGCCGCAAACCGTTAAGGAACGACAGGCGATTGAATCGGTTCGTGGAGAAGCTAGTTTGTTGGATAGCGCCGATGAAGATAGCGGGATAGAATCGAATACTTTAGAAAGGGGTAAGAAAATAGGGACATAATTATTTTAAATTTTGACCTAAAACGGTGGAGTTAATTTGTATTGGGAATACAGCAAGTATTCTTGTATAATCATTAATATCTTTATGGTAGATACATATATGCATATATGGATATTATTTTTACATAATCTACTTAAAAAAATGTAACAAGAAGTAAGTGCGAAAGTCAACAATCTGTAAATAGGAGTTTAATTTATTAGAGTTTTTGATTTAGTTTAAATGACTTTTTATATAAATTTACAAGTTGTTATATACTTACATAGAATTGTTGAAGCCTTTAATTTTCCTTCTTTTATACCTAAATAATTACTACTATTAGTATGACCACAATAATTAATATATTGCGTACACGCCCCTTTATTTTTGTGATTATAACCTTGTACATTGTTATTCGATTAATTATTGATTAATTATTAATTAATTAACTTTCTTGTTACGTGGAAATCTCGATGTAAACAATTTTTTATTTATGTACCTAGTTGAGTTTGATTCACGTTTTATCCTCATCATCCAGTGTATAAAGAATTATTATTAAAAGAAGAACGTAGGATGTAAGCTAATTAACTACAGAACAAATAAATAAAAATACACGATACGGTCCTATAAGTAACTAGAAATGAAATAAACTTTCTCGATTTGTGTAGCCGAGACCAAAGCCTTATTATAAACTTATTCTCTCCTTTTTCACACAACAAAACTCTTTTTCTCTTATCGAACCATTTTGTGATAGCTTTTCCGGTGGAGGAGAATGCAAGATAAAAGTCTTTTTGTAGCTAAATCGAATAGACTATAGAGAATCTTCGGGGCCAAACCTCAGTTTTCCTCAGAGATCTGATACAAACGAACCGTATCGTGAACGGATAATTATAAAAGCAACACAGTTTGTAGCCCGTAGACGTTGTAACATATTAAGAATTATTTAAAAAAAAATAAAAGTGATTTGTGATCGTGTCGGAATTGTACAAAAAACTAAAACTTAAAAAAATGATTATGATAAAATTGCAAATTTGCGTCCAGTAGAAACGTTCAGTATTTGCGATCGCGCTGCGGTGGTTTTTGAGTGCCCTCGGGAACGTCGTCGGTTGAATTACTATGTTTCTCTCCATGTAGGGTTACTTGTTAGTATTTTTCTTATAGGAACCTGATTTGTGATCAGTTTTTTTCTTTGATTAATTCGTCTGTATTAATAATGTAATATTATAATACCATAGTTTTAATGTATAATAAACGTTTTATTCTATATTTTATTGTTTAGTTTAATATCCATTTGACAGCGCTTTGAATTTATAGGTTATGTTCTACTATTTAGCAACGATCTGGCAACGTTGCATCTCTTAAAAGACGAGTATAGAAAAAATAGGCAAAACTGAATGAATTATTGATAAAGTAATAAATTACTGATCACTAATTTGTTATAATAGCATCCTAAATGTAGATATAAAAGTTTATTTGACAGTGATTGTCAAAGTTAGGTTGCTTTTGCTACAACTGGTGAAAACTCTCTTCGTAAAGTCTTAAAACACTTTAAATAAACAGTTTACATGTTCAAAAACTTACCTTAATATTTCTTTTTCGTTCAATTACACTGATTTAGTTTAAAATTAAGAATTCTAGGAAGAAATATAACTGGTGGTTTTGAAATGTCAAAAACTGTTTAATATAGGTGGTTACCGCTAGATGGGGTAATCAATCGATTAGAAAACGATTTTTTAAAATTTAATAAAGGAAAAAACATTAACATTTTCGACGTACTGCGTGTTCGTTCAAATAAATCACCCCGTTTTCAAAACTACCCCAAAATGATTAATTGAGAGATAAAAAATTAGGTTGCTTTCGTTACAATTTCACCCATTAATTTGAGGTGAAAAAATCTTTTCATAAAGCCTTAAATCACGTTAAATAAAACGTTTTACGTGGTCAAAAACTTACCTCGATGTATCTTTTTGGTTCAATTACACTGATTTTGTTAAAAATTAAGAATTTTAGGAAGAAATGTAACTGGTGGTTTTGAAATGTCAAAAACGCTACTTAATATAGGTAGTCACCGCTAGATGGGGTTAAAAACTATTTTTGTTTAAAATTTAATAAAGTAAAAAGCATTAACATTTTCGACACACTGTGGGTTTGTTTAGATAAATCACCCCGTTTTCAAAACTACTACAAAATGTTTAATTGAGAGATAAAAAATTAGGTAGCTTTCGGCACAATTTCACCGATTAATTTGAGGTGAAAAACCTTTTCGTAAAGCCTTAAATCACTTTAAATAAAACATTTTGTGTGGTCAAAAACTTACCTCGATGTATCTTTTTGGTGCACTTACACTGATTGTTTTTAAATTTGTGAATTTTAGGAAGAAATTTAACTTAATGATGGTTTTGAAATGTCAAAAACGTTATTTAATATAGGTAGTCACCGCTAGATGGGGTTAAAAACGATTTTTGGTTAAGATTTAATAAAGTAAAAAGCATTAAAATTTTCGACACACTATGTGTTTGTTTAAATAAATCACCCCGTTTTCAAAACTACCCCAAAATGTTTAATTGAGAGATTCAAAATTAGCTTGCTTTCGTTATAACTTCACTCATTAACTTGAGGTGAAAAATCTTTTCGTAAAGCCTTAAATCACGTTAAATAAACAGTTTACGTGTTCAAAAACTTACCTTGATGTTTCTTTTTGGTTCAATAACACTGATTTTGTTAAAAATTAAGAATTTTAGGAAGAAATGTAACTGGTGGTTTTGAAATGTCAAAAACGCTACTTAATATAGGTAGTCACCGCTAGATGGGGTTAAAAACGATTTTTGTTTAAGACTTAACAAAGTAAAAAGTATTAAAATTATCGACACACTGTGTATTTGTTTAAATAAATCACCCCGTTTTCAAAACTACCCCAAAATGTTTAATTGAGAGATTCAAAATTAGCTTGCTTTCGTTATAACTTCACTCATTAACTTGAGGTGAAAAATCTTTTCGTAAAGCCTTAAATCACGTTAAATAAACAGTTTACGTGTTCAAAAACTTACCTTGATGTTTCTTTTTGGTTCAATTACACTGATTTTGTTAAAAATTAAGAATTTTAGGAAGAAATGTAACTGATGGTTTTGAAATGTCAAAAACGCTGTTTAATATAGGTGGTCACCGCTAGATGGGGTTAAAAAGGATTTTTGTTTGAGATTTAATAAAGTAAAAACCATTAAAATTTTCGTCACACTGTGTGTTTCTTTAAATAAATCACCCCGTTTTCGAAACTACCCCAAAATGTTTAATTGAGAGACTCAAAATTAGCTTGCTTTGGTTATAACTTCACTCATTAATTTGAGGTGAAAAATCTTTTCGTAAAGCCCTAAATCACGTTAAATAAACAGTTTACGGGTTCAAAAACTTACCTTGATGTTTCTTTTTGGTTCAATTACACTGAATTTGTTTAAAATTAAGAATTTTAGGAAGAAATGTAACTGGTGGTTTTGAAATGTCAAACACTAATACCGATGCTCACCGCTAGATGGGGTGAGCAACCATTTAAAACGCGATTTTTTTAAGATTTAAGAAAGTAAAGGAGATTACAATTTTCGACTTTCAGCATGTTTGTTTTAATAAATCATCCCGTTTTTCAAAACTACCTTACAATGTTTAATTGAGGTATAAATAATAATGTTGTTTTGGGTACAACTCTACTTTTTAATTTGAGGTGAAAAATGTCTTTCTAAAGATTTAAATCACTTTACATAAACAGTTTATGTGTTCAAAAACTTACCTTGATGTTTCTTTTTGATTCATTTACACTGATTATTTTTAAATTTGTGAATTTTAGGAGGAAATGTAACTGGTAGTTTTGAAATGTCAAAAACACTAATATAGGTGATCACCGCTAGATGGAGAGAGCAACTGTTTAAAAAACTATTTTTTTAAGATTTAACCTAAACATTTTTAATTGTAGGTCTTATGTTAGTTCTAATGCTAGTTTTTGTTGTTCCGCAAATATCTAAGCTTATTTATGATACAAACGGATAAGCATAGCGCCAACTCTACCAACGGATGTTCTGCTTGGCCAATCTCCTTTGCATTTGTATATAGAGAAAGTGGCTAGTACTGCCATTTACAAGTTTAAGCAATATGCTCAAAACTGCTCCGACATGTTCTAGAAATGGGCTGCGGAAGACACTATAAGCACTGATATTGTGCTATCAATGCCGTCAGATTTGAGGGCAGTCCTGCATCGAAAACGGAAATTGTCAGGTTCAGGCATATATTTGCATGTTCGTAGATGGATTAAAAACGCCAGAAGAGACAGGCGGAAATATTTGCTATTGATATGAGTGGTAGAATCCTTCTTGAGAGAGGGGTGAAGAACATGATAGTACGATTTTTCCAGGTCACTCTGGGGTTGCTGGCAATGAAGCGGCATATGAGCTAGCACAAGAGGGCAGCGCTATAGCGTTTGTGGGGCCGGAACCTGCAGTTGGTGTATCATTTGTGATGGCCAAACATAAGATTGGACTGTGGACTGAAGAGAAACTTCGCCTATTGTGAACTAGTTCTCCTGGAATGGGACACTCTAAGTTATTTGTTAACATCGCCACTGTCAAACCCGGGAGTATTTTAGGACTTGCTCGTAGCAGCATTAAAGTTCTAATAGGTGTCTTTACTGGGCACTGCCGATTAAAGACACACCTCAACTTGTTGGGTTTAGTTGAATACCGACTATGTGCGGAGGACGAGGAGACAGTTGAGCAGATTCTTGATTTTTTTCTCGCAGTTATCTCCCCAAAGAATTAAGGTTGAGATTGAGATGAAATTCATGAATCAAAATAAAGTAATTTATTACATCAACAACCAACATCCAATTTTAATCTTCTATAAAAATATTCCAATTTTTATCCCGCAACAAACAAAATGCATCCGCTGTTATCTAACACACACCTTCATTCTTAAGAAAACATTTTTTTTATTAATACAATTCCACCAATTAAAATCGCTATGGTTGCAGTGGTCCCAACTGCTAAATGTACAGGGTTTTGGGACATAACGAACGTTTTTATATGAACACAAGTATTGGGTATTGCTTTTTTGTACGAACTTCTTTGTTGGACTCTATCATAATAAGTACATAAAAACGGTTTCTTTCCCAACGACCAAAAATGAGATTCTAATCCCAATTGGTTTAAGCGCTCCAATAAAATTGTTAGGCTTATATCGGCAACAGTAAATCGATCTGAACATAGCCACCAATTTGATTTTTCTGCAACGAAAAAGTTAAATTCATAAAATAATTAAATAATAAAGTTTAAAAAATAACCTTCATCATGCGAACTTAATTCTGTTTCAACGGATGATAAAACCCTATCAATGTTATCTAAAATTTTATAAAATTGATCCCGTTCGATAACGTTTAAATGTTTTTTTTCTTGCGATTCAGCTTTTTGTAACAGGATATCTCGGCAGGAAGGATTTTTTTCGGCGTACTCCCTCAACTTTTTGCTGCTACCTTTTTCGGCATCTATGCAACAAAAAAAATTGTTTTAATAAAGACGATTCTTTCACAAATATTCATCCTACTTGCTAGAAGTTTCCTGACCGGGGCGTAAAACGGGGCTTTTGGAGTTTGAACAAATTCGGTGTGGAAGAACGAACCCATCGTCACTATTCCCGATGGGATTTGATCGATCATATTGCGAAATTTAATCACTTTTTGTTTGATTTCATCTCCTTGATCATTTGGAATTAAACGAGGTGTGTCACCTAACAGAAAATAAATTTTTATTTAAAAAAAGAATCAATTTAATAAAAACATAAAATAAAGATTTTAATTTTAATGACACGAAATTTATCAAAAAATAACCAGGATTTAATCCTGGTCTAAATCAAATCCTTTGTTAAATCCCCATAATCCTTAAAGATAAACATTTTTTACCATTACTAAAATTGTCTTCTAAATAATCAATGATTCTAGTTGAATCAGGAATGATTTTGGCAATATCTTGGAGTACAGGAACTTCACCTCTTGGATTAATAGCCAAAAACCATGGATCATATTGTTGTCCTTTAATAATATCCACCACTGCGCCTTCATACTTCAAATTTTTTTCATGCAATGCCATTATCACCTAAAACGAGATAGTAAAAACTATTTTAAACAGCTAAATAACAAAAACAAATAACTCTTTAATTAAAATAACCTTACTTGAGTTATTAACACAAACTGAGAAAATCTCAAGAATACCTTTTTAAAGTGTTACGAAACGACATTTATGTTATTGGAATTGTTAAAAAAAATGAAAGTTGGGAATGTTAAGCAAAAAAAAATTCTATTTTGAATTAATCGTTGGTTGTTGGGATTTAAACTTACCTTTTGTGAATAATATGAATAATGGTGATAATATAATAGAAGCCCATTTGTGATGTTTATTCGGCAGGTTTCCCCGTCCGATGACATGGTTAAATCAAGAGAAAATTGTGTGTACTAACAAACTGTATGGAACGTTGTAGACGCGCAGCTGCGACCTCGCCAAATGCTTACAAAATCGCGGTCACGTTACGCTCGCGAGAATCTACAGCTGATTTTCTATACTTATCTGACGTAATTATGAGAACCTAATGATATTACATCAAGGTAGAGTATAATGGAAGATGAAAAAAGGTTAGATTATTGATTATGTTAGTAGTCATATCTAAGTTTTGTTAAGATAATTATTTTTTTTTAATGAAATTGATAATACATTGTGATTATTATTAATCTTAATGAAATTATTATTCTTTCATTCTTGTTTTCAACCTATTTGAGAGCCTACAATAAATTAGAAGAGTTTCACTTTCTTTCAATCTCTAAACTCTAAAGCAGAGGCAATGCATTTGGAACTTAATATTATCAACCAAAGCTAATTTTTATCCCAAATTAAAAATATGTATTTAGAAAGTTTTGAAAAATGGGGTGATTTTTGGCAAAAATATTTATGTTTTTCATTTTATGAAATCTTTTATTCAAATAAATATCATTTTCCTTAAATATTATTTTCTTCCTTATATGATACGGACAAAACTCAGAGACCATATAGAAATTATAAGAAATTTTCTGCTCTGTGCAGTGGTGCAAATATTCTCCCCCCAAAAACTGCAAAAACCGCGTATAATTGCCATATATAAATGTTTACAGCGTTACAACTTTCTTATATGATATGAATACGACTTCAAGACTATATAAATGTTATAGGAAATTTTCCGCTCTGTGCAGTGGTATACAACTTTCATAGATTGCATGCTTGCACAAGGATTTTCCCCCCAAAAACTGCAAAAACCGCATTTAATTGCCGGAAGTAAATGTTTACGGCGTCATAATTTTTTTATATGATACGGGCAAAACTGCGAAATTATATAGAATCTATAGGAAATTTTCCGCTCCTTGCAGTGGTATATAACTTTAATTGATCGCATGGTTGCACAAGCATTTTCCCCCCAAAAACTGTAAAAACCGCATTTAATTGCAGTAAATAAATGTTTACGGCGTCATAATTTTCTTATATGATACGGGCAAAACTATAAAACCTTATAGAATCTATAGGAAATTTTTCGCTCTATGCAGTGATATATAACTTTATTTGATCGCATGCTTGCACAAGCATTCTCCCCCCAAAAACTGCATTTAATTGCTGTAAGTAAATGTTTAAGGCATCATAATTTTCTTATATGACACGGGCAAAACTACGAAACCATATAGAATCCATAGGAAACTTTCCGCTTTATGCAGTGATATATAATTTTAATAGATCGCATGCTTGCACAAGCATTTTCCCCCCAAAAACTGCAAAAAACCGGATTTAATTGCCGTAAGTAAATGCTTACGGCATCATAATTTTCTTATATGATACAGGTAAAACTACGAAACCATATAGAATCCATAGAAAATTTTCCGCTCTATGCAGTAATATATAACTTTAATAGATCGCATGCTTGCACAAGCATTCTCCCCCCAAAAACTGCAAAAACTGCATTTAATTGCTGTAAGTAAATGTTTAAGGCATCATAATTTTCTTATACGACACGGGTAAAACTACGAAACCATATAGAATCCATAGGAAATTTTCCGCTCTATGCAGTGATATATAACTTTAATAGATCGCATACTTGCACAAGCATTTTCCCCCCAAAAACTGCAAAAAACCGGATTTAATTGCCATAAGTAAATGTTTACGGCATCATAATTTTCTTATATGATACGGGTAAAACTACGAAACCATATAGAATCCATAGAAAACTTTCCGCTCTATGCAGTAATATATAATTTTAATAGATCGCATGCTTGCACAAGCATTTTCCCCCCAAAAACTGCAAAAAACGCATTTAATTGCCGGAAGTAAATATTTACGGCGTCATAATTTTCTTATATGATACAAACAAAACTGTGAGGTCATATAGAATCTGTAGAAAATTTTCCGCTCTATGCAATGGTATATAACTTTAATTGATGGCATGCTTGCACAAGCATTTCCCCCTAAAAAACTGTAAAAATCGCATTTAATTCCCGTAAGTAAATATTTACGATGTAATAATTTTCTTATATGATACGGGCAAAACTACAAAACCATATAGAATCTATAAGAAATTTTTCACTGTATACAGTGCTATATAACTTTAAAGGATCGCATGTTAGCACAAGCATTTTCCCCCCAAAAACTGCATTTAATTGCCGTAAGTAAATGTTTACGGCATCATAATTTTCTTATATGATACGGGCAAAACTACGAAACCATATAGAATCCATAGGAAATTTTCCGCTCTATGCAGTGATATATAATTTTAATAGATCGCATGCTTGCACAAGCATTTTCCCCCCAAAAATTGCAAAAACATTATTTAATTGGCGGAAGTAAATATTTACGGCGTCATAATTTTTTTATATGATACGGACAAAACTGCGAAATCATATAGAATCTGTAGAAAATTTTCCGCTCTATGCAATGGTATATAACTTTAATTGATCGCATGCTTGCACAAGCATTTCCCCCCAAAAAACTGTACAAATCGCATTTTATTCCCGTAAGTAAATATTTACGATGTAATAATTTTCTTATATGATACGGGCAAAACTACGAAACCATATAGAATCTATAGGAAATTTTTCACTGTATACAGTGCTACATAACTTTAATAGATTGCGTGCTTGCACAAGCACTTTCCCCCCAAAAACTGCATTTAATTGCCGTAAGTAAATGTTTACAGCATCATAATTTTCTTATATGATACGGGCAAAACTACGAAACCATACAGAATCCATAGGAAATTTTCCGCTCTATGTGGTGACATATAACTTTAATTGATCGCATGGTTGCACAAGCATTTTCTCCCCAAAAACTGCAAAAACCGTGTATAATTGCCGTATATAAATGTTTACGGCATCATAATTTTCTTGTATGGTACGGGCAAAACTACGAAACCATATAGAATCCATAGGAAATTTTCCGCTCTATGCAGTGATATATAATTTTAATAGATCGCATGCTTGTACAAGCATTTTCCCCCCAAAAACTACAAAAACAGTATTTAATTGACGGAAGTAAATATTTACGGCGTCATAATTTTTTTATATGATACGGACAAAACTGCGAAATCATATAGAATCTGTAGAAAATTTTCCGCTCTATGCAATGGTATATAACTTTAATTGATGGCATGCTTGCACAAGCATTTCCCCCTAAAAAACTGTAAAAATCGCATTTAATTCCCGTAAGTAAATATTTACGATGTAATAATTTTCTTATATGATACGGGCAAAACTACAAAACCATATAGAATCTATAAGAAATTTTTCACTGTATACAGTGCTATATAACTTTAAAGGATCGCATGTTAGCACAAGCATTTTCCCCCCAAAAACTGCATTTAATTGCCGTAAGTAAATGTTTACGGCATCATAATTTTCTTATATGATACGGGCAAAACTACGAAACCATATAGAATCCATAGGAAATTTTCCGCTCTATGCAGTGATATATAATTTTAATAGATCGCATGCTTGCACAAGCATTTTCCCCCCAAAAACTGCAAAAACCGCATTCAATTGCCGGAAGTAAATATTTATGGCGTCATAATGTTTTATATGATACGGACAAAACTGCGAAATCATGTAGAATCTGTAGAAAATTTTCCGCTCTATGAAATGGTATATAACTTTAATTGATCGTATGCTTGTACAAGCATTTTCCCCCCAAAAACTGCAAAAATCGCATTTAATTGCCGTAAGTAAATCTTTATGGCGTCATAATTTTCTTATATGATACGGACAAGACTTAATGTCCATACGGAAATTATAGGAAATTTTCCGCTCCGTGCAACGGTATACAACTTTAATAGATCGCATGCTTGCACAAGCATTTCTCCCCAAAAACTGCAAAATGCGCAATCAATTCCCGTAAGTATGTATANTGCCGGAAGTAAATATTTACGGCGTCATAATTTTTTTATATGATACGGACAAAACTGCGAAATCATATAGAATCTGTAGAAAATTTTCCGCTCTATGCAGTGATATATAATTTTAACAGATTGCATGCTTGCACAAGCAGTTTCTCCCCAAAAACTGCAAAAACCGCATTTAATTGCCGGAAGTAAATATTTACGGCGTCATAATTTTTTTATATGATACAGACAAAACTACGAAATCATATAGAATCTGTAGAAAATTTTCCGCTCTATGCAATGGTATATAACTTTAATTGACAGCATACTTGCACAAGCATTTCCCCCCAAAAAAAACTGTAAAAATCGCATTTAATTCCCGTAAGTAAATATTTACGATGTAATAATTTTCTTATATGATACGAGCAAAACTACGAAACCATATAGAATCTATAGGAAATTTTTTACTGTATACAGTGCTATATAACTTTAAAGGATCGCATGTTAGCACAAGCATTTTCCCCCCAAAAACTGCATTTAATTGTCGTAAGTAAATGTTTACGGCTTCATAATTTTCTTATATGATACGGGCAAAACTACGAAACCATATAGAATCCATAGGAAATTTTCCGCTCTATGCAGTGATATATAATTTTAATAGATCGCATGCTTGCACAAGCATCTTCCCCCCAAAAATTGCAAAAACAGTATTTAATTGTCGGAAGTAAATATTTACGGCGTCATAATTTTTTTATATGATACGGACAAAACTGCGAAATCATGTAGAATCTGTAGAAAATTTTCCGCTCTATGAAATGGTATATAACTTTAATTGATCGTATGCTTGTACAAGCATTTTCCCCCCAAAAACTGCAAAAATCGCATTTAATTGCCGTAAGTAAATCTTTATGGCGTCATAATTTTCTTATATGATACGGACAAGACTTAATGTCCATACGGAAATTATAGGAAATTTTCCGCTCCGTGCAACGGTATACAACTTTAATAGATCGCATGCTTGCACAAGCATTTCTCCCCAAAAACTGCAAAATGCGCAATCAATTCCCGTAAGTATGTATATGTTTAGGGCGTCATAACTGTCTTATATGATACGAATAAGACTTCGAAACCATATACAATCTGCAGGAAATTTTCTGCTCTATGCAGCGGTATATAACTTTAATAGATCGCATACTTGCACAAACATTTCTCCCCAAAAACTGCAAAATGCGCATTCAATTCCCGTAAGTATGTATATGTTTAGGGCGTCATAACTGTCTTATATGATACGAATAAGACTTCGAAACCATATACAGGGTGTCCCGCAACGATTGTACAATACTGCATCAGCGTATTCTCTGATCGAAAACACACCAGAAAAGTCTAATAAACATAGGTCCGAAAATGGACCAATTTCGAGATATTCAAAGTTTTAGTTTCATAAGCTGACCTATTGTAAACATCATTAATTCTAACGATTTAGATGCAGTAATTATATGATTACCATGGTTACGATGGTTAAGATAAAGTTTAATAAATAATAAGATAATATTAAGTTAATTAATACAGTTCATTAATAATTTAACAAAACAAGTAACAAAGATTGTCGAAGAAAATCGTTCAACCAGCATAAAAACAACGAATATTTAACAAATTGGAAAAGATTCATGTCATAATAAATGTTCAATATGCGCACCATTTACTTCTAAACACAAACGGATACGTTTTCTAAATGAACTTCTAATGCGTTCAAAGATACCAGGAATTTGTTTTACTGTGTCAAATGCGTTACTAATTTTATTCTTCAAATCCTGCACATTTTGAACGTCTTCAGAATAAACAATTTGTTTTAAATGTCCCCAAAACCAAAAATCTAACGGATTTAAATCTGGTGAACGAGGTGGCCCTCCTCGGCCAATCCACTTATTGCCAAATCTGTTATTTAAGTATGCTCGAGTAGCGCGTGCATAATCGTGCATAAAGTAGCAATCTTCTAGAATTTGTTGAGGTAATTCATCAAATGCCTCTGTAAGGTCATTTTGTAAAAAATGTATGTAGGCATCGGCTGTCAATCTCTTTGGAAGAAAAAATGGACCTAATAACTGATCACCTATAACTCCAGCCCATACATTAACACTGAATCGCCACTGATGATGAGTTTCTAGTATTGCATGGGGATTTTCATCGCTCCAAACGTGCGCATTATGAATATTAAAAATTCCGCTTTGAGTAAATGTTGCTTCATCCGTAAATACAATGTTTATGGGAAAGTCGACGTTTACTACCTCTTCCTGTATGGCCCACCTACAAAAAATCTCTCTTTTTTCGCCATCATTTTCTGTTAGAGCTTGAACGGTGTTGTAATGATAAGGATAAAGCAACTGCTCCCTTAAAATGCGGTGAACGGTTGTTTTGTTAATGTTTTCTTGTGCAGAAATTCTTCTAATGCTGGTTGAGGCATTTTCATCGACTCTTCTCAAAACTGCTTCTTCTAATTCCACCGGCCTTGTGTAATGTCTCTCCGTGGAATGGCTGTGGGTTACGCTTCCCGTTTCTTTTAATCTGAGAAATAGTCTGCTAAAGGTGTGACTATTAGGCAATCGTCTGTTCGGGAACCTTTGCGCGTAATGACGAGCTGCTAACGACGCATTTCCATCAGCTAGTCCGTAACAATACACCATATCCGCCATCTCTTCCTTGGAGTAATTAATAGGAGCCATACTTAATAGTTTTATTAAATTAAATAGTAAAATAATAATTTCGTGAAGTATTATTATTTTTTTTTGATTACTTATCGTAATCATAGTAACAACTTAATTATTATAAAAACAAATTTAAATTCATGATGTTAACAATATCAACTTATGAAACTAAATCTTTGAATATCTCGAAAATGGTCTATTTTCGGACCTATGTTTATTAGGCTTTTTTTGTTTATTTTTGATCATAGAATACGCTGATGCAGTTTTGTACAATCGTTGCGGGACATCCTGTAGAATCTGTAGGAAATTTTCGTCTCTATGCAGTGGAATATAACTTTAGTAGTTCGCGTGGTTGCACAAGCATTTTCCCCAAAAACTGCAAAATCCACGTATAAGTACCATATGTAAATGTTAACTAACTGTTTATGTTACATGTTACTTAACATGAAAAATATCATTCGTTTTTATTCGATTTCACAAAAAAGTGAATGGATAAGCAATGTATAAGTAATTAAATTAATTGCATTTAATTGAAAACAACCTACCTTTTAAATAGATTAACTTTCAAGTAGTACCCGCATTTTAAACTTTAAAGCCTGCAAGATCTTACTTAGAAAATGTCTCAATCTAAAACTTTAAAGAAAACTAACAAAGACCTTTCTTTAGTTAGTGGTGCAAAGTATATATCGAAAAATAGGTTTGATGGTAAAGTTGCTGTAATTACTGGTTCGTCTTACGGGTAATATTAAATTTTAATTCCTGGAATAGTTAAAAAGTAATTATTTATATCAAGGATTGGGTATAGTATCGCAGAAAGATTAGGTTTAGAAGGATGTAAAGTTGTAATATGTAGCCGTAAACAAGAAAACGTTGATGTTGCTTTATCGAAGTTAAAAAAACAAAATATACAAGCTGCTGGTGTGCAATGCCATATTTCTAATGCCAATGACAGAGAAAAGCTATACAAAAAGGTTCCTATTATAACAAAAGGTGAAAAAGCCCCGATTATTATTTTTAAATTTTAGGCGTTGGAAGAATTTGGTGGAATAAATATTTTTGTTTCAAACGTAGGAGTAAATCCAAAAATATGTCCCGTATTAGAAGTAACCACTTTTCTTCGTTACTTTTATTCTAAAGTAATAATTAAATCTTTTTTAATAGTGTCAGGAATCAGAATGGGATAAAACGTTCGATGTAAATTTAAAATCGCCCTATTTACTCGCAAAAGAAATCCTTCCGTACATAAAACGGAACAATAACGGAGGGAAAATGTTATTTATCTCATCAATCTCAGCTTTCGGAAATATTACGGTCACTTAAAATCGAAATAACGAATTAATTTTTAATTATTTTCAATATAAATTTTTAGGAATTTGGTGCATATTCGGTAAGCAAATGTGCCCTAAACGCTTTAACCAAATTGATAGCTGGTCAATTAGCTGAAGATAACATTCAAGTTAATTGTATAGCACCGGGGTTGGTTGATACTCCTTTTGCTGATGCTGTATGTATAAATTTTTTTTGACCAATAAATGTTTCATTTTAATATTTTAGATTTTTAAAACCGCAAGATTTTACGAACAAACAATTAATAGCACTCCTATGAGAAGGTAAATTTTAATTAATTATACCTAAATGCTTTTAAGTTATAAATTTAATTTAAGATATGCAGAGCCACACGAAATTGCAGGAGTGGCAGCTTTTCTCGTTTCTGATGATGCAAGTTATATAACAGGTGAAATAATTGTAGCAGCTGGTGGAATGTCTTCGAGGTTATAAAGCTTTTCATCTCTTAAAAAATCAAAAATATGTAGTGTAACATTTAATTAATCATTCCTTAACTTGTAAAAATTATAATTTTGAAAATGGAATATCTTTTTCTTTCGATATAGCCCCAACAACAGCCGTTTGAAGATCTTCGCTTTGTAACATGAATCGATTCCATAAAGCCTAAAAATTAAATAAATCCAAAAATATACAAAATTAATAAAATAATTTTAAAAATCTTACAATGTGATCAAGCCCTTCTTGGACCGTATGATCTCTAGAATAAACCAAACTCTTTTTTGTGCCTTGAACCCCCACCGGACTCTTAGATGCGATTAATTTTGCAACATCCAAAGCTCCCGCTATCAAGCTTAAGAAACAAGAATAAATATTTATTTAAAAAAAAATCGGTATAATTCAAGAATTTAATTTTCTCAAGTAAGCCGTTACAAATAAAAAAAGTGTGGAAAAGTTACCGAAAAATCAGAAGTCTCGAAAATCTGAAAAAAGTCTAAAGACGCATGGCTAAACCCGATACTTTTTAGTTCTAGGTCTAGTGTTAGTTCTAGTTTTACACTGTAACTAGAACTAACACTAGATGGAGAAACAGAATCATTCGGGTTTAGTCGTCTTTAGAGACGTGCGGCTAAATCCGAATGATTCTAGTTCTAGCTCTTGTGTTAGTTCTAGTAATAGTGCTAGTGCAATACTAGAATTAACACTAGACCTAGAACTAGAATCATTCGGATTTAGCCGTCTTTAGAGACGTACGGCTAAACCCGAATGATTCTAGTTCTAGGTCTTGTGTTAGTTCTAGTAATAGTGCTTGTGCAATACTAGAATTAACACTAGATCGAGAACTAAAAACATTCGGATTTAGCCGTACATCTCTCAAGACGGCTAAACCCAAATGATTGTAGTTCTAGGTCTAATGTTAGTTCTAGTGACAGTGGTAGATAGCGCTAGTTAGCATAAGATATCACTAAGATTGTAAGATATCCTTTTTTTATTGCAGTAAAACCCCCCAAAAGTTAAACATTTTTAACAACATACAGTTACACATTTGATACAAAAGAGCTTATACAGACATTTCTAGTTAATATTTATGTTATTTTATGTTTAAAAAGTTTATGTTATAGTTTCTAGTTAACGTAGTTGTGAATATTATATTATTTAAAATTTAAAATAATATGGAAAGAAAAGAAATATGTTTTGAAGTTCGCCATTTAATAATAAAGTTAAGAAAGGAGGGAAAATCATATAATGAAATAACTAAAACTGTTGACAAAAGTCGAGCAACAATCCAAACAATTATAAAAAATTGTATTTAAATGCAAGGACAGTAGAATCTAGTCAGATTCTACTGTCCTTGATTTAAATGTATTAAATAAACCACGCATTGGTCGTCCAACTGTTTTAAATCAACGTGATATCCGGACAATTTTAAAACGGGTGAAAGATAATCCCAGAACAAGTGCTCCTCAATTGGCAGAAGAAATTCAACAAGCTACCTATAAAATCGTGCATCCAAAAACTGTACTGTATGTGTTCATGGATTTAATGGATTTAATGGATTTAATGGACGAGTTCTACGAAGAAAACGTTTAATTTCTCAACAAAATAGGCAGAAAAGGATTGAATTTGCTTAAGAATATTTTGTATGTGACTTTAAATTTTGGAAAACAGTTCTGTTTACTGACGAAAGTAAGTAAAAATTTGACAAACCAAGAAATGGAAGCAAAAAATTTACTCTCAACCATTAAACATAGTGGTAACATGTCGATAATGGTTTGGGGCTCGATGGTGGCTTTTGTACTAGGAAATTTGATTTTTATTGATGGTATCATAGTCCATAGACAGTATTTGGAAGAAATGTAAGGCAATTTGGAAACATTAACAGTATGCTTAGGGCTTGGAAATCGGTGGGTCTTTCAACAAGACAATGACCCTAAGCATACCGCTCATGTTGTCCGAGAATGGATTCTTTATAACTTACCAAAGCAACTACATTCACCGCCCCAATCTCAACCCTATTGAGCACATTTGAGATGAGGTAGAACGAAGGGTTCGTAAATACAATTTTAAAAATAAGCAATCGTAAAAGATGCACTAAACAAAGCTTGGACTGGAATACCAATCAGTGTAACAGAGAATCTTGTTCCTTCAATTCTTGAAACATGACGTTTCATAAAATTGACATTTAATTTTGACAAATTGTTGTGAAGTTGGTTACTGTTGGTAACATTGAATTTGTAACACATTGACGTTAAACTTTATTCAAAAATTTATTTAAAAAAATAAATTTGTCCACGACTACCTTATAATATATACCTTATGAATGAGTTTTCTAAAACAAAAGGGTAGTCATTTTTCACGGAGTGAATAATAGTGGTGAATAATAATCATTATTCACGGGTAATCGACTTGACACGTTAAAATTTCAAAGAACGTCAATTTAATTCAATTTTTACGAGTTTCTAAAGGTTTGACATTAAAAAAACCTAAACCAATTCCTTTTTTCATATGATTTAAGCGTAAATTAATTAATTTTCGTAAAAAAAAACGACGTTTTATAAAATTGACATTTAATTTTGACAAATTGTTGTGAAGTTGGTTACAGTTAGTAACATTGAATTTGTGACACATTGACGTTTAAACTTTATTCAAAAATTTATTTAAAAATAAATTTATGGAATCAATTTCAATAGTCCTGGACAAAATATACTATTCTAGTCACATATAATGAGCTATTATGAGCTCGCTCTGCTCGTGACATAAACTTAACCTGACTGAATAATAGCCCACATTATATGCTATACTCTGTTTTTAACCAGGAGGAGTAAACGCGAAAGTCAGATTTACACTAGGAAAAATCACCAGAAAATATCACTAGATATTTTGGCGGTAAATTTAAATTAATAATTATTATTATTTATTTATTTACTTATTATTGTATTTATTTTCGTTTGTTATCGTCAACACTAAACATACAAATTAACATTGAAGTTATGAGTGTATTTATTTCAAAATATAATAAAGAAGGGTTTAAGAACACAAAATTTACAATAATGACACGAAACTGTCGAATTGTCAATAACCTAACCTTCAAATTCAAAATTGCCTGTGTGTGTGAACCTTCCTCGCATTCAACCAATCACGTGCAAGGTCAATCTGGTGACAAATTTAAAATACTCCTCCTGGTTTAAAAACAGAGTATAGTACATATAATAGTATACTATTAAAACGAAATGTTCAATAATATGAGGTATTATTTAACTGGACTGAATTTACTTGGTGCGTGTAGACTTTTGTGACTAACTGTAGGAAAATGCGAGGTTAAGATTGCTTGTGACGTCACAAAACGTGACGTAAAATCGAAACTTTAATGTGATTTTTCGGTATGTTTAATTTTGTAAGATCCAAAGTTCTCACTATCAAGCTTAAGAAGCAAAAATAAATGTTTATTAAAAAGAAAAGTCTAAATTTACCTTTCTTTTGAATCAAAAACTTTTGAAACAAGTCCGCAAGATAAAGCTTCATCTGAATGTAATTCTCTCGCTGTGTAACACAGTTCTCTCACTAAACTATCGGATCCAATAACTTTTGGTAATCTTTGTAAAGTTCCAACATCAGCTGCCATTCCTATATCAACCTAATTATTTAAAATAAATATTAAATTGCAAGCAAAAATATTAACCTAAAATTGATTCTAACCTCTTTAACTTGAAAATAAGCATCTTTAGTGCAATATCTAATATCAGCAGCGGTTATTATATCAACACCAGCGCCAATACAGGCTGAATGTACAGCGGCTAAAACAGGTTTTGAACATTTCTCTAAGGCAGAGAGGCAGTCTTGGAACAATGGGATTTTTTGATCCCATATTTTTGCTTTTCTTGCCAAATCACCATCAGCTTCCAATTCTTGATATGCTCCACTCATGGACATCAAATCAATTCCTAAATTAAATACATTCAAAAAATTGTTATTCTAATAATTCTCTATATCACCAGCACAAAACATTTTTCCTTCTCCTGATAAAACAACCACTCTGCAATCAGCATCATAACTAAGTTTTTCAAAACATTCCTTAATTTCAAACCACATATCAGTATCCAAAGCGTTTCGTTTTGATGGTCTATTTAACACAACATGAACAACAAACGGGGATGGTGTACTGAGTTGTAATCGTGAGTAATTCTTAACAGCACACATATTTGCTATTAATTTTGTGTGATCTAAAACAAATAATTATTATATTATTTATAAATATAAATATCTTTTAATACAAATTTTTACTTTTAATTAATCCGGTTGATCTTCTCAAAGCAAACATCACAGTAAATAAGGGGGAATGGTAACACTTAAATTTAAGGGTTATCTAATAAAAAAATTAAGATTAGGTACTCGCTAAATAACGTAAAAACGTCCACTTTTAATGGGCTGAAATTTAGTGTACTTCGCTCGTTGGATTGTTTTGGATTTGTTGGACTTTGAGCTATTATTTTTTTTTTATTGTAGATATGCAATACATACTGCAAAAAGGAATTTGAACTATTTTTAGGCAAAATGCAAATGAATTAAATCTATTTCAAATATCTGCTATTAATATTTCATCTTAAAAATAAGTTATTTGGAAAATTTAGTTAATAAGTTTTCTTTTTGTTTGTAAAACTTACACATTTAATAAATTCTTACACAAACCATTAGTACAAATTTATTTTATGCAAGTTGTGCTGCCTAAAGTAGAATTTATTTACAACACATAAATACTATAATGGCATAAATCACACATAGCTGAAAATTGGGAAAGATTATAAGAAGATAGATTAGAACTAAAGTAAGTAAATGAAATAAGTAAATGTTAATGCAGAATAAGAAGTGAGGAGAGATATGAAAAAGGAAAATTCCATATTTATGGGATGTCTTCACAATGCTAAAGGAAAGTTGCATTTTGTTGCAACTTGTCAAGATGGGAAAGTGAAATCTTCTTCTTTTAGTTTAATCTAAATAGTTTCATTCTATTGATATACTACAGTGTTGGTTAAAGAAATTGAGGTTTATAACCAATACTCAACGGGCCTTGAGTTAAAGGTAAAATAGTATTAAATAGGTAACATGTGATGCTTATATAATGTAAGTACGGTTGCATAACTTTTGTTTTAAAACTATATTCTCAGTATTTGAAATGTTATTTGATTGCAAATAAAGGACTTTGTTGCACAAAAGTTAATCTTTAAATGTTCCATTATGTGTAATAGTTATAAAAATATGTGTTATTTCTTGTTCTCTTTTTTAAATTTTTTTCAAATAGAGAGCTTGGGTGAGGATAAGGCGCCATTCAATTATTATAAACAAGTTAAGCTTTAGTTTAATTCACTTATTTACAATAAAAAGTTATAATTTAGAAAATTGAATAACTTTTTCTTTTGATAAAGCTCCAGCAACAGCCGTTTGAAGATCCTCACTTTGTAACATAAAACGATTCCATAAAGCCTAAAAATAAAACAAATCCAAAAATATACTAAATTTAATAAAATAAATTAAAAAATCTTACAATGTGTTCAAGTCCGTCTTGAACTGTATGATCCCTAGAATAAATCAAACTCCTTTTTGTGCCTTGAATAGCTACAGGGCTCTTAGATGCGATTATTTTTGCAAGATCCAAAGTTCCAGCTATTAAGCTTAAGTAGCAAAACTAAATATTTGTAAACAAAAAAATCTAAATCATTACCTTTCTTTTGAATCAAAAACTTTTGAGACAAGTCCGCAAGATAAAGCTTCAGCTGAATGTAATTGTCTTGCTGTATAACAGAGTTCTCTTGTCAAACTATCGGATCCTATGACTTTGGGTAATCTTTGTAAAGTTCCAACATCAGCTGCCATTCCTATATCAACCTAAATATTATTTAAAATAAGTATTAAATTGAGTAGAAAGTTATCCTAACCTCTTTAACTTGAAAATAAGCATCTTTAGTGCAATATCTAATATCAGCAGCTGTTATCATATCAACCCCAGCACCAATACAAGCCGAATGCACAGCTGCTAAAACAGGTTTTGAGCATTTTTCAATAGCAGAAAGACTCTCTTGGAATGATGTTATTTTTTGTTCATATATTTTGGCTTTTCTTGCCAAATCACCATTTTGATCTAATTCTTGATGTGATCCACCCATGGACATAAATCAATTCTTAAAATTAATACACTCAAATATTCCTGTTATTATTGTAACAATTCTTTATATACCAGCACAAAACATTTTTCCTTCTCCAGATAAAACAATTACTCTACAATCAGCATCATAACTAAGTTTTTCAAAACAATCCTTAATTTCAAACCACATATCATCATCCAGAGCATTCCGTTTTGATGGTCTATTTAATACCACATGAACAATAAATGGGGATGGTGTGCTGATTTGTAATTGTGTGTAATTTTTAAAGGAACACATATTTGTTTATTCACCTCAATGCAAAATTACACTAAGTGACAGGGAATATTAACACTTGAAATCAAGGGTTATTTAATTATAAAAAAAAACGTGATGACTTGCTGAAAACATAGTATTTATCGCTCTTTACATTATTTTGATTTGTTGAAGTATTATATTCGTTGTGGTTATGCAACACATATAACACAACAAATTTAAATACTTCATACAGGCCAAGGTTCGTCGAGTATTGGTTATAAGGTTATCCAACTATGTATCCTTTCGTTAGACTCATTTGATAGAGATTTGTTTTTTCTTTACGATGACGAAAATTTTAGTACTCTTATATCAGAAATTGTTTATTAAGATAATTTAACTAATAACATTAATCTAGATATCCGAGATCGTCAAGTACCTCGAATTTCTACTAAAAATCATTCGTGTTTAGCCGTCTGAAGACGGCTAAACCCGAATGATAGAATGTTAGTTCTATTTCAGTAAAAGTAGACAACAATTTAACGCTTAGTAACAATTAAAACTAGAACTATGTTTTTTTTAATAAAGAATACATTATAAAAGAACACCATGAAGTTGTCCATTTGTCTATTATTTGATAAATAACTTCAGATTTAAAATGTCAACCTCAATTTTGACATATTTGTAATGGTCGTGAAAAATCCTTTAAAATGAGTCCAAACATGATACGTTTAATTCCAATATTACTCGAGATATAAGGTACTTCCGGTTTAAAATGTCAATGTCATTTTGACAAATTGTTAATTTTTATAAAATGTCTCAAAATTTGTCACAAAATCAAAAATACAATAAAAAAATGAAAAATTAAGGTTGGTATAAATATTTAAAAATTATGTTGCTAATTTTAATGTTGCTAACTTCGGGTTTAACGTTTTTTTATTTAAACTTTTTTGAGATAAGTGAGTAAAGTGAGTAAGTGAGTTTGAGATAAGTAAAATGAGTCATGTTTGAACTCATTTTAAAGGTTTTTTAATAAAGAATACATCATAAAAGAACACCATGAAGTTGTCCATTTGTCTCTTATATGATAACTAACTTCAGGTTTAAAATGTCAACCTCAATTTTGACATACTTGTAACCTTCATCAGAAATCCTTTCAAATGAATACAAACACGACATAATTTTCTTCAATATTAATGAAGTTATGGTCAACTTTCTGTTACAAATGTCAACAATTTTGACATATTTGTAATCAATTTGTTTCAATGTTGACAACTTTAATATTTTTTATTACAACTTTGTTGTTTTTCGCGATAAATGCATCATGTTTGAACTCATTTTAAAGGTTTTTTAATAAAGAATAGATTATGAAACAACACCATGAAGTTGTCCATTTGTCTATTATATGATAACTAACTTCAGATTTAAAATGTCACGTAACTGGTTCGTTAAAACTTTTTGAGGTTCCACTATTCGTAGAGGTTTGAAATTTTGGTAGCATGGGTTGTTCATTCGGAACTTTCGATCTAAAATATTTTCAAGATGGCCGCCACTTCCGGTTTATCGGAAGTAGATCATAACTTCGTTATTTTAAATGGAATGCTATAGTTTTTATTACATAGTTTAATTGTAAGTAGAAAAATAGGTTGACTTTGATAAAAGTTATTGGTACTTAGCGTTTTTCGTTTTCGAGTTATTTTGGATTACTCTTCAGATGCTGTCAAATAAATACATTGTCATTTGTTGTATGGGACTATCTTATACAGGCTGGTCAAAAATTGAATTACTGTTTCTCCATATTCAATAGCGAGAAAGTCGAAAATTTTAAATGGAACGCCCCATATTTTTTTAGCCTGTCAGAAAGGGAATTTAATTCTCTATAAATTATCTATAAACATTCCTCTAAGACGCCCGACTAAACCTAAAACTTTCTAGTTCTAGGTCTAGTGTTAGTTCTAGTTTTAATTGTTATTTAACCCTAAATTCTTGTACATTTTAATTGATCTAAAAAAAATTTTTTTTTGATTTAATCCACTTACCTTGCTTATAATTTCATCCATTTACCCATTTTGAATTAAATACAACCTTTAAATCCAATTAATTATGTATTCTTCATTAAAAAAACTTAAATTCAACGTCAATTTTGACAAGCACCTGCAATATTTGGATCTTAATCACCATGGTAACCGAGTCAAGTTGGATAACCTTAAAATAATAAAATTTTATTTCCATTTTTTTATCAATTCTAACCTAATTTTTATTAATTTTAAAACAATTCAAATTCTTTACGATTATCTCGCATTTTTTTTAATATCTTTATATTCTTGTGTATTGCTTCTTAAGTGAAATAACTGTATAAATAAAAACAGAAATGTCAATTCTTCCAATGATATGTTCATAACAACAGCGTTCATAGGGAGTTGGATAACCTTATACATGTTTACTCAACGGACCTTGATACAGGCGAAGTAAAAAACACTAATTCATTTATAAAAAAGAAAATTCACTTATTTAATAAGTAAAATCAAAATTAAATTATTACATTGAGATAGAAACAGATCAAATTCTTCAGTGTAAAAAGTTTTTACACTATTAAAACAAATAACTTATTTGCTAAAAAATGTTAATATAGACGTTTGTTTTTTAATAATTCGTTTAGAAACAACTCGTTGAGTTTGTTTAGGTGTTACTTTTGATGTTGGTACTTTCTCTTCGCATTTTCTCTTATCCAAGTTATCCTAAAAATTATTAATCAATTTTTTTAAATTAAAGTAAATTCTAAATAACTGACTTTAACGTTGGATTCATTTTCAAAATCATTTCGTCTTTTTCTTGTAATTATCGGAGATATTTTTTGGTCATCTTTAGTCTCATTTTTATCAACAGCGATTATTTCATCGCTACGTCGTTTTATTAAATTGTCAATAGCTCCTAATAAAGAAACCATCGGTTCATGGTTATTTTCATTTTTATTTGTTTCATCATTTTTCTTAAAAAATCTACTTGATAACCCATTTTTATAATCAACAACAGTCGGCCCGTTCTTATTAAACCCACTAGAACACCGATTTACACTCGTCATTTTGATTTCGCCATGAATTAACACATCTATATCTTCCGATTTTTTAATAACTGGTGATTTAAATGGTCCCATTTTTTTATACATAACCATGATGTCTTCTTCATGTTCTTCATCCACCACAATTTCTTTTTCTAAAGGTGCTTTCCTTTTAATTTTTTTAGGAGTTACTATTATAGGATCTTTACTGGTCTTAATCATAGTTTGAAACATATTATTTTTTAACCAAATACTAAATGTAGGTAAAGAAGATGAGTCAGGATCCCAATCATCAACTTGTTTGTGCGTAAAAGGATCTAAATTACCCAAAGAAAGTTGAAATGCAACAGCATCATCAATTTTACTTCCAGCATTTACACAATGCTTTAAATCAACATTGGGCGAAATTGGATTTAAAGGTTTTAAGCGACGTTCTTTTGGATCAAAAATAATTTGGTATTGAAATGTTGCATCAGCAATCATAAAATTCTCTCTGTATTCATCTGTAACTGTTACATTACTTAATTTTAAATAAGATGATATTTGTGATAACGCCTAAAAATTCCATTTCAATCATAAAATTATAACCAAAATTAACTTACATTATAAATACTTGGGTTTTCAGTAACAGAAATAAATTTGAGTGCTTTCTTTAGACCTACACCTGGTAAATTATCCAAGTAATCACATCCAGATAAAATACACATATATCTAAACTTATCAAATGAGAATTTATCACTTCTAAGCTTCATACAATCATTAAGTTTGTCTGCATTTACCAAAACACCATTTCCATTGATATCCATTTTAAAGAGTATCTTTAACAAATTATTACAATTACAAATCAAATCATGTTAAGAAAAATTCATTAAAATTACTTGATTACATCCGAATAATGTAAGATCAGAATCTTCAGATATAACAAAATCAACAATTTTCGATATATTTAAATATGCTAATTGTGCATCAGCTTCATAAGGCGCAACAATACAATCAATCCCCTTTTCACGACATTCTTTAATTAAATTTAAAGCCATTTTATGTGTTACATCAATGGATTGGCTTAGATATTTTCTTGCTTCTAACACATTGCCTAAACGTAACATTTCTGCAGCTTTATGTTTAAGGGAACGCCTATTATTTCGTCTTTTCTCTTCTGTTAAGCGTTTTGCTGGTAAATGTTGTCCATCAAAAACGAGAATTGGGCGGACTTTGTACGATTGTAACATCTTTATGTATTTCATACAATAAAGAACATATCTAAAACAAATTAATTACTTTTTTGATTTCACTAAGTGAGAAAGCTTACCCATTGGTATCTTCTCCTTTCGCTAGTTTTTCAGCACAACCAAATGCACCTTTGTGAAGCCAACAATAAGCGTCAATACCCGCTGTGCAGCCCCTAAATTTTGAAACGTGGGCTTTTTCTGAGGCATTCTCCAAAAACGGTAACAAACCGCTAATTCCCATTGATTTATAAGTGGTATTATTACTTTAAATTAGTTGTTTAGAGTATTATAGTATCAGATCAATAATTATTCGAGCGGGATTTTAAAAAAAGTTAGGTTATGTTCATATAAACTAAAGATGGTAGGCAACCAACATTTAAAGTAAAACAGGTATACAAAAACAGTTAATAATAATCATTTATTTATTGAATTTCCACAGATAAAGTTTAAAACATCCAAAATTAATCCCTATTATTAATTTTTACATTTTTAAATCTTTAAAAAAATTAATTCTTGTTTCAATTAGTTCCATCTAACGGCAATTACATGTATTAAATTGTACTTTTCACATTCGCAAAGTATTCACATAAATCCTATAAAAATTGATTGAAATTCATGAATAATAATGGTTTTGTAATAAAGTTGTGAATTGTAGCAATTAGGGAAAACCCGTAATTATTATTATGTCAATTTTTTAATATTTGTGTAAACGAAATATTTCAGCAAGAGATGGCAGCACCGAGTAAATTAGAAACAGTATTTTTAATTCCGAAATGTCCTTTAATATTACAAACTTTAACTTTTAAAATTGTAGCAAATGTCTTAAAAATGGTACTGCATGCTTTAAAAATGCCCCGAATTAAGAATAATTGTATTGAAACCCCAAGGGAATTGAAGGTAATAGTTTGGATTATGAATTAACGTATTTTGATTATCCTTATTTAGATTCTGATTCTACGGAAAGTTTGGAGCAAAAGCAAGAAGTTTTGCGTTAGAAAGACTTTAATGATTTAAACCTGTATTAAATGCTGTGGTGTTTATGGCCAAGGAAGTCATTAAAAGCTAGTATATTAGATAATATTCTCATACTCTGTGTGGAAAAAGTTGGGGTCTTACCCCTGAAAGATAGTGCTGGATCTATGTGACTGTAGTTAGACGTATGATCACATATGGAGCGACAGCCTGGTATAGAAAAGCCCTACAGACTTCAGTTATCAGTAAACGTTCAAGAATTCAACTCTAGCAATGGATGTTCTACTTGGCCTATCTCCTTTGCATTTGCATATAGAAAGTGGTTCATCTACAGGTTTAAGATATATGCTCAAAACTGCTCTGACATGTCCTACCAATGGGCTGCGGAAGACACTATAACCACTGATATTCTGATATTTACATGTTCACAGACTATACAGTACGTACTGTTCTGTATTCCAGGCGGAAGTATTTGCTATTGACATGGGTGTTAACTTCTTCTTGAGAGAGGAGTGAAGAACATGACAGTACGATTTTCAGACAGTTGAACGATCTTCCGGATACTCTGAACGCGTATAGGACGATAATGTATGCAGATGACACAACATTGATAAGTATATCTAGTACATATAGTTGAAGAGCTACACGAAAATGAAGGTCTCAGTCAAAAGGTTGCATCAGATTGGTTTAAAACGAACAAACTTAAGCTGAATGAAAATAAGACACAAAAAATTGATTTTAGTACTAAAGCAAATAATAATGTCACGGCGGTTAAGTTACTGGAGCTGCAGTTTGAAAACTCTTTGAAAGGGAATCTACAAGTAGATGTAATAGGAAAGCAACGTACAATTAGCTCAGTAGTTTACCAACTTAGAACACTTATAAACCTAACAGATTTGCAAACAGTGATGGTGGTATATTACTCGAATTTCCAGAGTATGTATGATGTCATATAGCATTCTGTTTTGGGAAAGTTCACCAAGAGTCGAGCGTATACTCTTAATTCAGAAAAAAGCAGTAAGAACGCTATTCAAAGCTAATCAACTAGAAAGTTGTAGGCCACTTTTTATAAAATCAATAATAATGTCTACATTTTTAAATGTTTGTTGTTCGTAAAAGAAAATCTGAATGGTATATTATGCCCAGAGGAGTTATATAACTACAGTACGAGAAATCAAAAATTGTTACAAATCCCTTACCATAGGCTGTCGACATGCCAACAATCTGTTTACTACCAAGGAATAAGATTTTATAATAAATTGCGGGACGACACAAAATCTCTTTCACGAGAACAATTTAAACATGTTCTAAAATTACATTTTAGCAGCAAGTTGTACTATTCCATGCATGAATTCACGGATACTACGTAGATTTTGTAATTGTCATTTATTAAAATTCTAACCATACTCTTGACGACCTGTAACTTTATGTTTTTTTTGGGAATAAATTATTATTATTATTAAACACTGAGTTGTGATAACAGAGTTGTCTGGTGAAGTGGCAGATGAGCTAGCACGAGAGGGCAGAGCTAAAGCGTTTCTGGGACCAGAGCCAGCAGTTGGCATATCATTTGCGTTGGCCACATAGGATTGGACTGTGGGCTGAAGAGAGATTTCGCCTACTGTGGACCAATTCTCCTGTAATGAGACACGCTAAGTTGTTTATTAACATCCCTACTGTCAAATCCGGGAATATTTTAGGACTGGCTCGTAACAGCTTTAAAGTTCTAATGGGTGTCTTTACTACTAGGCACTGCCGATTAAAAACACCTCAACTTATTGGACCTAGCCTAATGCCGACTATGTGCGGAGGAGGAGAAGACGGTTGAGTATGTTTTATGCCACTGCTCTGCTGTTAATCATATCAGATTCTCGATTTTTGGGTCACAGTTTATCTCTCCAAAGGATCTGAATGACTTTACACCGAGCAAGATATTAAGGGTCGTTAAGAACATAGAACTGCACGGTGAAATTTGATAATATTATCCCTCCTATGTTTATGTAATAATTTGATTGTTATATAACGATTTACACATTTCCAGAGAACTTTATTATACAGGGAAATAAATCCCTAAGATTATGCTTATAGGTTGAGAATCACCCTGTATACATTTTTATTATAAGAAAATATTAATTAGTTTTAATTTAAATTTATTTTGTTAACTTTAGTTATCAATTTTTGTTTCACCGATAAACTTAATCAATTTAATAGCCACTCATATAAAACATTAATGATAATTTCTCTTTTGCGTTTTCCTAAATACACATAGTTTTACTTCACATTCCTAGATAATAATCACTTAATTCTACACGCAACTTGTCAACATTTTATGTTTTTTTACCCCTTAACCATTCAGGAACATTTCCCATTCGACTCCGAATCGAATATGTTTAATTTTAAATGTAACGGCACTCTCGAAGATTATTATATTTTACTCCGATTGGCATATAGTTTGGGTTTAACCCCGATCGTTAACGTAACAACCCCAAAACTTGGAAAATTTTATAAATATTACGCATCATTACTTTTATTGTTAATTTTAATAGGAGCTGGGATTTCATTTTCGGGGAGAATTTTAAATGTTTATCCTATATTTCCAGTTACTATTACTTTAGTCGATGGGATGTCGTTGATTGTTTTAACATTAACTAATGTTGTATCAATTTATAACCTTTCAATCAATAGAGTTGGTACAAATTTAATGGTAGATTTTTTTGAAGGTAAGAAAAATCGTTTTTGGATCAAAAATTATTTAATAGATTATTTTCTTTTTATAGGAATGAGTTGTGTTGATACGAAATTGCATAAATATTGCAAAAAAATTGATTTAAAGAGATATTACATCGAATTAATAATTGGTCACATCTTTATAATAATATTTTATATATATGATGGTTATGTTTGGATAAAATATCTTGGTATATATCGTTTTAAAGCATATATATGCCGTTCGATACAAAATTATATAAATTTCATAACCATGTTTATGATAAGATATTACGTTTTAACTATAAAACTTCGTTTTCATGGGTTAAACGTTTATATTCAAGAGTACGCAAAACAAATTTTATCGTCTCCAGTACATATAGTACATCAACACTGTTTCGATGAAGAATTCGCATCATGTAAGCGACCAATATCCCATATTTACAATGCATTGTGTGATCAAATCAACGTTTTCAATAAGCTTTATGGTTTACCAACACTTTTACTCTCGTTATACTTTATAAGTGAATTATTAGTATCACTCATGCTAAGCATTATTTATTATTTTCAACGGCATCAACACATGGATGGTTTTCACTTTGGTGTAGATTTATTTTGGTTGTGTTTCTTTTGGATTATTAAAGATTTTGTAAGAACAATTTATTAAAATTTTAATGAAACTTTACCATCTTCTTTTAGGTTTCTTATTTAAAAATTATTGCTCCTTGTGATGGAACGATCGGTGAAGTAAAACAAATCCCTATTGTTTGTTACAAACTTCTTCATGAAATTTCTGATAAATCAACGTTAAATTATCGCGAAAAATGTTTACGATCAGAATTAACCTTAATTGCACTTCAATCATCAACGATCATTCCAAATTTTAGCGCAGCGGGGTTTTTTAATATCGATTTTACAACGTTTTTTACATTAATGGGATTTGTTACAAGTTATTTGGTGGTGTTAATACAATTTAATGGAAATTGAGAAGCGATTCAAAGAAACCAGTTTTTGATCACAATTTAAAGTAAATTTGTTGATTAAAATTAATGTTTAAAGATGTATTATGAAATAAACAACATTTTAAAATAAATTTTGTTTACTTTAAATACATATATTTGATTTCTTTTTTAAAACCTTCGACCGGGCGCGTTGTCATTAAATTTATGAGAATTTTCGTTTTTATATTATATCTCCTTATATTATGCATTTGAAAGAATTTACCGGTAAAGTATTTATGTAACTAATGTAACTATGTATTTTGAACATGATGAAAAAAAATATATTGACGTTGTGTTTATGGAAAAATGTTATAAAATACAAAAATTTACACATTAATCGCTGATTTATAAGGCCGTATTTATATTATGGGATGTATTAAGGGATATAAATGTATTATAAACAGGTTTTGAGTCATACATGAAGATTTCGGATCGTTTGCACATTTTTGAAAAATGCAGGTCTTACCTGACTTCAGGTTTAAAATGTCAACCTCAATTTTGACATATTTGTAATATTCGTTAAAAATCCTTTAAAATGAGTACAAACACGACATATTTATCTTCAATATTAATGAAGTTATGGTCAACTTCCGGTTAAGAATGTCAACGTCAATTTTGACATATTTGTAATCGTTGTGAAAAATCCTTTAAAATGAGTCCAAACGTGATACGTTTAATTCCAATATTACTCGAGATATAAGCAACTTCCGATTTACAATTTTACAAAAATATAAAAAAAAATCAAAAATTAAGGTTGGTATTAAGTTGCTATCTTCATTGTTGCTAACTTCGGGTTTAATGTTTTTTATTCTAACTTTTTTGTATTTTGAGATAAGTGCGTCATTTTTGGACTCATTTTAAAGGTTTTTTTAATGAAGATGACATATGTCAAAACTGACGTTGTCGTTTCAAACCGGAAGTGATTGTATTTCCATTAATATTAAAGTTAAATATGTCGAGTTTGGACTCATTTTAAAGGATTTTTTATGAAGTTGACAAATATGTCAAAATTAAAAGTTATATCTAGAACTAGAATCAGACTCAGTTTTAGGTGTAGTGTTAGTTCTAGTTTTAATTGTTATTTAACCCTAAATTCTTGTACATTTTAATTGACCTAAAAATATTTTTTTTGATTTAATCCACTTAGCAATTGCAATATTTCGATCTTAATTACCATGGTAACTGAGCCAAGCTGGATAACCTTAAAATAATAAAATTTTATTCCGATTTTTTTATTAATTCTAACCTAATTTTTATTAATTTGAAAACAATTCGAATTCTTTACGATTATCTCGCATTCATAACATATTGTAATTAATTTAAATCGATTCTAATTAAGAGAAATAAATTAAAAATATCTTTTTTTTTAATTTAATCCACTTACCTTGTTTACAATTCCCTAGATAAATCAATTTTGAATTAAATACAGCCTTTTAAACCAATTAAATAAGACTTTTTCCTTAAAAAAAACTTAAATTCAATTTCAATTTTGACAAGCACTTGCAATATTTGGATCTTAATCACCATGGTAACCGAGTCAAGTTGGATAACCTAAAAATAATAAAATTTTAACCGTTAATATTTCGCTTTATATTTTAATATTTTATTTTATATATTTTTATATTTATGTGTATTGCTTCTTAAGTGAAATACACTGTATAAATAAAAACATAGAAATGTTAATTCTTCCAATGACGTCGCAGCAAGGCCTTTGCGAGGGGATACGTTCATATGGTTCATATGGAGTTGGAATTTGGAATAACCTTATACAGTAGGTTTGTTCCAACAAGCCGTCTGACTCGTCCATTACTCGTCAAATGCAATCGCACATGTCAAATAATGTCGTCACATATCAGCGGATTTCATTGCATTATTTAACTGTACGATTGCATTTAACGAGTCCACGACGAGTAAAACCGCTGGTTGGAACAAGCCTAGTATGTTTACTCAACTGACCTTGATAAGATATCACTATGTTGCATATTCCAATTGAACTAAAACTAACACTAGACGTCTAGTGTTAGTTCCAGTTTTGCACTAGCACTATCACTAGAACTAACACAATACCGAGAACTAGAATCATTTGGATTTAACGGTCTTGAGAGACGCACGGCTAAACCCGAATGTTTCTAGGTCTAGTATTAATCCTAATTTTAATTGTTAATCAGCGCTTGATTGTGGGATATTTTTATTGAACGAAAAGTAGAACTAATACTAGACCCAGAATTAGACATTCGGGTTTAGCCGTGCGTATCTTAAGATGAAAGAAAATTTAAGATTGACATAAGGGCGTCACCTTTTTCCAAGCAAAACTTTTCCTCTGCGAAACTACCCAGTGCGTCTACTATTAGTTGCATTTTATGTGGGACAGTGCAAGTGCACAGTAGTTAGTAAATGTTGTTATATTTCAAAAATTAATCGATTTAATTTTATGTTTTTAACAATTGTTTAATACTCCTGTAAATATTTTTACTCTAGCAAAATGTGTTTTATTAAAAATAACTTAATACTTATTAATACGGACCTGATGTCATAAAATTTATGACACGCGCCCGCTGGAAGGTTAATAATTGGTTCGTCTCCTGAAAATGAGTAATAATGGTAAAAAAGTTAATTTAAAATTTTATACTCTGAATAATCGAATTTTATTTTCAAAACACAAAAGTTACAGAGTCACGCATTTTCAGACCAGTTTATTTAACGAGACCTAATTTTTTCGCTTCGACTTCGTAAATTAGCAATCTCCACATCTTCACGACAAACACTTCCGCTTCTTCATCCAGTACCATTTGAACGTCTTCCAAAATAATTTGAGGTTGCGACCCCGCCAAAACTTTCGAACAAATAAAATCAACAAGCGTCGGTTCCGGTTCACCTATATACTCGATAATTTTCTTATTTATCCACGGGCGAATCTTTTTCTCCATCAAATTATTGTCTATCGCCGACCAATCCAATTTATAAGCAAACAACGCATCTTTTTCTGTAGGAATTTTTTCTATAAGCGATTTAATATGTTTTCGTTTCTCCTCTTGAGATTTTATCGAATCCTCCGATTTCTTTTCCCCGTTTTCTTTATCTTTCTTCCCTTTCTTATTGTCGTCGTAATCGAGAGGAACCAATTTTCTCTTTTTAATTTGAGGGGCTGAGTCATCTTCATCCGGATTAAAGACATCCTTTAAATCAGATTTTCTTCGTTTTGGATCACGCTGTCCGTGTGGACTAAAAACTATTGGTTTAGATAACGATATTTTCATCGTTGTTCCTGTGGTTATCGGTGGAGGTTCTTCGTTATGATTAGATGTCGTTGATTGTCTGGAATCTTCATCTATTTGCACTTGAGTCCACTAAAATTTATTAAATTAAATAATAGTATATTCAAAAATTAGTTTCATTTGAAATGCACGAATTCAAATGTAAAAATGAGTGCTTTAAGTCTTATTAAACGTGTTTTTTATGCTATTTTTTTGTAATTCGCGTTTTTATCCTTTTTATTTAACAAAAATAAAATAAATTTTGACAATGTAGGGAAATAGGTATGTAGCAGTTGGTAACACCGAAACACTTGAAAATAGAAATGTCAATTGACAGTTAGAAATGTCAAAACACAAAATGTATTCACCTGAAAAAAATGTTTCATGTACACCTCCCGAAATAAGAGAAATTGCTCAGAGTTCTATTAAAAGTTTTATTTCAATGATGAGTTTGGTCGTGGAAATGAGTATAAGTATGTTTGGGTTAAAAATGAAAAGATAATGCTTAAAAAGACTGATGAATCCAAACCCATTTTCATAAACTGGGCTGATTACTTGCCAAAAAACTAGAGAAAACTCAACAAGCTGCTACAATCAATATTAAACTACGTTACATTAACATAAGAAGTCTGCAACACAAGCTTGGGGAAGTTCTGGCGCAGAGGGACCCTGACATACTGGTGCTCGCGGAAACTTGGCTTTATGAGGATGAATCGGTTGCTATAAATTATGTGGGATATGATGGGATACATGTCTGCAGAAGGAATAGAGATGGTGGCGTGTTGATATTTACTAAGACAAATTATGATTGTAATTTGATGATTCTGGGTATTGAAATTATGCCATTTAATGTTAATGTTTTTGGTGTGTACAAACAGCCTATCAGTATATATATCTCATTTATGAGAACGTTGGAAAGTACACTACATGTAAATAATTCACTATATATTGGGGATTTTAATATATGTCTATTGGAGAATAATAATAACTGCTTAGACTACATGGAAGCATTGAAAACTAATGGGTATAAAATTTTGAACAAACTAAGTGAATTAAATCCCACTAGAATTGATCAGGGAACAAAATCTATATTGGATCATATTTTTACTAACTTTTAAAAACACTACAGTTATGATGTTAATATGTTTGATCATTTCGTCTCTGACCATAAATTAATAGATATAAAACTTACAATAGATATAATGACTAAGATAACAAAGCTACGATGTCTTAAAGCAAAATGTTGAAATTGTGTTGAACTCTAGACAAACCAAAAACATTGAAATGGATACTTTGCTTGGCGTTCTTCAAGCAGAAATTGGTAAAGTCACGAATACATTTGTAAGATGTACAACAACAAATATAACTGAGGGATAGTTCACTACAGCAGTCAAGAATAAAATAAAAGAAAGAGATAAAGCGTATATTAGGACGAAGCGTTTTCCTGGAAGTAAATTATAGTGGTGTCAATTTGTCAAACTACGGAAAGAAGTCAAAAACCTTATTAGAAGGAACAAGAAGGAACATATGGATAAAAAATTTCAGAATACTGAAGAATGCCCTGTCGATTGATATAGAAAATAAACGGCTTCCTAAGATTGTAAGCAGTAAGGGAGACGCAGTGGATCTAGGGAACTTTCTAATGTTCTGAATGATCACTTCACCTTCAGTGTAGATAGGTTGCTTGCGGTAAAGCTGGCCGCCAATGGCAGCTTAAATTATGGAATAGATTCCTCAATGTACATTAAGCCTACAACTGCAGATGAAATTGCGGCGTCACCAGGCGATGACGGTATAAAACTAAAAGCGATGAAAGTACTGAAAGGAGTTTTATCACCTGTTCTATCAAGTATTATCAATAGAGGAACAAAACTTGGTCAATTTCCCGATATCCTAAAGATAGGAAAACTATAGACCAATATCTATACTGCTATACTGCTATACTGCTTAGTAAGCTCGAAGCTTTGGGAGTTCAGGGACCACCACTGAGAGTTTTTAAAAATTATTTAAGAAATAGAAAGCAGTACACTGTTTACAATAATGCTACTAGCAGCAAGACTCATATCAAGTATGGAGTACCCCAGGGATCTGTCCTCGGTCCTCTGCTTTTTTTAGTATACATAAATGATATAACCAATTGTTGTATGCATGGTGATCTTGCCTTGTATGCGGATGATGCTGTTTTGTTCTACAGCGGGTCTATGGACTCTGTCTTTTCCGATGCTCAGTGTGATCTGGACAGTGTTTGCTCTTGAGTAGATGAAAATAACATTAAATTAAACAGCGATAAATGTACATGAACTTATAATCTCTGGTATTAGGTTGAGTGAAGTTACAAATACTACCTATTTGGACATTGTCTTAGACAACAGATTAACGTTTGAATACCATATAAAATTAATACAAAAGAAGTTAAATGGTATAAGCTATCCTCTAAAACGTAATGGTCAATATTACAACAATGAAATGAGATTTTTTATTTATTATGCCTAGGCTCACTCTTACTTAAATTATCTTTGCGCTTTTTAGGGTCACGCTTGTAAAAAAGACCTTGACAAGCTACAAGTAACACAAAATAAGTTTTTTAAAAATTCTCTTTTGAAAATCACATAGCACAAATACTACATCATTTTATAATGAGTTAAAAGTGCTTAATGTACAGGTGTCCAAATTTCGATGGGTTTGCAGGGTATCTCAGTTATTATGAAAGATAGAAAGTTGTGGTTTTCGCGAACCAGAGCTACTTTTTTGTGAAACTTACAATGGCGCAAACCAAATTTTCATAGCCCTCTTCGTTTTTGATATACAGGGAGTGTTTCAAAATTTACGATTTTCAGACACCCCCTGTATATCGGCTATCCGGAAACTTAGTAAAAAAGTAAAAACGGGTTCTAATAGATTTTTTCACGTAGAATCCGATGGTGCACGTAGAATTTTTCTAGTCATCACGGTTTTTGTGTTATAAACACAACCTAGGTTTTTTTAAATGGAACCACCTATATTTTATTTTTTTATTGAACTAGAATTTTTTCAAGTTTTTCAATGATATATAACTCTATGCTTACCTTTATAATTAACCTCGAACTTGAAAAAATACATTATTTTATAAGTAAGCAATGATAAATAGTAAATTTTGAAACACTTCCTGTATATCAAAAACGAAAAGGGCTATGAAAATTTGGTTTGCGGCGTTGTAAGTTTCACAAAAAGTAGCTCAGGTTCGCGAAAACCGCAACTTTCTATCTTTCATAATAGCTGAGATACCCTGCAAACCCATCGAAATTTGGACACCCTGTATAGGGTGGTTCAAATTCGATGTCCGAATAGGCTAACTCGGAAACTATAAGAGTTAGAAAAAAAGTAGCTTACATGTCATGATCTCGTTTTTCGAGAAACTGCTAATGCCGAAAACCTCATAGCGCTATCGTCTTTTGTTTTTCCCCTAGAGGCCAAAATTGGAAATATCGTAAAACCAGCAAGTGCAATTATCTTCGTTATTATTATAGGTGGAGTATTATAACTAAGACATTATATGGACACTTTTTTATAGAGAATTGGATGACGTAGTCAAAAAAATTTTTTCGGTTTTAGATTTTGAGATATTATCACAATTTTCGTTTTTTTAAATGGAAACAACCACTGATTATTCGCTTATTAAATTCGTTATTTTTTTCTGATTACAAAAATATAGGGTTCGACAGGTCTATTTCTTATTGTTTTAGAATAAAGCCAAAAATAAACTTTTTTTTTAAATTTCCATCTAGTGTCATCGACGAAATTAAATTTACAGTTTCCTGTAAATTATGGTACTATAACTAAAAATTAAAAAAACAAATTTCTGATGTTTGAAACAAATAAATTTGTTGAACTATTTAATTTATATATGTTTTACACAAAAGTTGGAATAGATTGCATTATTTCACATTTTTTATTAATATTTAATATTATTATTAAATGACTTAATAAATTATTGATAGATGGCGCTCATATATTTTTTTTTTTAATTCAAATAAACATAGCAACATTTGTTTGTATTCAAAAATTTTCTGAAGTGTCACTTTAAAAATCCTGTTTTTAAGATCAATTACGAAAATTTTGAAAAGTTTGACATGTTAGAATGTTACATATTAAAAAATTATTTGTTTTTAAATACCAGAAGTTATCTTCGTATTTAATTGTTAACTTTTTAGATTTTACCTACCGCCCCGTAACTTACAGGAAACTGTAAATTTAATTTCCTCGACGACACTAGATGGAAATTTTAAAAAAAAAGTTTATTTTTAGCTTTATTCTAAAACAATAAGAAATAGACCTGTCGAACCCTATATTTTTGTAATCAGAAAAAAATAACGAATTTAATAAGCGAATAATCAGTGGTTGTTTCCATTTAAAAAAACGAAAATTGTGATGATATCTCAAAATCTAAAACCGAAAAAATTTTTTTGACTACGTCATCCAATTCTCTGTAAAAAAGTGTCCATATAATGTCTTAGTTATAATACTCCACCTATAATAATAACGAAGATAATTGCACTTGCTGGTTTTACGATATTTCCAATTTTGGCCTCTAGGGGAAAAACAAAAGACGATAGCGCTATGAGGTTTTCGGCATTAGCAGTTTCTCGAAAAACGAGATCATGACATGTAAGCTACTTTTTTTCTAACTCTTATAGTTTCCGAGTTAGCCTATTCGGACATCGAATTTGAACCACCCTGTACATGAGATGATTAAGTGTGAAGCTAATATATAAAATCAAAAATAATCTAATGGAAACTGGCATTGACTTTAACCTCAACTGCGATATACATGCGTATAATACAAGAACTAACCAAAATATTCACATCTTGCCCCTTGCAAGAAACATTGGGAGAAGAAGTGTTACTGCAGCAGCGGCGGAGTAGTTTAATGATTTACCACAACGGGTGAAGAATGAATGGTCTGGAGTCCTTTGTGGGAGAAGCAAGGACTTATTACCTTAATCTTAGATTAAACTGATTTTGAAATGTTTTTTTTGTTGTATATGTATGTAACTTCTTCTTGCGTTGTTGTTATATTTTAGTGTTTATATACCTGTTATGGACTCTTATGTCTTTTTGGGAAATAATTATAAAACTACTAACAGTATGCTAAATTTAAGGTGTGGTGCGAAGAGAAGATTAAAGAAATTTCAGAAAATGTGCGAAAATTGTCACCAACTTGAACTGGTTCCATAAAATGTTACTAAAATCTCATTACATCATCAGATGCTGTAAGGAGTCTCATTACAGCACCAGTTTGAGTACTGTAATAGCTTTCATTACCGTCACGAATTACAAAAAAATTTGTTATTATTAAAAAATTTTGTTCTTACTTGGGCTGCGGGTGGTTCAGGGTGAGGCTCTTCAGGTGGGGGTGGACTAAAATGATTATCATCCATATCACTATCACTGTCAATTGGTTCTGTTTCAACAGCGGCGAGTTCTTGTGCTGCTTGTTGAGCTATAAACCTTAAAAAAAATTATTTAATTAATAAAATATTTGGTTCATTAAGTTTTTATACTTTTCTCTTTCTTCTTTATATTTTTGTCGATCCATTTCTCGTTCTAATTCTCGATCTCTATCCCTTTCCCTCGCGTGCTGTCTCTCCAAAGCTCGCTCCTTTTCTTTTTCTTTTTGTCTCCAATAGTCCATATTAACGTCAATCAATAATTTTGGTTTGTACTGTTCTTCTCGTTCCTTTTTCACCTAATTAAATATGTAATTAATATATTTTGTGATTTATTTAATATATTTTGTGTAATACCTTTTCAAATTCCGCATTAGGATCTTCGTATTCACCCGAAAATATTTTCATTTTTAATTCTTCAATTTCCTCCTTCTCTTTCACCCTATCTCTTTCGTCGGATTCTTCCTCTTTGAGTCGCTCTGCCAGTCTTTTTTGTAATTCTCTACCCCTAAATATTAACGGGTTAATATTAATAAATAAATACATTCATTTTATTATTACTTATAATATTTAACGTCATCTCTATCATCATCATAATCTTCCAAAAATTCTTTCAACCTTTTAGCTTCTTTTTCTCTTTCTTCTTCTTTAACGCGCTCTTTTTCACGTTCTTTTTCGTAATCTTTGGATTTCCGCCGTTCTCTCGTTTCCCATTGTCTAAATAAAAATTAATTAATATTTTCAAATTATTTTTAATCATTAATTAATTAACCTTAATCTTTCTTGATATAAAGCTTCTTTTTCGCGCGCTCTTCTATCCGCCTTTTTCTTTTCTTTCGCCTCCTCTTCCATTTCTTTCTCTTTAAGCAAATCTTTCGTACTTTTAGACTTTTCATCGCGATCTCTATCGCGATCTCTTTCGCGTTCTCGCTCCCTTTCTCGTTCTCGTTCCCTTTCGCGTTGTTCTCGTTCTCTTTCACGCTCGCGTTCTCTTTCGCGTTCCCTTTCACGTTCGCGACTTCGTTCTCTATCCCTCGATCTAATTAAATATATTTTAATTAATTCAATTTAAGTTGTTATAATCTTTTTTTACCTGGATCTCGAATGTCGCCTTTTTTTCTCCTCTTTTTCCCGTGTTCTTTTTGGGCTGACAGATCTAGAAGTGGATCGATCTTTTCTGCTCTCCTTCTCCTTCCGTCTGATGACTTCCTTTTCTTCTTCTTGTCTCTAGAACGAAGCGAAGAATGCGTAAATCGCTTTTTTACTTGTATACGCGATTTTGGAATAATAAAAAATGTTATATAGAAAAAGTAATCATACCGATGTTACACGAAGGCTCTTACGTACGTATCCTAAGCGTTCTCTGCCAATTAGATTTTATATAGTATAGAGACAGACGATCTCTCACAAGTCTTTTTTCCTATTTTACTCTCAAAACCCTGACGATACTGTTAAATCACATTTTAATAATAACAATAATAATCAATTATTATCATCAAATAACAACAACAGCAGCAACAACAAATCAATGAGTTAATTTCGAGATTATTTATTTATTTGGAGCGCAATGTTACCTATTGATAAAAGCGGTATTAACTAAATAAAAATGGAAATTACATTTATTATATATATAAAAAAAGCGGTATATATGCTGTGGTAAAGTTTATCGATCCATTATAACCAGTTATTTTAATTCTTGAAACATTAATGTGTAAAAACGTAATGTTCCTGTAATCAATCAAATGCATGCACAGTGACAAGTTGTTTTAAAATATTTTACTCAACACTAAATTATCACCGTTTTAATAGTAAAACATATAATCCTCTACATTTTAAATATAAAAGTGATTTACTAAGTGTGTTTGGGGACATTTCACAATCACGTTTTGAAAATAATTATGACGCAAAACAAGATTATTGTGATCAAAATAATTCTACACAAGTGTGCCAATAATGATTTCTTTTCTAAAATATCCATATAAAATTTAAATTAAGGTGTAATGTAATTAAGAACAAAGAAATTAAATAATATTAAAATGATGCGATTATTTATAACTTAAATGTTAACATTATTATTAGGGAATAAAACTAATCCATCAAAACCACATAAACAACCAAACCCAATTTGACTATAAAGCATTGTTCTCGATATAGTGTGCATCAAATACAATACAGAAATGGCATTAAATCCGACGCAGAGGAAGTTATTGGCTATCGAAGCCGGCAAAATAAACTTTGCTGCGAAAATTACAGACAAATCTCATTACTGTCCACATCTTACTAGGCTAAAATCATAAAGCAATAACCCTCCATCCGCGGCAACTTAACCCTTTGTGTCCCAAGAAGTCAAACATTTTGAAACTTTCTGACAGAATCAGACAGAATTAAAACCCTATCAAAATACACTCAGTAAAGGCCTTTGGAATAAAATTTTAGCAAAATATGCAATCCCCCAATTTTCGCATAGTCTAAGTGTCAAAAAAGATGCTAATTCAAAAATTCATGGAAACCGTGTTTATTGAAATTAAGAAATAAAACTTATTTTAAATTGAAGCTTTCTGTTTAAATCGATGTATCGATGGGTTGAATTAAAAAAATATTGAGAAAAAGAGTATTGAGTTAAAACTAACATTTTCGTATAAGCTAAAAGTGCCAAAAAAGATGCTAATTTAAAAATTCCTAGAAGCCGTCGTATTTATTGAAATTAAGGAATGAGACTTATTCTATATTAAAGCACAAAGCTTTCTCTTTAAAATGATGTATAATAATTGTTGGGTTGGATTGGAAAAATATTTTAAAAAAATGTTGAAATAAAACATACATTTTCGTATAACCTAAGAGTGCCAAAAAAGATGCTAATTTAAAAATTCCTGGAAGCCGTATTTATTGAAATTAAGGAATGAGACTTATTTTAAATTAAAGCTCAAAGCTTGCTGTTTAAAATGATGTATAATAATCGTTGGGTTGGTTAAGAAAAATATTGAGAAAAAAAATTTTGAAATAAAACGTACATTTTCGTATAACCTAAGAGTGTCAAAAAAGATGCTAATTTAAAAATTCCTGGAAGCCGTATTTATTGAAATTAAGGAATGAAACTTATTTTAAATTAAAGCTCAAAGCTTTCTCTTTAAAATGATGTGTAATAATTGTTGGATTGGATTGGAAAAATATAGAGAAAAAAAAAGTTGAAATAAAACTTACATTTTCGTATAACCTAAGAGTGTCAAAAAAGTTGCTATTTTAAAAATTCCTGGAAGCCGTATTTATTGAAGTTAAGGAATGAAATTGTGTTATGTTCGTTATTAAGGAATGAGACTTATTTTAAATTTAAGCTCAATGTTTTCTTTTTAAAATGATCTGTAATAATCACACCTAATAACCATTTATCAAAGAATTACCTTCTTGAACAACAAAATTCAACAGCACCACTTTTCACTAAACTTCTAACCTCACATCTGGATGAATAAGTTTAAAGTGTACCTAAAAATCCTACAGTGCAGATTGCGACGTTTTTTATACAGATTATTTCTTGTATACACTTGTATAGTAGAAAGTACAGACAGCTCTAAATGCACCGAGTAGATAACTACAGTTTAAAATTAGTGTTTAAAATTACCGGTACTTTAAAGTACCGTCGGGACACAAAGGGTTAAAAAATAGCGCCCCTTTGGTATCAATTGGGAGTTTTCTTATAACATACTCTTGCTTCAGCCCATACAATATTTGGAAGCTTGATGCCAAGTTGTTCTGAATCTTATCTTCTCCTTCCTTAATTAGTTCAGCGTTTATTTCATCCGCTCCTTCTTGTTTCTCATTTTCTTTATTGCCATTAATAATTCGTTGGGGTGGGTGATTGTATATTCCTTGAGTTCATTAGGTCTAATGAGATACTACTTTTGTCCTCCTTATCATCTACTTGGACAACTTTGAAAATCCTCCAAAAGCTTAGAAAATCGTTTTGATGTCTCTGGAGAAAATTGGATATTCTTGGCTATCATTGCCAAATGTTAGAAAACTCAGTATATTCATGAAAATTTTTAGAGGAGCTCTGAAAAGTGCTAAAAAACCTCTAAACACTTTTATCATTTTGGAAATACTCTGGAACGCTCAAATAATCTTTAGAAATTTTTAATGTCTTTGGAAATCCTTATAAAAGCTGCACAAAATCGTTTGAGAATCCTTTGACAACTTTGAAAATCTTCTTAAAAGATTAAAAAACTTAAAACTTAAAAGTTTAGAAAATCGTCTTAATTTCTCTCGACAAAATTGGATATTCTTGGATATCATTGCCAAATGTTAGAAAATTCAGTATGTTCTTGAAAACTTTTACAGGAGCTCTGAAAAGTCTTGGGAAACCTCTAAACACGTTTATCTTGCTCTGGAAGGCTTAAGTAATCTTTAGAAATTTTTAATGTCTTTGGAAATCCTTATAAAAGCTGCAGAAATCGTCTGAGAATCCTTTGACAACTTTAAAAATCCGCTAAAGCTTAGAAAATCGTCTTGATTTCTTTGGACAAAATTGGATATTCTTGGATATCATTGCCAAACCTTAGAAAACCCGGGATATTTTTGAAAATTTTTAGAGAAGCTGTGAAAAGTCTTGGGAAATGTCTAAAAACTTTTATCATTCTGAAAATTCTCTGGAAATCTTTAGAAATCTTTGGAAATCCTTATAAAAGCTGCGGAAACCGTCGGAGAATCCTTAGCCAACGTTGAAAATCCTCAAAAAGCTTAGAAAATCATCTTGATGTCTCATCAAGACAATAATCTATATCTATAGTGATCCAGCCATCGTTGCATTATATTGGCTCTAGAGTTCTGAAAAGTCTTGGGAAACTTCTAAAAACTTTCATTATTATCGAATTCCTCTGGAATTCTTTAGTAATCTGTAGAAATTTTTGATGTCACTAGAAATCCTTATAAAATCTGCGGAAATCGTCTGAGAATCCGCTGACAACTTTGAAAATCTTCTAAAAGCTTAGAAAATCGCCTTGATGTCTTAGAACAAAATTGGATATTCTTGGATATCATTGCCAAACCTTAGAAAAACCAGTATATTCTTGAAAATTTTTAGAGGAGCTCTGAAAAGTCTTGGGAAACCTCTAAAAACTTTTACCATTCTAGAAATCCTTATAAAATCTGCAGAAATCGTCTGAGAATCCTTTGATAACTTTGAAAATCCTCTAAAAGCTTAGAAAATCGTCTTGATGTTTCAGAACAAAATTGGATATTCTTGGATATCATTGCCAAATGTTAGAAAACTCAGTATATTCTTGAACATTTTTAGAGGAGCTCTTAAAAGTCTTGGGAAACCTCTAAACACTTTTATCATTTTGGAAATACTCTGGAACGCTCAAGTAATCTTTAGACATTTTTAATGTCTTTGGAAATCCTTATAAAAGCTGCAGAAATCGTCTGAGAATCCTTTGACAACTTTAAAAATCCGCTAAAGCTTAGAAAATCGTCTTGATTTCTTTGGACAAAATTGGATATTCTTGGATATCATTGCCAAACCTTAGAAAACCCGGGATATTTTTGAAAATTTTTAGAGAAGCTGTGAAAAGTCTTGGGAAATGTCTAAAAACTTTTATCATTCTGAAAATTCTCTGGAAATCTTTAGAAATCTTTGGAAATCCTTATAAAAGCTGCGGAAACCGTCGGAGAATCCTTAGCCAACGTTGAAAATCCTCAAAAAGCTTAGAAAATCATCTTGATGTCTCATCAAGACAATAATCTATATCTATAGTGATCCAGCCATCGTTGCATTATATTGGCTCTAGAGTTCTGAAAAGTCTTGGGAAACTTCTAAAAACTTTCATTATTATCGAATTCCTCTGGAATTCTTTAGTAATCTGTAGAAATTTTTGATGTCACTAGAAATCCTTATAAAATCTGCGGAAATCGTCTGAGAATCCGCTGACAACTTTGAAAATCTTCTAAAAGCTTAGAAAATCGCCTTGATGTCTTAGAACAAAATTGGATATTCTTGGATATCATTGCCAAACCTTAGAAAAACCAGTATATTCTTGAAAATTTTTAGAGGAGCTCTGAAAAGTCTTGGGAAACCTCTAAAAACTTTTACCATTCTAGAAATCCTTATAAAATCTGCAGAAATCGTCTGAGAATCCTTTGATAAACTTGAAAATCCTCTAAAAGCTTAGAAAATCGTCTTGATGTCTCATCAAGACAATAATCTATATCTATAATAATTCAGCCATCGTTGCATTATGTTGGCTCTGGAGTTCTGAAAAGACTTGGGAAACTTCTAAAAACTTTCATCATTTTGGAAATCCTCTGGTAATCTTTAGAATTTTTTGATGTCGTTAAAAATCCTAATAAAAGCTACGGAAATCGTCTGGGAATCCTTTGATAACTTTGAAAATCTTCTAAAAGCTTAGAAAATCGCCTTAATATCTTAGAACAAAATTGGATATTCTTGGAAATCATTGCCAAACCTTAGAAAAACCAGCATATTCTTGAAAATTTTTAGAGGAGCTTTGAAAAGTCTTGGGAAATCTCTAAAAACATTTATCATTCTGGACATCCTTATAAAAGCTGCAGAAATCGTCTGAGAATCCCTTGATAACTTTGAAATCCTCTAAAAGCTTAGAAAATCGTCTTGATGTCTCAGAACAAAATTGGATATTCTTGGATATCATTGCCAAACCTTAGAAAAACCAGTATATTCTTGAAAATCTTTAGAGGAGCTCTGAAAGGTCTTGGAAAACCTCTAAACACTTTTATCATTTTGGAAATACTCTGGAACCCTCAAGTAATCCTTAGAAATTTTTAATGTCTTTGGAAATCCTTATAAATCGTCGGAGAATCCTTGGCCAACTTTGAAAATCCTCTAAAAGCTTAGAAAATCGTCTTGATTTCTCTGGACAAAATTGGATATTCTTGGATATCATTGCCAAACGTTAGAAATGCCGGGATATTTTTGAAAATTTTTAGAGAAGCTGTGAAAAATCTTGGGAAACCTCTAAAAACTTCTATCATTCTGGAAATTCTCTGGAATTCTCAGATAATCTTTAGAAATCTTTGATGTCTTTGGAAATCCTTATAAATCGTCGGAGAATCCTTGGCCAACTTTGAAAATCCTCTAAAAGCTTAGAAAATCGCTTGTCGTCTTGATGTCTCATCAAGACAATCTATATCTATAGTGTTCCAGCCATCGTTGCATTATCTTGGCTTGTTATGACTTGGTTTCAATTCCCTTCAACTACTATTTATATTTTGATAGAATTTTCTGCTTTCTGATTAGCTCCAGAGAGTCCCCATTTTTTGGAATTTCTATGCGTTCGCTTTTCTATTTTCCAAAGCGACTTATATTCTTTTCTGTTTTCCTAGTCTTGCTTTGTTGCATTTTCCTAAAGGCTTCATTTTTCCGTTCAGTTATTTTTGCACACTCTTCGTCAAACCATTCTATTCCGGCTTCGTTTGGTTCCTATCTTCCTAGAGCTGATTTCTTTGTATTCACATTAAAGCTTCCTTATTATATTTTCTGCATAAAGTATGTTTCTACTTGATGCTTTATGCTCAGTTTGTCAAGTTTTGCGTTTATTTCTTTTTTTGAGGTTCGAGATTCTAGCTCTTATACTTTTCACAATATAGTCGTCGGATTCGACCACTTTTCCATTCATAACGTCTGATTGATGTCTCATATCAATGACTATAAGGTCGATCATATTAAGAATGTTATTAAGAATAGATTTATTAATCTAATCCAGACTATATTTATTCAGACCACCTAATATATAATCTATAATCTTGATGTCGTTCTTAATAGATCCTTAATGTTTCCTTCTTTTTTTTTCAGTTGGGACGAATTTATCTTTTATCCTTAATGTACAAAGTCTAGAAATCTCTTGAAAATCTATGATGTAGTGCTTAATCTTTTTATTCACAATGAAATCTGTTGAAGAGGACATTTATATTTCGCTTATTAGATCGTTTCATATCTCCATAAAATAGCTTGATCCAGGTAGAGTAGATGAATTACCAGATTTATTTTTGTTCTGTGTAGATCTTGAAGGATCTGGCAAGAAAGATGTTGGCAAAATAGTTAATAGATAAAAAATAGTTTAATCCAGTATCTAAGCTACAAGAGTTTCGTACAGAATCGGTTATAATTGACTTGTAACAGAAGTAAATTAACAAGAATTAATCAAACACTCGATATTATTAAAGTGTAACATTGTTGTACATAGTGGCACAAGTAGATAAATAATAGTATAAGACTCGCATTATTTCAATGAATAAAATTTATTGTTCTGTCTTATTACTTTTAGATCACCTAATATAGGTATATAAATAATATAGATATTTTAGAAATAGAAATATGTGCATGCATTCAGCTTATCCCTCTATTTATTAATCCTTAGTTTATTGAAGGCGATTTTTTGATAATAATTTGTTGTCAGCATTTTTTTTCACATAAAAAAAGGTTTTTTTTTTATAAACAAGTAATAGATGAAATGAATTTAATTAGAATCATGTGAAATATGTAAACAAAAAAAGATAATTAAATTATACGGAAATTATATAGATTTGTTGTGACAAACGAAAGTTCTGGTTGCAACTTACATTAACACACTGGAATTGATGACGAACGAGTTCCTAGTAGGTGAGGCATATCTTGACAGAGATGTTCTTCGAGAGAGACACAATGGCATTGACATTATGTACTACGGATCGTAACTTACAAATACAGTCCGTAGTCGAAATAAATGTTTTTTTTTTTATACAGCTAACTAAACGAGTCTTAAATCAAATCAATCATTCGTTTCACACAACATTTACTCCATCATCTTTCTCAAGATAATTAATGTAAACTTTAATCACGATCCCACATCATCTCAAAAATACGTTATTTATAAATAATGACGTGGTTAAGTTTACATTATTATTATTATTTTTTTTTGTTTCTACATACAAAACGTACATCACATTTATTTTTTACATCTAAGTTTTAGATATAAAAAATATGAATTAATCATTTTTACATTAATTTATACTCACATTAATTTCTATTAAGAAGTTTTTGAATTAATTTTAATAATTAATTAATTTATCAATGATGTGAGACTAAAATTAATGTAAGGACAAGATTGGTACTGGGGGGAATAATCACATTACTCACCGGCGGCGCTCCGGGCCGAACCTAGGAGGAACTGCGCCGCTCCATTTGCCTGTTTATAGTACCATATGAGCGCACCTCAAAGCTTATATGATAATCTAACCTAAATAATCACCCATCGCACTCATTACCCCCACATCCATTCAAAAATAAAATGCAACAGGACAAAATTACATCAATCAAAACATAATTATATATTACAAAATTAATTTATAACACAAACATGTAATTTTATCAATTGCATTTATTAAAAAAGAAATTCATTCTGATTCTAGTCAAGTGTTCTGACCTCATTTGACAGGAAATAAATTCGTATTCGCAAATAGAGACACAAACGTTTCATTTCAAATACTTACTTTCATTATTTCGCGAAACTTGCCGATTTCACGTGTGATCAAGTCGCGTTTCTCCTCCTCGACATCAGCTTCATCGAGGATTTTATTCCTTTTTTCAATGACCTCTTCTGGAAATAAACCAATCGCACATATTAATCATTAAAAATTAACAACCACTTAAAATTAGTTCGATATTACCTTCCTTTTTTAATTCAAAATTATTCATTTCATCTTTATATTCGTCAAGGACGTGTTTAATTCTATCTTTCGCCATAGCATCTAACGACAAAGTTTCTTCATCCAAAACTTCTTCTTCATCGTCTTCTCGTTCATCTTGTAACGGCGATGAACCTTTTTCTTTTTTACGACGTTCCGCTAAAATTTATTATATTTAACATTAAAAAATATTGGAAAATACAGGTGCCTCAGTGAGACCGTTCATTAAACGTTCTGGGGTTCTGGCTAAAATAAAAATTTGAGAATTTATCTTCGAGCGGCGGCCCCGATTTTATAACACGAGCGGGCGCGTGCCATAAATTTTATAACATCAGGTCCGTATTAATAAAAATTACGTTATTTTTAATAAAACACATTTTGCTAGAGTAAAAATATTTAATTTATATTAAATAATTCATTTCTATGATATGCTGTTTATAGTGGAGCGTTGATAATAGCGACGATATCTGCTTTGTAGGTGACGTTTCATTTAATATTATAATAATACTTAAGGTAACACCCTGCAAAATTCATGGAATATACATCACTGTACCCCATGTTATCATAGGTGATGAAGCCTTTCCACTTCTCTCTAATCTATTGAAAAATTATAGAAGACAATAAATTGATACAAATAAAGACTACTTTAATGCTAGATTATCAAGAGCACGAAGAACTGTTGAATGTGCTTTTGAAATACTGTATACTAAGTGGAGAATTTTAGGAAAAGCGATACAAACATCTACAGATGTAGCTGATGATATTGTTAAGTGTATCTGTTTGCTACATAATATTGTTATTGATAGAGGAAGCATTAAACATCTCGTTCAAGAAACAAGTACAACTAAAGCAATGTCTGCTAACAATATTTAAAACGTATCTTTGTCTCAATCCAATTTAAATACTTTTACTATTGAAGATATACAATTACACATTTTCTGTATAAATTTCCTATTATTGTTCACACCTATCTAAAGAAATCAAATAGAATAAATTTAATTCATTTTTTTGGTCCTACAAGGGGGATCTAGCAAAAATTTCACTAATTAAGCAGTCGATATCCATGCCGACCACACCTGATAATAGCAAAGAAAATAGGGAATACAATTAGCGTCACTCTTATCGATAGTCGGCAGTCAAGCGTGTGACAACGAGTCGCTCCAATATAAACACCTGCATATAAAACTATGACAACATTTTCGTTATTTTGCTAGTATCGTTTATCGCAGCTCCAACGTAAACGCACCAGTAATCATTTTCCAAACTACTGTGCACTTGCACTGTGCCACATAAAATGCAACATAGCTTAATAGTATAGGTATTGGGTAGTTTTGCAGAGGAAAAGTTTTGCTTGGAAAAAGGTGATGTCCTTATGACAATCTTGAGTTTTCATCCGTCTTAACATACGCACGGCTAAACTCGAATGTTTCTAATTCTCGGTCTAGTGTTAGTTCTACTTTTCAAACAATTAAAAATAGAATTAATACTAGAACTAGAAACATTCGGGTTTAGCCGTGCGTCTCTGACGACGGCTAAACCCGAATGATTCTAGTTCTAGGTCTCGTGATATTCTAGTATTAGTGCTAGTGCAAAACTAGAACTAACACTAGACCTAGAACTAAAAACATTCAAGGTTAATGTTTTTTATTCTCTTTTTTGAGAGAAATGTATCATATTTGGACTCATTTTAAAGGCTTTTAATAAAGAATACATCATGAAATAACACCATGAAGTTGTCCATTCGTCTATTATATGGCAACTAATTTCAGGTTTAAAATGTCAACCTCAATTTTGACATATTTGTAATCTTCATTAAATATTCTTTAAAATATGTAAGTACAAACACGAGATATTTATCTTCAATATTAATGAAGTTATGGTCAACTTCCGGTTAGAAATCAACGTCAATTTGACATATTTGTAATCGTCATGAAAAAATCGTTTAAAATCAGCCCAAACATGCGTTTAATTCCAATATTATTATGTCAACGTCATTTTGATATATTCTTAATTTTCATAAAATGTCTTAAAATTTGTCACAAAAACGAAAATATAATAAAAAAAAATCTAAAATTAAGGTTGGTATTAAGTTGCTATCTTTATTGTTGCTAACTTCGTGTTTAATGTTTTTCATTCTAACTTTTTTGTTTTTTGAGATAAGTGCGTCATGTTTGGACACATTTTAAAGGTTATTTATAAAGATTACGAATATAATAATAAATTTAAAGTTGACGTTTTGTTGTTTAACGTTAGATTGTGGTATATTTTTATTGAAAGAAAAGTAGAACTAACACTAGACCTAGAAACATTCGGATTTAGCACCACGTCTCTCAAAACGAATGATTTTAGTTCTAGGTCTCGTGTTAGTTCTAGTGATAGTGTAAAACTAGAACTAACACGTCTGGAGACGCACGGCTAAACCCGAAGCTTTCTAGTTCTAGGTCAAGTGTTATTTCTATTTTAGTTCAATTAGAATATGCAACATAATGATATCTTATGTTAATTAGTACTACCTACCACTGTCACTAGAACTAACATTAGAACTAGAAACATTCACGTTTAGCCGTCTTAAGCCTTTGAATATATTCTGCTTTTCAAAAGAAATAAACCACCCCGTAGGAGTAGGCGAAGAACATTGAAATTATGTAGAATCAGTTAGTTCATGTAGACAAACAAACGATTAAATTTTGAATGTTATCTGCCACAGCTGATAGAAATTATCTGTCTGTTAGATCCTGAAATTGCATTAGTAAAGTTAGTGTCTCAAAAATGCCACGAGTTCGAAGACGTGCAAATTTTCGCCATCATAACCTCTTCGAAAGAGGACGAATTATCGGGATGCATGAAGCTGGTTTAAGATTTCGGGAAATTGGCAGATGCATGGGCCGACCTCACGCCACTATCAGACGGACTTAGATGGATTGGCAGGAAGAACGCTTAGAAGCCCGTCGTAGAGGCAGTGGACGTCCTAGAATGACAGCAGCACGCGAAGATCGGCTGTTAAGGCGAAGTGCAATACAAGACCCAGTAGAACCAACGCGTGCTGTTGCAATCAATTGGATACGAGCAATTGGTCGCAGAGTACGATTTATCGTCGAGTACGCACATTTGGGTTACGTTCATATCGTCCTTATTTTCGTCTTCCTATGACTCAACAACATAAAGATGTCAGACTGCAATAGAGCCAAAACAGACAACATTGGGAACATGAATGGGAAACTATCGTCTTCAGCGACGAATTCCGATTTTGCTTATGGAATTCTGACGAACGTTTACGGATCAGACGACCTAGAGGTCACAGGCAAAATTTACAGTTTGTTCAGCGTCGCCACGCGGCTCAAACTCCTGGTGTAATGCTGTGGGGAACAATACGCTACGGTGGCAGGTTTCCTTTGACATTCATTCAGGGCACACTAAACGCGCGTTGTTACATTGACGTCATTCTGGAGCCCGTGTTAGTGCCTTTCCTCCAAGACCTTCCAGAGCCCGTCTTCCAACACGATATAATGCGCGACCTCATATTGCTCACGTAACGTTAGAGTTCCTAGCACAAAACAATGTTCTGCAAAATTGCCTTGGCCGGCAAGATCCCCGGACTTAAACCCTATTGAACATGTCTGGGATATGATGGACAGAAAATTGTGACGATTACCCCATCCTCCCAACACTTTAGAGGAATTACGTCAACAGCTACAGGTAGCCTGGAAAATTTAATCATTTTTTTGTCTCTAGGCACTAACTATTTCTACGTAATTTTGAAGTTCTGCGTCTCCTCCTTCGGGGTGGTTCTTTTGAAACACAGTGTATATTGAATATTTCCATAAACTCACGAAAAACCGAAAAGATTGAAATATTGAAAAGATGAAAAAAATTTCAATTGCGACAAAATTTAAAATACGGCCTTATAAATAAGCATTAATGTGTACATTTTTTATCTTTTATTACTTTTTTTGCCATAAAGACAACGTCAATATATTTTTTTTACATTTTTTTTTCATTATTTATCATGTTCAAAATAAATAGTTACATGAATACTTTAGCGTTAAATCCTTTCAAATACTTAATATAAGGAGATAGGCCCGCTCAAAGGTTAAATATAATCAACTGCGTTCTCTTCGACTAAAATATTTTCAGATTTCTAGCACTTCCGGTTATACCAGAAGTCGCCACCTACTTTACCTTTTTTTAATGGAACACCTGTATATTTTTACATATTTGGATTTGTCTATTTTCAAGGTTTATGAATAACTTTACTTTTTGCAATTAGACTCAGCCGTTTTCGAGTTATTCGAATTTTTCTAGAAAAATCTGCTCCAGCAGACATTTGTTCAAAAAATCAGAGAACACTCGATTTTTGGGATATCAATTTAGGATTCAGAACATGTTTAAGCAACATGATCGCTATGTTTTGGTGCCAAGAACGGCTGTCTAGGTCTAGATCGTTTGGTTACTCAACTATGACACGTTAACTTTTCGAAATTTGGAAGCACCATAACTTCACTTTCTTAAATGGCACCCTCCATATTTTATTACTTAGTCGTCTTCGGCGTCTCATTTTACATCTTTTTTATCCCACATATCCTATACCTAACATTAATAGTTTGGGAGATAATTAGGGTTTTTTGAAAAATGTACACATATCATATGGAAATTTAACCTAGTGTGCCATGAAAAACAAGCCTTCTCAATGAGTTCTTGTCAAAGACTCACTTGTTTACGTCACTTGATGCATATGAGGTAATAATTATGTGTTAGTAATGTTAGTACTAAAAACAGTTAAAATCGATAACAATAACGAAAATATTTACACAAATCAAGAAATTCGTAATTTATTTTTTATACATGAAAAGCGCGACAAAGTTCGTAGTATGATTCCCAGATCTTCTTTGGCAGCTCGAATTGAGGCGTTGGGACTGGGATAGAAATAAGCCAATGCAAAAAATTTGCTTATATTCTTCTAAATTTACCTTTTGTAATCAGAGGTAAACGTGGATAGTTTTCATTAAAAATTCTGCAAGTTCTACTAAGAACTTTGTCGCACTTTAGCTGCCCAAAAAATAAATTAAGGATTTTTTTATTTGTATAAACATTATTTACGTTATTAATATTCATTTTAACTGGTTTTAGAGTCACAAGCAGGGTATAATTTCTTGATATTTAGGTATTAAATAAAGACGGAATTTTATTTAAGATAACAATCCACTAGATGGCGCTGCCATACACAATTTGCAGTGTAATAATTATATATATGGATACCAGAAATCAACGTCAGTGTCATATGTCATAATGTTAACTTCACATTTCTTTGCCATAAAGAAGATATCACAAACTTTATTATAAATATGTTTGTAAAATTAATTTTGTGCAACTTTTGTAAAAGAATAAATAACATATAAAAGGTAAAATTAGATTAAAAACTAAATTCTAAGAACACATTGGCTGTTCAAGCCCGTCATATTTGTTTAAAGAGAAAAAATAAATTTATTTAATAAACTATTGTGTTCTATTTAGCAATTTAACTCAGAAGTGGAAACCTGAGTATAATTGAACTCAGGCATTGTATCATATATATATATAAATATACGGAAAACATTCAAATTTCGCGGTTTATTAAAATTACTTCTATTACAATCCTCTTGGCGGTGCTGCATTCAATTTGGTCGGTAAAATAGTGCGGAGTAATGCTTCTATAAAAGTATACTATATATATATTCTATGGTCATAAGCATCAAACAAGGTAAACCAGACTTTGATGTTTGACAATAAGCCATTAAACATTTGTTTTCCATGGCACACTACGTTAATATTGATATATGTGTGCATTTCTCAAAAAACCCAAATTATTTCCCAAACTATTAATTTTAGGTACACAACATATGGAGTATAAAAGATGTAAAATGAGACAAAGACAGCTAACAATAAATAATAAAATATGGGGAGTGCCATTTAAAAAAAATGAAGTTATGATAAAATGAAATTACTTCCAAATTTCGAAAAGTTAACGCGCCATAGTTATGTGACCAAATGATTATATTTAAATCTGAACTCTCAAATTCTTATTTTGTCCAGAACCCCAGAAACATCTAATGAACAGTCTCAATGAGACACCCTGTATAACAAACCTTTGTATTCATCTAAGATAGTTTTAGTTTTAGCATCGACTTTTGCAACTAATCTTTTTTCACCAACCATTAAATCATGAAGTAATCTCACGGCTCTCAACCCAGCATCAGGACCCGCAAATTCGCAAAATCCAAATCCTTTTACTCGTTTCCAACTTATTACTGGGCCGCAAGCCCCCAAAATATGACGTATCATCATATCGGGAGCTTTTTCTGTTATATTTCCTAATAAAAAGTGTATTTTAGTCAAAAACTTTATTAGGAAAAAAAAAATTATTAACTTACCAACAAATACAGTAACAGCTGGTCCTTGAACTTGTTTAAGCTGCTCACGATTAGGATTGAGTTTAGGATAAGCCCGTATTTGTGGTGTAGCCGTAACCTGTATAGGAACCATCTGACAAAATGCAAAAATAACTACATGGAAAACATCTAAATAAAACCTTAAAAACTTACGTGCTGTATGGGCATTACGGATGGCAAAAGAGGTTGTGGCGGAGCCGTCATGGGCATATAAGCCATGCCCGGGGGCATCGCTAATCCTTGCACGATCGGCGGTCTTCCCGGATAAGACATTGCACCTTGTGTCTCTCTACCTCACTTCTCACTAATTATTAACTAAAAATTAAATTGAACGTGCTTAAGCTGTTTTTAACACTAATCCTTATTGCGACGAAAACAACGTTTAAACAACATCATTGTCCGTTCGACGATCGGTGTGGATTAACGGGGGGTTAATAATAAATAATTTTAATGAAAATTATCGAAAAGTAATATAAATATTGACGAATTAAGTGGTAAATGGGGTTGAAGAGCGTTTTCGTCTAATGCATCAACGCCTTCACAAATTGACGTTTATGTTCGCAAGGTACCAACATTATAAAAATTCAAAAATTAATGGTTTTAATCATAAAATTTAAATATTCATTAATATTTAAAATCATTTTTATAACAATTTGTGTAATAAAATTATTAATTTATTTAAAATGTTAGCAATAAATACATTTTTTAGTAATTTAAACACAATGCCATCTATCGATATTTGTAACGATTATTGAATGTGTCAAATAAAAGTAACTTAACCTAAAAATAAAATAAATAAAATTTTAAAACATCAAACTTATTTAATTTTAAAGCTTTTTATAATAAATGGAAGGATTTAAACTAATTAAACAAGGAGCTGAGTCCAAATTGTATAAAGGAACTTATCTCGGTAAACCAACCTTAATCAAAGAAAGATTTGAAAAGAAGTATCGTCACCCCGATTTAGATAATCTCTTGACGAAGGAACGAATTAAAGCGGAATGTAGAATCGCTTTAAGATGCAAAAACATCGGTGTTCGTACTCCTATGATTTACCTTGCTGATATGACACGAAGAATGATTTTTATGGAATTTATCGAACATAGTTTAACAGCCAAAGAATTTATTTCTATAGCTGATAATGCATCAATAGATGAATTATCTAAAGATATAGGGAAAGTATTAGCTAAATTACATTCGGGAAATGTTATACATGGAGATTTAACAACATCAAATATTTTATTAAGAAATAAAAATAGTATTGATAATTTTGAAAAGTATGATGATTTAGAATTGGTTATGATTGATTTTGGGTTATCACGCACAGATTCTTCAACTGAAGATAAAGGAGTCGATCTTTATGTATTGGAAAGAGCGTTGTTGAGCACTCATAGTGTTCATGAACGTATGTTTAATGTTATTTTAAAAGAGTATGAAGGAAATTATGAGAATGGGTATCATGAAATTTATTCTAAGTATAAAGAAGTTAAATCTAGAGGAAGAAAAAGGACTATGGTGGGATAAATTGTTTTTGCTATGTTATTTTTGATTTAATAAATATGAGGTTAAGAAAAAGTTTAAATTTATTTTTAACATATCATTTTTCATCCTGTAAATTACCAAGATTAACACATAACTTTGTTATGTTGTGAGCCATTATTGGATAAGCCATGATATTAACACATTCTGGGCGATTTTCTGGAGGCATTTGAACGGTTATGTCAATTATATTTTGTAAATCTAAACTGTAGGTGTTGATATCGATTTGTTTACGTTTTCCTGATTTTATTGATGTTATTATATCGGTGATCTATAATAAGAAGCCAAATTTAATGACATAAAGTTGATATTGTAATAATTTTCTTACACTTCCATCGAAATATCTATGTAATTCACACAGCTCGTATAAAATACATCCTAAAGACCAAATATCTGATTTTTTATCATAAGGTAATCCATCGCAAATTTCTGGTGCTAAATAATTTGTTGTTCCAATTAAAGTAGATGTTTTATCAGTATGGCTACAAAACATTATTAAGAATTAATGATGAATGTTATAATTTTGAGTTAAATTCTTTACGTTGCTAATAATTTTGATATCCCAAAATCGCCGATTTTAACAACATCCCCATCCTTGCCGGTTAAAAAAATATTTTCTGGTTTTAAATCTCTGTGAACAACTTTTTTTTGATGAATATGTTTTAGCCCCATCACAATTTGGCAAAAAAACTTCATAACCTCCTATAAAATAGTATCATAACGTTTGAATTAAAATTAATTTAGAATTTACCGAAAAAGAAAGTCGTTGTTGACGATTTTTGAGTAACTCGTACAAATTCCCATGACTTGCATACTCCATAATAATACATAACGAATTATCTTTGATGAAGTTATCGTGATATTTAATCACGTTGGGGTTGTTTAGAGATCGCAAAATTTGTACCTCATTCTTAGCCGTTTGAGATTTTTCGTTATCCGCGGTTAAACTGATTTCTTTGACGACAATTTTTAATTTGTTGTGTTTTCTTTCGCACAAATACACGGTTCTTGAAAAATAATGTTTTTTTAATCAAAATTAAAACGAATTAGATTAATTAAATTACCCAAAAGCACCTTTTCCCAATTGGGAAAGAACGTTGTAAGTATTCGCAGACATTTTTCTTTATGAAAGTGATTCTTTTTACTTTAAACAGGTTTATATAAAATCGGTTGGAAAAAATTTAAAATGCGTGTAATATTAATCATTTATTTTTATAAAAAATTATTTTATAATCTCGATGGCATTCCTCCTGCTACGGTCATAGTTTCTCCAGTCATATAATCGGAGTCATTTGAAGCCAAAAATGCAGCTGTAGCTCCCATATCTTGAGGAGTTCCAAACCTAATTTAATAAAAAAAAAAACATAAAATTACATCAAAAAAAGGTATAATTATTTACTTATGCATCGGTATTAGAGATAACGATTCATTCCTCGCAAATTCATCAGTCGTAATCTAAAAAGAAACGATATTAAAAATAAAAACATTATTAGAGTATATACGAGCATAATAATCAGCGGTATTATTCACTAAGGTTAGGTTTACTCGCTACGCTCGTGACATAATTAACCTGAGTGAATAATAGCTCGTTATATGTGAGTAGAATACTATACTTTGTCCACGACTACTAATGAAATTGATTCCATAAATTTATTTTTTTAAATAGATTTTTGAATAAAGTTTAAACGTCAATATGACACAAATTCAATGTTACCAACTGTAACCGACTTCACCACAATTTGTCAAAATTAAATGTCAATTTTATGAAACGTCGAAAATTAATTAATTTATGCTTAAGTTATTCGGAAAAAGGAATTTGTTTACGTTTTTTTAATATCAAACGTTTAGAAAGTTCTAAACAAATTAAATTAAATTGACGTTTTGTGAAATTTTGACTTTTCAAATAATTATTCAAGTCTGTCAAGTTGATTAGTTATTCACAGAAATGACTACCCTTTTCTTTTAGAAAGCTCATTTATAAGGTATGTATATGTATATTATTTATAAGATAGTCGTGGACAAATAATTTTAAATTAAACTTACCGCACCAGCAAACTTCGTTGGTACAACACCCGGCGCAATTCCGTTCACTTGAATATTATCACTAGCCAATTGTACAGCTGCCGCTTTAATAAGACCTAAAAGCGCTGTTTTACTTACACAATAAGCACCTAAAAGCTGAAATGTCTAAATCTGTAATCAAATTTTATAACAACGTTTTTATTAATAAATTACTTGATTTGGATGATATGCCCCAACGGAAGTAACAAAGATAATTTTCCCTTTTCCTCGGTTTCTTAAATGAGGTAAAGCCTCTTGCGCTAAAAGATAAGCAGCTTTTACGTTTATCTCAAAAATTTTATCCCAAGAAGCTTCAGGGGTCTAAATGAAAAGTAATTAAATAACATTTATGTATAAACTTTGAATATTTACATCTAAAACAGCAGACATTGTTGGATTTACCGCTGCGTTAGACACTAAAATGTCTAATCCTCCATATTTCGATACAGCCTACAATTAATATTGTTTATAAGGTTTATTATTTAAATTTTTTTTTTAATTTGTATTACTAAATCGAAAAGTTTAGTTCTATCCTCAGCTTTTCCAACATGACACACAATTCCAACAACTTCCAATCCTTCACTTTTTAGTTTCTTAACAGCTTCGTCAACATTTTTCTGTTTTCTACTGCTAATAACAACACTTGCACCTTCTCTAGCTAATCGTTCAGCAATTCCAAAACCAATACTAAATAAATTTAACATTAATGGGAAAGAAAGACTACGGTCGAACTTTAAGCCAACTTTTTTTTTTATACGGGTGTGTCAAATGTCTGGAATATAGGCAATAACTTCGCTATTTGTGGTTTTAAAGAAAAATGTTTCAAATAGAAGTTTCTTTGTTAATCGTGGCGCATTTTTTGGCGATATTTGTTTGTTTGTATTGTTTTTTGTTTCGTTGCTATGGCAACCAACATTGTTATTTTAAATGGGATGCAAATTATCTTTTTGCATACTTTTTGTCTTTATTATTTTAATACAAAGTCGAAACAGATCAACTTGTGCCACGAAGTGAAACCTACAGCAGTAGATTTAGCCGCACGTCTCTCAAGACGGTTAAACCCGAATTATTTTAGCTCTAGGTCTTGTGTTACTTGTAGTGATAGTGCAAAACTAGATTTAACGCTAGATGTAGAACTAGAAATATTCGGATTTAGCAGCACGTCTCTCAAGAGGGCTAAACCCGAATTATTCTAGTTCTAGGTCTTGTGTTAGTTCTAGTGATAATGCTAGTATAAAACTATTGGGTTTAGACCCGGTACTTTCTAGTTCTAGGTTTAGTGTAAGTTCTAGTTTTAGTTCGATAAAAATATACAACATAGTGATATCTTATGCTAACTAGCGCTACTTACCACTGTCTCTAGAACTAACATTAGACCTACAACTAGAAACATTCGGGCTTAGCCGCACGTCTCTCAAGACTGATAGTGCTAGTGCAAAACTAGGTAAACTTGGACATGCTATAAACTAGTCTCTATTTATTTAGACAAGTTTTTAATGACTATCAACTAATTTTTAGTCATTTTGAGCAACATGGATTCTTTAAAAACTAGTTGTTAATGATTTAGACAACTATAAAATTATTCTCAACCAGTTTTCAATGATTTTGAATAACATAAGATGTCTATGAAGTTATTTCCAATCATTTTGAACAATTTTGCTACCTTATAAATTAATTTTAGAAAATGTTGGTGCAGTTTTCAGTTATTCTGGGCAACCTGGACTTGCTATAAACTAGTCCTTATACGTTTAGATAAGTTTTTAATGACTATCAACTAGTTTTCAGTCATTTTGAGCAACATGGATTGTCTAATATCTAGTTGTTAATCATTTAGACAAGTATAAAAGTATGCTCAACCAATTGTCAATGATTTTGAATAACATGAGATAGCTATGAACCTATTTCGAAACATTTTGCTACCTTATAAAGCAATTTTGGACAATGTTGGTGCAGTTTTCAGTTATTCTGAGCAACCTAAACTTGCTATAAACTAGTCCTTATACATTTAGACAAGTTTTTAATGACTATCAACTAGTTTTCAGTCATTTTGAGCAACATGGATTCTTTAAAAACTAGTTGTTAATCATTTAGACAAGTATAAAATTATGATCAACCAATTCGCAATGATTTTGAATAACATGAGATGGCTATTTCGAAACATATTCAAAAATTTTGCTACGTAATAAAGAAATTTTGGACAATGTTGGTGCAGTTTTCAATCGTTCTGAGCAACCTAGAACTTACATACTTTCTAGTTCTAGGTTTAGTGTTAGTTCTAGTTTTACACTAGCACTGTTACTATATAGAACTAACACTATAACTAGAACTAGAATCATTTGGGTTTAGCCGCAAGTCTCTAAAGACGGCTAAACCCGAATGATTTTAGTTCTAGATATAGTGTTAGTTCTAGTTTTACACTAGCACTGTTATTATGTAGAATTAACACTATAACTAGAAATAAAATTATTCAAGGTTAATGTTAAGTATTGTTATTGAGCTATAACGGACACTGATATACTTCTTTTTTAGGACTGTATGTAGACTTTTTTGAATAAAGATATGATTATGTTTTGTGTTCTTCTTGATTAATAATAACTTATATAGTTTTTATGTAAAATATGGAAATAATGTGAACTTCTTACATGTTTTGTTAAAAAATTTCATTGAATTACATTTCGGGAGTTGAGATATTATCATTTTCCAGGCTGTATTTAGACTTTATTGTATTACTGTATGCAAAAAAATATATGCATTCCATTTAAAATAACAAAGTTGGTTACCATAGCAACAAACTAGTAAATATCGCCAAAAATTTGCCACAATTAATAAAGAAACTTGTATTTGAAACATATTTCTTTAAAGCCACAAATGGCGAAGTTATTGGCTATATTCCAGACTTTTGACACACCTGTATACATTTATTATTTTTATACAGCTGTATCTGAATGACGTTCCTAAACTTCAGGTCGCGTTTCTTTAGCGAATTTTAAGGGTATTTTCCAAAGAAATTGTATAACAAATTAACAAGTTATACAATTTCTTTGGTATTTTCTCATATGAACTATGAGCGACGTCGGCTCCCCTGGGGAGCTACATCCCTCCAAAAATTGCGGAAAATTTAATTTTTTGTAATTTGTACTTTCAATATTCCCTTTTAGTTTCTTAACGTTTTTTGTTTTTTTTGAAAAAAAAAATTAAACCAAAAATTTCCGCCATTTTTGAAGGGGCGTAGCTCAGCTCGTAGTTCCTTGAAGTTTGGAAACGTCATTTAGATACACCTGTATATACAAAATTTTTTTTATGTTGTAATTATTATTATTTTTTTTTTTTTTTTTTTACCTTTATTTTAGTTAAAAAAAGGTATAAATTTAATTTACCCATCTGTTGAAGCTGTTACAATAGCAACTTTTCCTTTTAAACGATCTTTAGCAAAATAACTCATCTTCTTGTTTAGGTAGTACTTGTCCAGCAAACGATGTGTTGGTACTGAACAAGCATGACTTGCACTCATTTGAATGACCGGAGTCCAATTAAGTAGATAATCATAATAATTGTAGATAAGGATGAATATTTTTTTATGACATAAGTGAGGTTATGTTTATAACATTGAGGTTATCAAGAGATAATAAATTACGAAATCAAATAAAAAATTCTTGAATTTGCGTCAGTTTTATATAATTAAACAAAAAAAAATAGAATTAAAAAATAACTTTTATTAAATTTCATATTTAAACATTTAAGGTGATTTTAAAGTCTCGATTGCATGCCCCCAGCTGGAACAATAACCTCCCCGGTTATATAATTCGCATCGTTTGACACCAAAAATGCAACAACCCCTGATATATCATCAACTTCTCCAAATCTGAAACAAATCGTTTATGTATTGAGTTAAAATTTTTAATTCTTTATAACCTTTTCATTGGGATTCCAGACATAGTTTCTTCGCCATATCCATCATTAGAAGTTAACTAAAACCCAATAAAAATTATTTAAGTAATAATTTAAACAGTATTTAATTTACCACTTGTGAAAATTTGGTTTTTATAATTCCAGGTGCAACACAATTCACTTGAATATTTTCAGATGCTAATTGTACTGCTGCTGCTCTACTTAACCCAATTAATGCTGTTTTACTCACTGAGTACACACCTAGGGCCTAAATAATAAAATAATTTAATACTTAAAATTTTAATTTAATCTGTGTTGAACTTTTTAATAACCTCAAAAGGTTGGTACCCAGCGATAGATGAAATAAAAACAATTTTTCCCCCTTTATTTTTTCTTAAATGTGGAAGAGAGTCTTTTGCTAACATATAAGCAGATTTGACATTTATATCAAAAACTTTATCCCACGATTGCTCCTCACACTAAAATAAATAAATTAATAAACCAAAATTTGTTGGATGAAATTAACTTACATCTAAAACCCCTCCAACAGTTGGATTTACAGCTGCATTTGATACCAAAATATTTAACCCACCAAATTTATCTAAAGTCTTTAATAAAAAGATTGATTATGTTTTTCTTATTATTATTTAGTGTTAATTTACCTCTTTGAATAATTTGTTTCTATCTTGGGGGTTACCTACGTGACAAACCAATCCTGTGGCTTCAATTTTTTGTGATTTTAACTTTTCGATGGCAGCGTCTACATTTTTTTGCTTTCTACTGCTTATTACTACTTTTGCACCCTCTAAACCTAATCGTTCAGCAATTCCATATCCAATACTAACAAATTAACGCTTAATTTAAAATAATTATGTTTAAATTTATACTTTAATGTTTATACAGATACTTCAAAATTAAATTTGTTGTAGGGGGCCAATAATTTTCCTTTTGAAACACCTGTATTTTATAATTAAATAATTACCCTTCTGTTGAGGCTGTTACAATTGCTACTTTTCCATCTAATCTATTTTTGGGAACATAACTAATATTTCTTGCTGAAGAAATTAACTTGCGAGATGAAAGTAAAAGCTTATTAAATAACATTTTTTTTTAAGAAATTATTTTATATAAATGTTATTAATCTCTGAACTTTGATCATCGGCTATAAAGAATTTAAATTAGCGAAATAAATTAAGCAGTAAACATAAAAGTTAGGCCAACAAAAGTAAATTTTTGCTGATTAACTAGTTGTCTAATCTTCAGAGTTGGAATGCAAGAAGGGCTGCTGATTTTGCAGTACATATACGAAATTTTCAAAAAATTTGATCCAAAACGAAAAAAATCAAGTTTAAAGAATGACTTTAATGCAGATGATAATTCCGCCTCAAATTAAAAAGAGAAAATTCCTGTCGATTACGATGACAACAAGAAGGGGAAAAAAGATAAAGAAATCGTGCACAATAAACATTACCCAATTTCTGGTTCACTAATTAGAGAAAAAGCAAACTAATTGGGTCGTGAGGACTCTTTAGCTAGTGTAAGGTGGTTCAAGTTTAGACAAAGACGCAATATTGTTTATAAGTCAGTATGTGGTGAAAGTGCGTCCTTAGATTTAGAATGCTATAAGTCTCTTAAGTAGCGTGTCTCATTCTAGAAGAACTGATCTACAGTAAGCCAAGTCTCTCTTCAGCTCACAGTCCAATCCTATGTTTGGCCATCACAAATGATATACCAACTGCTGGCTCTGACCTCACAAACGCTTTAGCGCTGCCCTCTCGTGCTAGCTCATCTGCCGCTTCATTGCCAGCAACCCCAGAGTGCCCTGAGACCCAAATCAGAGAAACTCTGTTATCACAACTCAATCTGTTTAAAGTTCTATTACAGTCATTAACTAGAGCCGATACCGTTTTCACGGCCTTCAGCGCCTGGAGAGCGGCTTAATTGTATGAGAAAAATCGTACTGACATGTTCTTCACCTCTCTCTCTCAAGAAGGATTTTAGCACCCATGTCAATAGCAAATACTTCCGCCTAGAATACAGTACAGTACATACCCAGGCTATAACATATACGGACTGTAACTCAATTCAACGTGAAAAAAGGGCATTTCTATCTCAATTATAACTAGAGAATAATACCCGACAGCTTTGGAATATGCCCAGAAACTTTTACTGACGTTAATAGTATAATTTTTTTTTTCTTTCTTCACAAAATAATAGTATTGGCGATCAGGAGCTAATTAACTATTATAATTCTAATCGCTTATCCACTATTGACCAGGAACTCTCGTTCAGTATGGCTTCAGAAGTAGAGGTACTTAACGCGTTGAACTCTATAAAAACAAATGCTGTTGGTTGTGACAATATAAGTAGGCAAATGTTGCTGATGTCCTGCCTTCCTTCCCCACTTATGTCACATTTTCAGTTTTGTATAGAGCATGGTGTTGATCCTGATGTGGGGAAAATAGGTTCGGTTATTCCGGTACCTAAGAAGAGCAGTTGTAAGGATTTGAATGATTTTAGACCTATTAGTATTCTGCCAGTGCTTTCAAAACTTTTCGAGATAATTATTACTGCCAGAATTTGGAAACATGTTGATTCATTTCCCATTTTGTCTAACAAGCAATCAGGTTTTCGAAAGGGATTTAGTTGTACATCTGCTCTTCTTGACGTGACGGATGACATGCTGAGAGGAATTGATAGCGGGTGTATTACAGCTGTTGTGTTGCTTGATTTTTCAAAGGCATTTGACACTCTACATCACTTAACTCTTATTTCGATATTGCATTACGTCGGGTTCCCCCATTGGCTGTTCGTCTGATTAGTAATTACTTAGACCATCGATCTCAGTTCGTAAAGGTGGATGGCAAATGTTCAGAGACAATCTCTATGATATCCGGTGTACCTCAGGGATCTATTCTGGGTCCAATATTGTATTTAATATACACATTTAATCTTATTAGTCAATTAAAATTTTACAGAAGTCATATGTATGCAGATCATACGCAAGTTTATTATACCTTGATGGACTGCTTAGTTATGTTAAGAGTTATGTTTCTCTTACTATTAATTCTGCCAAGTCGAATGTTGTTGTTTTTAACGGATGTGGTGAAGATTTGCAACTTGACAATGTTAAACTTGGTATTTCATCTGAGGTTCGCAATCTTGGAATCATTTTAGATTCAGGAGACATATTAGTGGACTTCTACAGCGTGCATATTCTGCTATCAAGATCTTATATAGTAGTAGACATATCTTGAGCCAAAAATTGAAAATTCATTGTTGTGAGGTGCTTGTACTCTCTTTATTTACTTTTGGAGACGCTCTTTACCACTCCTGTATTGATAGTACGTATAGGGATAGGATTCAGAGAGTGCAAAATGCTTACTTGCGTTTTATTTTCAGCTTTAAAAAGCGTGACAGGATTTCTCATACATTGTCCTGGGCAGGTTGGCTTAATAGGCGTCGAGTCTTATACACATTGTTTATATCACAAAGTTTTGTTGTTTAAAACTCCTCCTTATTTATACAATAAGATTTCTTTCCGGACTGACGTTCATAACATTAATATCAGGCGCAGGAATGCATTGACGATTCCGCGGTATCGCACAGAGACTTTTAAGAGGTCCTTTTCGTACTGTGTCGCCGTTAAATATAATGCGATTCCGGATTCTTTGAGGCTGGAGAGTGTGCGGGGTTATAGGACTAATTGTAAGTTGAGATGTTACCTATTTAATGTACAACTCAACCGGTGCTGGAAATTGCTCGTGAGAGTCGGACTGTTTATTCTAGAATGTTCTTAAGAATGTTCATTCTATTTTACCTTAAAAAAAATTTTTTTTTCTAATATAGTATTATCCTTGTTTATAGATATACAGTGTGTCCCGGGATAGGTGAAACGACTCTTATAAAATGTAAATTTTTTTTGATATTAAATGTCATCTTTTGGGGTTCAGCCCTGCTTGGTTAAAGACTAATTTAGAACATATTTTCAAATTTTTAAAAACAAGTGACTGTTGACACTGAAGCGAAAACTTCTTGTGTATCCGGTAAAGGTCTATAGAGCATAAGGTTACCCAATGCCGATTCTCCTCCTCTGAGGGGCAAGGTGGGTCAGTGACGTAGCTGGTTCGATGAACAACACAACACGATGCGAGGTTTAAATATTTTATATAGACTCATATAGACTGTACCACAGTATAGGCTATCTTTTACTCAACTCTACTCTGACTGTATAGAACCAGTGACGTCATTCTGCGGGGTAATAATCGATACTACAGAGGCATAGGGAATTAGGTAACCTTATGTTCTATAGACCTTGCCGGTAAACTACCTTTTCTGTTTACAGTATGGTAAAATGTTACTCAGAAATTTTATTCAGAATGAAAAGTTATGGCCATATGCAAATTTTCGGAATCGTCGGCCTACTTTGATAAAACCCTTTTTTAATTATTTTCGTCAATAGTACTTTATTACGATTTTTTGTTTTGAGATTCAGATTATTCGGAAAAAATAAACGAACCGTTCTTAAAATGTTCACAAAAAATTAAGTGTGTGTTCGCCCACAAAGAAAACAGTTAATTATAGCTAACAGTTAATTAGTTTCATCATAATTTTTTTTTCTTAGAGTGAATACTTCCTGCTGCAAGAAATCTTTTGATTAAACGCCAACAAGTACTTCTTTTAATTCCAGTATTTGGAAATTTTTCACTAAATAAAGCAATAACCACATTTATCGGGTTTTCCCCGGTTCCATAACACTGAATCACGTAAACTTTTTCCTCTAATGTTAACATTGTATAGTAGAAACCACGAGAGCTGGCAGTGACAGATCGCTTAAAAATGGTATGAATCAAGATATGGACGTACGACTTAGATTATTTCACCACATAAATTTAAATGTAGGTTATGTTAGTAATGGAGGTTATATGTCAAACATTGTCAAAAATATTATTTAATGATTTTCCTTTCAAAGAAAACATTTTCGGCTTGTGAAAACACTGACAGATTCATGACAACGCTCACAAGACGTTTCGATTTGAGGTTATAATTATAGAGTTACATCCCTTAGAAGAACAGACGTACTTTTTCGACGTGGCCATTTGAATTGTACAGGAGACATATTAAAATAATGCTATCTCTTTCTAACACACATTACTCTCTAGCGGTTTGTGAACTACGTATGGCATTTGTAAGAGCGGACAATGATGATTTACTGCCAGCTCTCGTGACGTCTACTATATTTGTAAAACACTTTAAATTTACTAAATTACAGATTGACAGATTAACAATGACAGGAAAGCAATTTTGTTTTTTCATGGCAGTCTTGGTTAAAAATAAAATTGTTATATATGAATTTTTTCAAAGTAGGCCGATCAATCCGAAAATTTGCATATGGCCATAGTTTTTCATTCTGAACAAAACTTCTTAGTAACACTTTCATGTACTGTAAACAGAAAAGGTACTTTACCTGCCACAAAAAGAGTTTTTCTTTCACTGTCAAGGCTCACTTGTTTTTAAAAAATTGAAAATGTTTAAAATTAGTCTTTAATATAAGAGTCGTTTCACCTATCCAGGGACACACTGTATGTATATCTATAAACAAGGGTAAGATAATAATCTTGTTTTGTTTTTTTTTATTATTGTTTTCTTTCTTTTTTTGCTAGGACTAATGAAAAACATTAGCAGTTATCAACTGCAATGATTTGGTGTTTTTTTTAAGGTTATTTTGTTATGTTGTACTATACTGGATGTATTGGGAATTAATAAACATACATTATTATTATAAGCTTGCTTAATCCGAAGTGTCTGGCAGTATACTCCTGCCCCGACCACTTCCAGTGTTTTTGATCCATCTGTGAACATGCAAATATCTGCCTGAACCAGAGAATTTTCGTTTTTGATCCAGGACTGCCGTTCAGGTAGTACAATCTGGTATAGAGCATTGATCACTGATAATGATCCCGTCAAATCTGACATCATTGATAGCAAAATATCTGTGCTTATAGTGCCTTTCATAGCCCATTGGTAGCAGTTTTGAGCATATTACTTAAACTTGTAAATGGTAGTTCTAGCCACTTTCTCTATATGCAAATGCAAAGGCGATGGGATAAGCTAGAGTTGGTATCATAGGCCTCCACAGTCAGATAGAGCCAATATAGTCTTTCAGGAGTAAGACTACAATTTTTTCCACAAATACTACAACAAGTCCACAAAGATAATCTAGCTTTGTATAAAAGTTCCTGCAAATGTCCATCTCATAAGAGGGTTTTAGTTTTAGTTGTTCCGCAAATATCTAAGCCTCTGATACAAATAGGTTAAGTTATATAGATTTAATACGATTTTTTAAAAAGGAAACCAGATACTTTATAGAATATATTGAACTAAAATCTTTATTCTATCGCTTTTTACAAGTTTACATTTAAACTATCTTAGTAATTACATGAAATTTTTTTTAATTATTTGCACGCACACTGTAAACATTAATTAAGAAAATAAAAACTATACTTATTCAAATTCCGTAAATTAACTGCAAAAAAACAAGCAAACATGTCATTGGAATTATTACTCATACAAGATAAAGTTAATTTTCTTTGTTATTATCAATCGTTAAAACTCAAACTCTTTGAGCGTATTTAATTATTTAAATCTAAGAAAAATTTAATGAATCGTTTAAACAACATTCTACGTTTAAATTTAATATAAAAATTCTTTTTTCCTTTTTATAGGAAACGAATCGTATATAAAAACGAATTAAAAGTGAGTTATAATTTAGAATATTCAATATTTATTATAGAAAATTACTTTGTACAATCTTACATTATAACACGTTCCATATCTTGTGTTAATTTTATTGTTATGTAGATCTTTTTTACACAAAAATGCACATTTTAAGGCGTGTTAAGTAATTCGAGTTAATTACACTTATTGCTTTAATTAGAAATATTACATTTCTAACGTTTAGTTAGCATCAAGTGTAGTAACGTTATAAATTTTTGTGTTAAAAAGAAAATGATTCATCCATAACATATTTTCAAATAAAAAAAGATGAATATTTAAAAACAGAAGAATGTTTTAGAGATCATTTGCCTACATTGTTTTGCTTATTGGTGTTATGTTTTGCGGACGATAAAAAATAAAGTACAAAAAAAATTCAACATAAAATATATATCTTATGTTTATATCGGTGCCAACTACTTGTACTGCTTCAGATAAGTGATACTATACAGCATTTTCCAAACTTTTTTTTGGCTTCACCAAGATATAGGTGTTAAATTTTCTTACTACAACATCTTCATCTATAAAGATAACACAGTTTTAAGAGCTTTTTTAAATAATTTAATACAAACTTTTATTTTTTTTTGCTCTAATTTATATTAAAACTGCGTTATTTTTATGGAGATCACCTTAATTTTCATTTACTTCCATTTAAACATAAAAAAGCGTTAAAGATAAAAATGGACATGAAACTAAATTTGTTTTAAACCCAGTTTTCATTTGAACTGTGAAAAACTATACAGTCCAGTTTCTACAATATAATAATTATTATATATATTTTTAATATTGGCATATTACATAATAAATTTTTATGAGGAAAATTTAAACAACTCAGAAATACGAATTATTTTTAAATAAAAACATAAATTATACCAGGAGTTACTCTTTACCTCCTGTGTTCGCTTATTAAAAAAAATCGTTATTTAAATATTTTACACACTAAACATCCTTCAGTGTCCATTGCCACTCATAGAACTATTCGATCCATGACTCTAAATAAACAAATTCATTTATAACTTCTTTTAATTGATAATTAACAAAAATTAACTAACCTGATTCCAGTTTTGACCACTGTAATAACTACCAGAATAATAACTGCCAGGATAATTTCCATTTCCATAACCCGATTGTTGGCCATATTGGCCTCCTCCTCCACCACCTTGATTATAATTCCATTTTCCACTGGAACTCCAAGCGCCACCCCAATTTCCACTTCCACCTTGGCTCCATTGCCCACCGCTTCCTCCCCCTTGACTCCAAGATCCGCGACTCCAAGGTCCACCTCCTTGCCAATTTCCACTATTTCCTCCTCCTCCACCTTGATGTCGATTTCTGTTGTAATTATCTCTATTTCCAGGTCTGTTATGACGATCTCTTGATCTATCTTGTTGTCTTTGACCTCCACTACCTAAAATTATTCATAAAATAATAATAATACATTAATAATTTAAATGGGCGTAATTTATGCGAATCGCGCGAGAATCGTACAACAATAGTCACCGCCAAGTATAGTAAACCTTGGTAACTTAACCAACCTCATTTGAGATGCGGTAACCAACCCGTATGGATGACGAACGAGGATAAGGCTATTATGGAGTTAAGTGTGAGGCCAACAACCTCACCCTGCAGTAACAAAAAAGTTACGAGTCTCGGGATCTTAGGACGGGCATTAGTAAACGACCCCAGCAACGAAAAAAGGACTATGTTACAAACTGGAAAGATGATGGAGATTGGAAATAAACTATTAAAGATTAAGATAGATGATCATATTAATAAATCCGAATAAGTCTCATTCGGCTATTTAGCTCACAGAAGAAAGTGATAATGAAGAAAAGGACATTTTCTGTATACGAGGGAATCACGGGATATGATCCACCACATCATCAGCAGGTAATGAATGATTTTAATGCAAGGAGAGGTAAAGAATCATACGCAACAGAAGTAGCGGGAAAGTTGTTCCTGCATAATGAAACAAGCCCGAACGGAACAAGGCTGTGCCAAAAGACTAACGCCATTGCAATGAAGATAAAGAACACAGACTTTCAAATAAAATACGTCTATAAGGGTACATGGCAGATCCCAGGAACAAGCAGGATGAATCAAATTGATCATGTTATTTAGCTGTACGACTAAAAGAAGAAGAAAAAGAAGCAGCATAAAGAGGTTAAAATGTAATAAAACACCAGGAGTAACACCAACAGAACTACTATAGTATGGAGGTAAGTAAGAAGCACATGGTGGTCATATATAATAATAATAATCTATAATTTGTTGTGTGTGGAGGTTTTCTTTTATTATTTTATTATAAAAGCATTACACCATTCCCTCCTTTAACTATTTATTTCTAAATCATTATAAACAACGTTTTGGGACTATTCCATCATCAGGTTTAATAATTTTTGTCATCTAAAGGAACAACAATTCAATGATTTACGTAACTACAATTATTTTACAATGAAAACATTTATTACACCTAAACCACAATATATGTAGAATATGACTCTTACCAAAAACTTTTTTCAATTTTATCATTGATCGTCTTTTAATTTCTACCCATCTCATCATGCTTACACGTCACGTCCATCTCCCCCACTCTATTATATAACCAATTTATTTAAAATATATGCATAATGCGCCCCTATTCGTCCTACGTCAGTTTTAAAGTTAACTGCGTTATTAATGTTTTTTGTTATGATAATTGATTCCAAGTTTTTTCTTATTAGTGTGTTTTTATTTGTTGTTAATATTTTGGGATTTTTAAAATCATATTTGTGAGTTAAAGTTACCGAATATTGGCATAAAGCCGTTTTGTTTTGCGTTTTTATTTGTTTAGTATCGTATTTATGTTGTCGTATACGTTTTTTGATATGTTGTTTAGATTCCCCTATGTAAATTTTATTGCAGGCAGTGCAGTTTAATTAATATACGGTATCTACTCTATCTAATGTCTTAATTTTATCCTTCATATTTAATATCAAGGTGCCAATTTTGTTGTTATTATATTTAGCAAATTTTATTTCTGATATTTCATACCTTTTAAAAACATTCGTTACCTTATTTGTTAATGTTGGTATAAATTTAATTTTACAAAATTCTTTATTATTATGAGTGCTTTTATTGTTAATATTTCCCTGAGTGCTAAGATCGCTTTTTGGAACATTCTGCCCTGTATTAGTTTGTCTAGGTATGAATTCATACCTAACTAATAGAACTAACACATATTTGATATTTGATTTTACAACAAAATAATAATAATAATAAATGCCTTTATTAGGAAATAAGCTTAATTGTATAAAAAAAACATATAAAAGAAAATAGGCGTATTTCAGCTTGTACTAGGTAGTACAGATGCTCTAACTAACCTAAGAAACAAAAAAAGAAAAACACGACTCCGCCAAAAATTACAAAGCAACAGCTAGATACAACAACAAGATTGCAAAACATGTCAGATCAGCGTTTACCCCCATGTAGACATTGTTCAAGAAAACAAGAATTTTTCTGTGTAATATCAGCTTTTAGTGAAAATCTGGGAGACTGAGAAGATGCCTACAGATTGGGAGACTTCCGTCATATATCCAAGACATAAAAAAGAGGATCCTCTGCACTACATATAAGTCCCAACAGATATAGTATGGCACAGAATGCCGAGGAACCTTAAGTGAGTACCAAGGTAGATTTAGACATAGCTGATCCACCACAGATCAGATTTTTACAGACCGACAGGTAATTAAAAAAGCAAGGCTCATTTTCATTATGGTTCGAGGAGCATTATAAAGAGACATGCAAGAAATGGGATTTTTTTTCAATTAGTAAATCTGACACATATGGTGTTGAGTAAGGCAACCAAAAATTTGTAAACGTATATTTTTTTTCATAGATCCGAGAAAAAAATGGACAAGAGAGAAACTTGTTCCAGATCAAACTATGAATTTTGAGCTGTATTATTTACTGCAAACTATTATGCCACTAACTTCGAAATAATTGGGAATGTGTTTGATGTATTAGATCAAGAGGACGCTGCGTTCTCTTCATTTTAAAATTTTAAAGGACCTACTAAACGACAATACAATAAAATCAGACTTGATTTTCATTGCATCAAATTAAGGCTTCCTTGGCGCATCAATAAAAACATTGGAAACAGCTCCCGCTTTCTACACAGGTTGAAGTAGTGACATAAGCTCAGGACTTCATTGATGGCATAAACAGTGAAGCTACTAAGCTACTAAAAAATGGCTATGATTACTTCAAAAAATCATGGTTTTTCTATTTTGAAAGAAATTTCTACATGTTTGAATAAAGGATCCATAGAAATAACCTCAGTGAAGCACTACCATTTAAATTTGCACCTATAACTCAGTGAAAGTGGAACGAATTTTTCAATGCATAAGAATGTTTTAAGAGCAAACAGATATTGTAATCAAAATTTAAGCTAAACCTATTTCTGGTTTATTTTCTATTTCTTTCTATTTGTCTTTTGTGTTTTCTTCAATATTTTCTAATTCTCTTTTAGTTTTTATAAGGCGAACTAATAAATATCTCGTGTATAGAAATAGATATCATTTTTCATTTACTTTGTTTAACCTCACCTAAATTTAAGAGCTAAAATATGCTGCTTAAACAGCATATTTTGATTTTTATAGAACATTTTTTAAGCGCTACCATTTTTTGAAGTATATTTTTGGTTGCCCTAGTGATGAGCAACTCTAAGGGTATAGTTAAAGTGAAAGGCAGGTGCAGTGAATGTTTCGAAATCAAGGAATGTCTACGAGAAGGCGCTTTCTTATTGTTCAATATAGCGCTACAGAAGATTATTAATAAATTGTAAATACACAAGAAAAATAATGTGGGAAAACTACCTAAAATTTAGTCATATTATCTAGAATTTTTAGTCAAAAATTAGCTAACTACTATTACTAGTTATAAAAACTAATTCTATTTCGATAATTTAAGATAGATAAATGATCGAAAAATGTATTTTATAAATACCTAATCAAATTAGTTTCATTATAAATATAATATTAATAGATGTTTTTACTATTAATATTATTTTTATTATTAATGGCAGTAGATAGCTTTATTACAAACGTTGACAAAACGACTAAAATACATTTAAATAAAGTATTTAATAATAGTATATTTGTCCATTTAGGTAAAATATTTCATTGTTAAATGTATATAGATATTCAGACTAGAACAAAATAGACAAAATACCAAATACTTTAGGTAACTAAACTACACAACAACTAGACTTATCAACTAGTTTCCATGATGTAGTTTCTTTTTCTAAAACTTAGTTATATCTCCTCAGTAAATAGATAAATTAACTATCATAAATTTGACTAATTAGAATTTTATTGTATATGTCAGCTAAATTACGTTAGGTAAATGAATAAATTTTCTAGCAAAAGTCACTATTTGTCTAACAACTAAATTGATTTAGTTCAAGTTTCCATATCATTTTTCTCAGTGTAGACCAGAATAGCTCTATTATGTAGATAGAGACACAATTAACAGTATACATAGATAAAATCGGCATAATGGAAAGATTTAAACAAGAAATGAAGGCGTGCTATGAAGAATTGAAGGGTAATGTATACAGTGTAGGATTACATATAAATATAGATAAAACCAAAGACTGGACATGAAACAAATGCATGAAAGAATAGTTCCTAAAATAGATGGCAAGATATCAGTGATCCTTTGGAGTTTCTTGGAGTAAGGAAATAGCGAGATTAATTGAAGATTAAAACTAAACACACAGCAAATCACAACAAGAAAAAAAATAATTTAAAACTTACCTCTTTGAGAACGCCAATCTCTCGATTGATCGCGATTATTCCTTCTATCATTTGAACCCCACCTTTGCGATCTATAATCTTGTTTAGGTCCTCTATCATACCTATGAGGCGGGTATTTATTTCTAAATCCTCCATGGTAATCATTACCTAAATTTAATCAATTCATAAAGATTTTTTTTTAATTTTTCACCTTTCATTATCAACTTACGTCTATTATCTTGCCATTTATTAAACCTGTTATTTCGGGCTTCGCGTCTTGGCCAATTTCCGTAACCGGCATCTTTACCTTCTTTGTTATATTTTTGCACCATCGCTTTCGCGTCATCTTCCTTTAGATCCACGTAAGTTACTTCTTCCAACCAATCGCCAACGCGGGGAAGTGACATATTAGCTACAAATTAAATAAATTAATTAAAAGAATAAAAAAATTTGAAAAAATTACCTTTCATTTGACAAATATACGCATTACTCAACTTTGTATCTTGTTGTTCTTCATATTGAGCTTTACGTTTCGCTTGATCTTCTTCGCTGCAAACCACGACGATTGCCCTTCTTTTGTATCCATCGAATTGTCTCATTTTGCGTCTTTGTGTATTGTTAAATTCGTTGGTCTTAAAATAAAATTGCTTTTTTTTTGCGAATATATTTTTATGTATTAACTTACTTGGTCGATTACAATATTTCTTCTTCTGGTTGCGGCAACGTCCACTAATTTATTCGAAGTTTTTGTGAGTTTATCCACTAATGTGGACCAATAAGGTTTGATGCTGTTTCTAATCGGTGTGCCATCAACGGTCATTTTATCCAAAAGTTGGCTATTTCCGATTATTGTGTATCGTTTATCTTTGTTTTTCTCTAAATAATCATTAACCCAATGTGTTTTACCTGAAGCAGGGAGTCCAATCATCATAATAACCTACAAAAAAATAAATAAATCATTATTTAATTAAATAAATATATGGTATTAAATCAGTTTCATACTTCACAATCACTTCGGCTTTCTGGTCGTTGTGGACCAACAACTTTGTCTTCAATTTTATTAATAAACATGTATTCGGATAATTTTTCTGGTGTTTTACAAAATGGTTCCTCCAAGTCACCGAAATTCGCTTCAAAAACGTAATTTTTTGAAAGAACATGGGGAAATAATGAGAAATCTCCTTCTGGTAAATCAGTTCTGGGTATTGATACAGCTAAAGGAAGTTCTTCCCCATTGATTGTGTAAATTATATTAACACTTTCATCTGAAAATGCCTAAAATAAAACAATAAATTTAATTAATTGAAAATTTAATAATAATGCTTTTATTAACCTTACAATTAATGTACTGAAATTGCAAAGGCTAATAATTGGTTGGGTCAGACAACACCATAAAATAGTGAGGTCTGGCCTTCAACCAAGTCCCCATGAACACAACATATTGCTTGTAAGTAAGAACATAACTCATAAGAAAAGAAAACCAACAAACAAAAATTGAATGAATAAATGACAATTAAAACAAATAAAAATTATATCATATCGCTTGTGTTTATACTTAAAACTCGAGAGGTTTGATATTTTTAATGGGCGAGGAAGGGTATTCCAAAAGTTTGTCACACAATAATTGAAAGAATTCTGAAATGACGCCGACGCGTGACTACGCACTGTAAGTGCATCTTTTCAACGAATATTGTCCACATTGTGATACTATATCTTCCTGCTCAGATAAACAGGTGTTTTTAATTTAAAATTTTATAACAAACTTCTCCACTGTGAAAAATGATCCTATTATACATATTTAGCCACCTACACTCTTAACTTATGCGAAATTCTGCAGCACTTTCGTATTCCATAAATTAGTCTTAAACACCCATTTTGAATATACTGCACCCGTCTTCGAGTATCCTTAGTTATGCAGGGACCATATACCAAGTCACACTGATTGAAATTGATTAAAATCAAAGAATCAATCAATAATCTTTTACTGTTTTCATTTGACAGGCCGATACGGACAAAAGGGATTTTAATACGCAATATGATTTTTGTATTAGTTTATTTATATGTGAATTAAATTTTAAATCATCATCTATTAATAAATCCAAATTTTTCACAGTGCGTATGTGTTGTAGTTCCTGATTATTTACACAAATTTTAAGATTGTCATTAACAAATTTCATATGATTCCTATCACCAAAAACTAATCACATTAGATTTGCTGGGGTTTACTTTTAAGCCATGTGCCTCAGAAGTGTCAACAAGATATTAATAATTGAGTATCATCAGCATAAGCATGGTATTTACAGTCATCAATGTCTTCAAATGCTTGTAGAACATACTAGTATAAATGATGAACAACAAGGAACCACATATACTGCCCTGAGGAACTCCTTTAGAGACAAATTCTGGTTTAGATAATAAGCCTTTAACTTTCGCATGTTGTCTTCTGTTCAGAAGATAATGTTTAAACAAATCAATGGCTGTCTGACCGAGACCTATGTAGTGCATAATGCGTAATATAAATAATACAATAATATCATTGCATGCATATCTTCCTTGTCCACATTCAGCAACACACCATCCATTCTATTCTATTTTTTAATTCGGAGGAGTAAAATGAAAAGTCATGTTTACACAGTGTAATTTTTCAAAGCCATTTTTTTGGCGGAAGTTTTAAAACCAGAGAGGATTTGAAGTAAACGAATTTAATTACTTATTTGTTTAAATACAATAAAAACCAGGGCGTACATACTTTGTCCCACATAAAATGCAACATGCCAATATAATTTGACATTGCACTAAAAAAATACAACAATCTTGCGCTGAATAACAAATAAAACTAGACTAATATTAACATTAGACCTAGAGCTAGAAACATTCCGTTTAGCTTCCGCTTTATTAACTTGTTAACTTTGCATCAATTCTTCATCAACCTTATATCAAGAAAATTCCACGTAATCCCAACATTATTACTATGTTGTATATTTTTATTGAACTAAAACTAGAACTAACACTAGACCTAGAACTAGAAAATATCGGGTTTAGCCATGAGTCTGAAGACGAATGATTCTAGTTCTAGGTCTAGTGTTAGTTCTAGTTTTACACTTTTTACAGTAGAACTAACACAAGACCTAGAACTAGAATCATTCGGGTTTAGCAGTCTTGAGAGACGTGTGGCTAAACCCGAATGAGTTCTAGGTCTAACGTTTGTTCTAGTGACAATGATAGGTAGCGATAGTTAGCATAAGATATCACTATGTTGCATATTTTTAATGCACTAAAACTAGAACTAACACTAGACCTAGAACTAGAATCATTCGGGTTTAGCCGTCTTGAAAAACGTACAGCTAAACCCGAATGATTCTAGTTCTAGTGTTAGTTCTAGTTTTACACTAGCACTAGCTAATAGTAGTATATTTTTATTGAACTAAAACTAGAACTAACACTAAAGCACAGCTAAACCCGATATTTTCTAGTTCTAGGTTTAGTGTTAGTTCTATTTTTACACTAGCACTATCACTAGAACCAACACAAGACCTAGAACTAGAATTATTTAGGTTTAGCCATACAGGGAGACGTGCGGCTAAACCCGAATGTTTCTAGGCGGCCGGCAACATCTCGAATTTTCCTAGTGTAATTTTTGCTTAAAACTGAAAGAACTGAATTTGTAATCACTCCTCCGAATTAAAAAATAGAATAAAGTACAGAATTACAACTGTGACCAGGTCTAAATCCTGAGTGGTTATCAGTTATGATGTCATAAAGCAATAGGTGTTCATGTAACTGAGAACAAACTATTTTTTCTAGTGCTTTAGAAAGAGCAGGTAATATGCTTATAGGCTTAAAATCAGTATAGCACTTAGGAGAGTTAACTTTTAGCAATGGAGTGACTATAGAAACCTTCCAACAGTCAGAGAAAACAGCTTCTAAGAGACATGCATTAATGATATGCATAATCATATCTAATAAGAATGGACACGACAGTTTTTTTGTATTTATGTGAAGAAAATCGCTTCCAACAGCATTGGAGTGAATGATATAACTTCAGCCACTTCACTCTGTGTTACAGTAACAAGCAAATAATTCTTTAAAATTTTGTAATGTAGTGTTGTTATAATATTGTAATAAATTATTTGAATTGTTCAAAAAATAATTATTGAATTCATCTGCATCACATAAATGTTCAGGAACAGAATTAGAATTAGGTTTCCATAAATCGCAAGTATTTTTTTTTTTTTAATAGTATTTATGTAAACCCTCTGTTCCTAATGTACTGCAGATGTAACATAATTTCTTAGCAAATTGTTGTGGGTGTTAATGCTTTATCCCTTAGATCCATCATAATCCTAACAACAGGAGTTAGCCAAGCTGCACTTGGTCGCGAGATTTTAATATTCTCGCGGATTTAATTCGCAATTTACAACATTGTTGATATTTCTAGGAGTTGCTAGTCATAGTTTTCAGTATTTTTGGAAAATATGACTAACATTCCATTTATTACAAATCTTACCAAAAAAGTGCCAATAATATCACCAACCCCAAACGGTTTTCCATATTCCGTAAATTGTTTGTCATTAACAAATTTTCCACTCGATTCAAATCCATAAGAATATTTACTTTCACCAAGTTGTAAACATTCGGAATTAATAGACCAACCAATTCTGATCAAATGGGACGCAATTTTAACTTCTTCCTCTTTAAGCTCTTTTTCCTCTTCTTTCTTTTCCTCAACTTCCATTGGTTCCTCTTTACTTTGAGGTTCCTCCTCATCATTTTTCTCTTTTTCTGTGTCCTTTTCTTTTTCATCTTTTACATCGTCTTTATTTTCTGGTTCTTTTTGAGTTTCTGACTCCTTTTGAGTGTCAAGATCATCATCAGCAGGTTTTTCAAGTGGAGGAGTTTCTTTGGTTTCTCCTGTTGTTGGTTTATCTTCGGTTGGTGATTTACTTTCATCTTTTTCTTCCGTTGTTTCCATTTTTTCATCAAGTTGAGCGTCATTTTGTGATTGTTCTTCGACTGATTTCGCTTCGGAACCGTTTTCATCGCTAGATTTTGATTTTTTTTCGTCAGGGGAACGTTTTGTTTCGGTGTTTCGTGATTTGTCTCTTCTCGAATCTCTTCTACCACGATCTCTACTACCTTTTTCAGGTTGTTTAATAACATCTTCCCATTTTAATTCTTCGGTTACTTTTACTTCAAAACAAACCTATATAGACATAAATAAATAATTAAAAAAATTTTTCTTTTAATATTAATTTATTTTTACCTTTCCATTTTTTGCCCCATGAGTTGCTCTTACTCCGGACCAAACATAACCAAATATTCCGTCGTGATAAGGTTTCGCTTTCAAGAACGTTTCCTTATCAATTTGCAGATGAAGGTCAGAATCATCTGTAAACAAAAATAAAATACTCAACTTAAAATGAAAGATTTTATTTTCATTGCTGTCGTTATCTTAAATAGATAAGAATCTATTTAAACTAACTAGGAGAATGTTGCATAACAGGACTGATAAAACTACTAGAGCAAATTAACTATAAATAAAAAAGAAAGACAGATATATCAAAACTACTTTTTTATTAATCTTTAGTTCTTTTCTTTTTACAAAATGTATAAAATAATAAAATTATAACATAAACTGAACTGAAAAAATAGTAACAACTAACCATTTCAATGAAAAAGAAAAATAAGATATCGAGATAACAAATTTTTCCAACAAAAAAAAAATTGAACTAAGACAGAAAATCAATTTTATCAATTTTACTTACACCAATTTAGTTGAACTTTATCAGAATCGATTGGTGGCTCATCTTCCCTAACTGGGGTTCTTTGTCGGGCTTTTTGTACATCGTTTGATCGTTTCCTTTTCCCTCCTGATTGTTGATCATCGTCTCCTTTCACCTGATCTTCTTTATCCTTGTTATTTTCACCTTTATCCGCTATTGCTTCATCAGTTTCTTCTGTTTCTACTCGACTTTTCTTATTGGGGGGTTCATCAACATTATCCTTATCATAATAAAAGGAAAAAAATTAAATAAGTATAAAATATAATCAATTTCTTTTTTGAGATACTTTATGTTGGCATTTCTTAGAAGACACACTTTTACCACCTTGAATAAATAAATCCAGTTCTTAGTCAATGAACCACCCCCAAAACAGGATGGTAAAAGTGAGCCTAACTATTTCAATTTACCTGTTGCTCTCCATTTTCTTCTTGTTTTGTAACATCTTCCTTTTCATCTTGTTCTGCAATTGAAGCTTCACTTTCTTTATCAGCTTTTTCTTCAGAACTTTTCATTTCTTCATCTTTACCTTCATCAGGTTTTTCTAATTCTGATTTTTCTTGTTCTACGACTATAGAAGGCTTTTCCACATCCTATGATGCAAATTTTACATTTCTAAATCGTTAATAGATCATTTATTATAATACTCACAGGTTCTTTTTCATCGTCTTTGTCACCGTCATCTTTAGATTCTTCGATAACATCAGTTTCATCTTTCGTTTTAGAATTGGGTACATCTTCATTCTGAGAAGTGTTAAAATCCTCAGTGGATGTATCGGCAATAGATGTATCAGGTAACTCTACAAAATAAATCAAATTTTAATTTTCCCGCCAATACAACATAACCTCTACTTAGCATAACATTGCTTTATAAAAAAAATTTTACGAAATTGAATTTTTATTGTAACCCACCTAATAAATCCGTAAAAACGTTTATTTAATCAACAAAAAGAACTAAAACGGTTTTAGGTTAGATCATTCTAGAAGGTGAATTTAATAACTTGTTTTGGACACAAAACTAGAAATTTGGTTTTGTAACGTGTTTAAGTAAAAGATTTGTCGCTTAATAATGATTTAAAACGTTGAAAAAGGCTCAAAACTTGCCTGTTTTTAGTTCGGACTCCAATGCATCTTTTAAACGCTTAACCAATACAGCTTTATTGCCCTTGGTTTCCAAACCTCTGGAACTGAGTTCTGCCCGGAGTTCAACCACTTTTAACTTCGCGGGGTCCGGCACCGAACTCATTGTTTATTCGGGAGCAGAAAAAAAATTTAAACTTTTAACGGAATTTATACAAAATAAACACACTCATAAACGCGTTACAGTACTAAAGAAGCACGCGTAATATTGCAAATGGCGTACTACAGTATTGCCACGCTTGCGCAATAAAATTCACTGCTATAGGTTGCCTCAAAAAAACGCGCCAAATTTAAAAATTGTATCAAGTTTGATCAATAATTCATACTTTACCTTAAAGACTAGGCTAATTCATACTTGAAATTAAAGTAAATTAATTATGGAAGATGTTCAAGAACAACCGGGTATACTCATATTATATTTTAGAATTTTTAATCATATTTTTTATTTTAGTTGTATTAAACAACGATTTAGAAAGGAAAATTTTTGATGCTTTCGAAGTGTTTGATCACGCTGGAAATAAAACCGTTGATGTACGAGATGTTGGAACTGTTATTCGTTCTTTGGGTGCTTGCCCTACAGAAGCTGAACTTCAAGAAATGATTGTTTTGTACTTAGAAGATCCTGTTAATCCCGGATCGATTCACGTTAATAAATTTATCCCTTTTGTATCCCAATTTATCACTGAACACAAGTACTTATTTAAATTTAGTTCTTATTTTATTGCGTAAACTTTACAAATTATTAATTTTAGGTATGAACCTGCTACTCCAGATGCTCTACTTGAGGCTTTTCATGTTTTGGATCCATTAGGAAAAGGCTACATAACTAAAGAATACATTTCAACTTTAATGACACAAGATGGTGAACCATTTAATCAAGATGAATTGGATGAAATGTTGGAAATTGCCATTGATCCTCATACTCAAACAGTACCATACGAATATTATATTAATCAATTGATGGTGAGTTTAAATGATATATATTTTAATAATATTAAATTCTTAATGTTTCAGATTGATTAAGTGAAATGTAGAATGTTGGGCACAACACAAGTATATATTTTAAGACATATTTAAAGTAATTATTAATTAGTGCACAATTACAAAGTTTAAAATTATCTCCTATTGCAACTCAAGACCCACATTTCATGCATATCTAATGTACAATTTCTTAACCTAACTAATTACATCTTGTAATTCAGCAACAATGATACCACACAAAAGTGTGGTTACTTCTTTATTATTATTAATGTAGAGGACAATGTAGTATTGAGGTGATTTCGATGTAATTTATTTGTAATTATGTATGATCTTCAAAAGTTAGATATTAGAAATTAAAATTAATTTCATTGAGTAATTTTTAGGCAACCCAACTTACATCTAACACAACATTGCAGAAGAATAAGACATTTGTGTTAACACTAGCAGTGTGGTGTTAAGAATAAAGCACCAATATTGAAATAAGTTGTAATAAAAAGGTCTTTTATTAAATTGAGCACTTAAAAAGCTCCATTGAAATGTCAAAATTAATATTAATTAAAGAATTGGAATATAATGAAAAACTTGTAAGGAAGCACAAGTTACAGGAGTAACACAATTGGCTAGCTGTCTAAGGGACACTATATGGGGAAACAAATACATGCATGTAGAAGGAAAAATGAAATTATCACCTTAAGTGTCACCTGAAAGGTGTATCACCTTTAGTGTGTTAGTGGTGTTAGAAAACCAATGTACCAACCACATGAGAGTATTAAATCGTGGTTATGAGGCTTTTATAGACAACCAAAATTCAACAGGCAGGGGCTGAAAGTATTTTGAGTATGAAGAAGAGATGAGAGAATTGATGAGTATGAAAAAAAAATGTTAACCCTGAGTTATTATTAGATAACAATATAGTTAATGTGCTGATTGTGAATGAGGATAAAGAAAATTATGAAATGGAAAGCATGAGTCTAGAACTATCACCAGTGGTTACACTGAATGATACATCAGAACCAGAACCAATACCAGAAAAATAGAAGATATGTAGTAACAAACCAAAAAAATAAATTGTGTTGTGCCCTGGACTCCAATTATGTTCACTGCGCCGTATTATCAAATCTCCTTCAAATCTCTCAATACCGACATACCCAAATCTCCAAATACTCTATTACCTTATCTCTGCTCCAAATCTCTCTCGCATAAAAGACACTTTTATGGTTGGGCGCGGTTATTGTTAAGGTTATGTATGGCGTTATACTTATGTTAATGTCGATGTTTGTAACCAGAATAAGTAAATAAACAGTAAGAAGATATACAGATTGAGATTTTATTATAATAAACGATGGATTTAACTTTAGGACAAAGATTTTTATAAAGTTCCCAAAAACTTTATTTGAAACAGAAGACGCCTTCCAAGCTAAACAACATGATATAGCAGCAACTATTCAATCAAAATATAAAGAAATACTTGAAAGAAGGAAATATTTAAAAATGAGCTACACTGAAAAAGAAGCTGAAAGAAGAAAAGCTGCGGTTCTTGTTATTAGAAAGTAAGATAATTTTAATTAATTACTTTCATGTTTTGTTTATGATGATGTTTTATCCTCATCAAGTGAATCGTCCCAGCGTTTTGACAGCTTTTTAACTGGCCGCCTTCCCTCCACCCTTCTTCCTTTCTCAAGTTTCAGTGTTCTGTCTGCATCCATCCACCACATATGGTCGACCCACTGCAGCCTTCAAAGCTGAATGAGATCATTGATGTCACCTGAGATGTTGGTTCCCAGATATATGTTTCCAGCTATTTTTTGTTGGTAGTTTAAAAACCAGAGAGGATTTTAAGTAAACTGTACGAATCTAATTACTTATTTGTTTAAACATAATGAAAACTAGGGCGTACCTAGTGTCACACTATGTTCTATCTACACTAAAACTAATACTAGACTTAGAACTAGAATCATTCGGATTTAGCCGTCTTGAGAGATGTGCGGCTAAATCCGAATGTTTCTAGTTCTCAGTCTAGTGTTAGTTCTAGTTTTACACTAACACTATCACTAGAACTAACACAAAACCTAGCACTAGAATCGTTCGGGTTTAGCCGTCTTGAGAGACGTGCGGCTAAACCCTAATGTTTCTAGTTCTCGGTTTAGTGTTAGTTCTAGTTTTATACTAGCACTATCACTACAACTAACACAAGACCTAGAACTAGAATCATTCGGGTTTAGCCACCCAACCTAACCCAACCCAACCCGAATGTTTCTAGGCGGCCGGCAACATCTCGAATTTTCCTAGTGTAATTTTTGCTTAAAACTGACCAATAGCAACCCTTCTTTTTGGCACTTTAATTTCAAAACACTCCTCCGAATTAAAAAATACAGTATAAGACTTCATTGGAGACCTGATGTGATCGTGCCATTAGGTGTATGTCGTTATGACTTAAAGGTGTTCCTTAGGGATTGTCCTTTAAGGGTTGCTTTAAGCTAATTGTAAAATTTATCCTTAATTCTTTCATCATTATCTTTTGTGTAGAAGCTTGTACTCAAACTCGTGGCTTCCTAATGATTTGTCACTTTTAAAGATTTTGTGTAAAATTAATTTTCTTTTTTAAATAGATTCATTAAGGGATTTATAACAAGAAATGGGCCAGTTAACGACTGTAATAAAGATTTCGTTGAAATGGCAAAACGGAATTGGTTGATGAGACTATCAAAAAGTCTTCCATCGAATATTTTAAAAAGAACTTGGCCACCATGTCCGTATAGTTGTAAAGAGGCATCAGCACATTTGGAAAAATATTACGCCTCTCATATGTCAAGGGTTTATCGCAAGAAATTAACCCCCGAAAGAAAATTGGTATTTGAACAAAAGATTTTGGCTGAAAAATTATTTAAGGGTAAAAAAGCGAATTATCCTGAAAGTCTTCCGCATTGGTTTGTAACTAATAGATTATCAGCGACTGATATTTCGATTGATACCATTTTAGATGAGAAACAAAGGGTAATAAATATTTTTTTTTTTGTATTAATTTTAATTGAAAATTTATTTTCTTTAAAGTACTGTTCACCTGTTATAAAATACGATCGACGTGGCTTTAATGAAAGGGATCGTATCATGGTGGTTACTAACAATTCATTTTGTTTAATCGACGTTAAACCAAAACAACTAAAAATGAAACATAAATTTCCTTTAGATAAATTGGAATTTATTATTTCACCAGCATTAAATAGCTTCGTATTGATAAAAATCCCAGATGAAATGAAAAAAGCCGATAAGGGCGATTTAATTTTAAAAGTGCCTCATTTAATCGAAGCGTTAACTTTAACCGTTGAAATCACTGAGAAGCCTGAAAAAATTATTTTTGCTAAAACTAACATGTAAAGAAATGAAATTGCAAATTAAAAATAAATTGTTATTAACATAATTTATTTTTAGGATTGAGTATGCTAAACCAGGTAAACCTGGTCAGATTGTCTTTAGTGTAGGACCCCAAGAAAACTTTTTTAAAGATAAAAAGAATGGAAATTTACTTATTATTAGTCGTAGCACTGTTGGTCTTAATAATACTTAATAAAAACATAATGAAAAGAATATCTATTGAATTTGATAAAGAAAATGAGCTTGGAAAAAAGATATTGTTAAAAATGTACCATTTTTATGTTCAAAATAATTTCTTTTGTATAGATGATGGGAATGAAATGTATTGTAATATATTATTATTAATTTTATTTAACTCAGGTGAAATATGTTTATATTTTATTTAATTTTATAATTTATTCGTTAATAAAGATCGTTATAACTACTTTGTATTGCGACTTTATTCATTTTTATACTCCACTGTTCAATATTTTTTTGTTCTTTAACACGTAGGCTTATTTCATAAGTTTTTTTACACATATACATCATTTTGTTGAAAATAAATATGTATCAACTACTTACAATCACCGAGAATATTGAGTTATTCAATATTACAAGTTGGTAACTCACAAATGTAGCTTTTGTAGGTCACTAACAGGGCCTTATTTAAATTTCTTGTTGTTCTCTAGGTATTGTTAAAAAAAATAAAAACCATAAAATAAATTGATCTTTTGAAAGCAATAAACTGATAGATATACTTAAATAAGTACAAAGACATTATTATAACAATAATTAATCTTTAACCATCTTTAAAACTTTTCAATTATCTACAGAGTGTGTCTAAATAGTCGAATTATCTTCGAATTTTATTTACAGGAGGATTAATGGGACAGTTATCTAGAGTTAATGCTTTTCTGTTTGAATAGTGAGATCACAATGTATAGCGGAGGCTTTTTGTGATGTTGAAACTTTCTGATATTTGGTTGTTTAATTCACTTGAAGACATTGCCGATACAAGAATAAGTGGTATGTTTAATTTTTCATGGTTGTGGTTTTTTAAGAATCGAGACTCCACGCCATTGAGGCTCGCGACTTTCGAATGAATTATCTAGATCTTTATACTTTTTGTCTTTATCTTTTTGAACCGGTTTTTGAAAGGGTTTCCAGATAGGGTACAATTACACGAAGGCCTGCTTTTCCAAAGGTTCTTTTGCCTCTCCATCTTTCCCAACATGCTACCAAGGTATTCGAAAGTTTCAACTTGTTTTCCTTTTCATGGTTTGGATCCATTAGGAAAAGAATATAGGTATAACTAGATCATTTAATTAAGACGAAATGCTCGAAGTAGCTATTGTTCCTTCTACTCAAACAGTACCATACGAATTTTACATCAATAAATTGATTGTAAGTTTGTTATAGACACAAATTTTGCTGTACAGGTTATGCATTTTTGGTGGAGGAGCCGGAATAATTTGTTTATTTAGAAACCTTTTTATTTTGTAGTACGAACCTCCGCCTGAAGTAAGTTTATGTGCGGTTGCTGATGGCTGATGCCATTGAAGCTACGAAACCTTAAACTGTTAAAAACCATTAGGTGCACTTTTGGAGCAAATACACCAAGAAAGAAAAGAAGATTGATTCTTATTTTGTCATTTTTAAATGTGTGCTGTGTAAATTAATAAAAATTATAATATTTTTAGTTAATTTTTAAATATAATTGTAATTATTTATAAATAATTTTTAGAAACAACTCAAATAAAACAAAATTTTAAATTTAAATAATACGAGTATTAACCCAAAGATGTCGCGTTACCTACTTATTCATTTTATTTATTTATTTTATATTTGTTTAATTAACTAAACTATATTCAAGTTTTTCTTATAATTAATAAAATTTGATTTAAAAAAAGTAAATTTATTACATACATTATCGAATTAGAATGAAACGGAAAGTTAACTTTTAACATGTCATGCGTCTTTGTAATGAATTTAGCCCAACAAACTGAAACTAATATGGCCGACCGATAGGGACTGTCAAATTCACGTAAACATTTTTGTGCGGATGATCAAATCGAATTGATAAAATGTAAGGCGTGAAAACAAAGTTTTCATAACCATGGCCCAGGGGGTTTTGAGTTCGGACATTTCGAGGAGAAATCCTCAAGATGAATTCGAACTGATTCAAAGAATTGGGAGTGGAACTTATGGTGATGTTTATAAGGTAATCGGCCCATTGCGCTCTTTTTTTAAACAGTTTCGTTCATGTAATTACGTTTGTTTTGTAGGCTAAAAGACTGTCCACAAATGACCTAGCTGCTATTAAAGTGATTAAGTTAGAACCAGGTAGGTAAAGGTGAAATTATTGATGTAGACTATAGAAAGATTGTTGTGAACTTTCGATTTATTTTGGATCGTTATTTTAATAGGGGATGATTTTGGAATTATCCAACAAGAAATTTTAATGATGAGAGACTGTCAGCATCAAAATATTGTGGCTTATTATGGGAGCTATTTACGAAGGGATAAGTTATGGATTTGTATGGAATATTGTGGTGGAGGAAGTTTACAAGATATTTATCACAGTATGTTTTTTTGATAAGTATTAATTAAACATATTAAAATCAATTATTTTGATATAAATCAATATAGATTAACAAGATTATTTTTATTATCATGAAAAGATAATACAATGAATTATAACATATTTTCTGGAATTTAATCAAGTGGTTAACTCCTAAAATATTTTAAAATGCAATATTTACATCATAACTAAATAGTTAAACTATTTCATTAAAATTCCTATTTTATTGCTTCATTTAATTAATGAAACATTTTATTTTACAGTTACTGGGCCTTTAAATGAACAGCAAATAGCTTATATGTGTCGTGAAACTTTAGTAGGATTGTCGTATTTGCACTCTTTAGGGAAAATGCACCGTGATATTAAGGGTGCAAACATTTTATTGACTGAAACTGGGGACGTAAAATTAGCTGACTTTGGAGTATCCGCACAAATAACTGCTACAATAAATAAGAGGAAATCATTTATTGGTACACCGTATTGGATGGCGCCAGAGGTTAAATTAATTAAATTTATTTTATTACATTTAAATAATAAAATCGTTAGGTTGCTGCTGTTGAAAGAAAAGGTGGTTACAATCAACTTTGTGACATTTGGGCTATTGGGATAACAGCTATAGAATTGGCTGAGCTTCAACCGCCAATGTTTGATTTACACCCAATGAGGGCATTATTTTTAATGTCTAAAAGTGGTTTTAAACCACCAACGTTAAAAGACAAGGATAAATGGTAGGTTTGATTGCAAATTGATAAATAAATTGATGATTTTGAATTGTTAAAATAGGAGCCCAACGTTTCATAATTTCGTTAAAGTTGCTTTGACAAAAAATCCTAAAAAAAGGCCTACAGCAGAGAAGTTATTACAGGTACCTTTTTTCAATTGAAAAATTTTTCAATTCTTTTTTAACCAATTACTTTTAGCACGCGTTTTTTAATGGAGATATGAATAAAAGACTTGCAACGGAATTGTTACAAAAAGTGAACAACCCATCACATATGTTTGCTGATCAAGAAGTTGATGAAGACGGTGTAAGTTTTTTTTACCATAAAATCACTTCCATTATACCTGTACCTGAGATCTAAAGGGATGTAAGTCCAAAATGAGTTAGAATAGCCGAAAATGTGCGATTTTTAACTTCAAATAATAATAAATTGAAATAATTAATAATTCTCAAGCTCTTACCTCACATATAAAGCTCGGAAATATCGGTATTTTTTTAATATTAATAGTCGGTAAATATTTATTAATAACATATTTTTATTAAAAATCTTTATTTTTACAAAATTATTAGACTTAACTACATTTTGGCTCTAAAAAATGAAATGATTATTTGGACTTAAAACAAAAGGACTACAAACTTATTATAATTTTTTCTAGAACAAATTTGAAACTTCAAAACCTATTAATTTATTAATCATCATTAGGAAATTCTGGGGCCTCTTAAGTGTAGGGTAAATTCCTAAAGTAATCCTAATATTCTTCAGGAACTCACTTAAGAAGGGTTAAAAACTTTGATCAAAGCAATACTTTTTAAGAAAAACACGTCTTAGAAAATTTGTTAATTCAATCAGAAATTGTTGCTTTAATCAAAGTTTTGTAAGAGATCAATTGATAGATAATTGATCACAAATTTAGCAATGGTGTAGACAATATTTTTAAAAAAGGGCTTTTCAATGCAGATAATGTTTAATTTTAAAGGAACTTTGACACCCTTATATTTCGTTAAGGTGGCATTTGCAAGCCCATGTACATTAAGACTTTCCCTAGAAGTCTGTCAGCGGTTTTTGAATCATCCTGTATAAATTAATGGAGCGCAAGTCTTTAAATGATGTTTTAAGAAACAAAGTACTTAATATTTCTCGTCGAATTTGGAGTCAAACAACGCTCAGTAATTTAAACTGTTCTCCTTCATTACTTTTTTTTTGCTTGATATGCTATCAGTGGTACTATCAATGATTACTCATCATTGTACTACAATTTTTAAAATTTAGACCCATAGAAAATACATTAAATTGGGGTTGTTTACAATTACTAATAAAATTAATCCAATCATTGCAAGTAAAAATTGTAAATCGTTTAGTTTTGTTTTTGCACGTTCAGTAAGGCTATGCTGACAGTCTACTTCCATATGAGTATGGCCTCATAATAAAAATTTATGATTTATAACCTGAATGCTGGGAAATACTTGTATTTCATACATGTACATTACAATCATCATCATATTTCTGTTTTCCAGCACAGTTGTCAGTCCAAAGTGTTAATGTTTCCATTTTTTCAGTCCTTGGGACTTCTATAAGTAGCTATTTAAAAAAACAGGAAGCCATTTTATTACCACCTCTTCCAGCTTTGGTTTCATTCCACATCATACACCAAGTGTTTTTAGTGTAAGGATTATGTATTGTGTAATTTAGGGTCCCAACTTGCGAAGATAAAGCTCTCTGAATTGTTCAAAAAGGGAGTAGGAAGGCACTTTTGAAGATCGACCATTACCAATTTTTATTACTTTCTAAAACACATTTCTTGTCTTCATTTTTCATTTGGTATCTATTATTTGCATCATCTAAATATAAATCTCGCTCTTTAGAAATGGCTTGTTTTTCTTCTACGCTAAGATCAGCCTTAAGCTTTACATTAAAATAATCACACATATCACATGTGTCAGTCTACTTCCATACGAGTATGGCCTCATAATAAAAATTTATGATTTATAACCTAAATGCTGGGAAATACTTGCATTTCATACATGTACATTACAATCATCATCATATTTCGGTTTTGTTCGGCACAGTTATCAGTCCAAAGTGTTAATGTTTCCATTTTTTGAGTCCTTGGGATTTCTATAAAGTAGCTATTTAAAAAAACCGGAAGCCATTTCATTACCTCTTCCAGCTTTGCTTTCATTCCACATCATACACTATGTGTTTTTAGTGCAAGGATTATGTATTGTGTAGCTTAGGGTCCACAACTTTCGAAGATAAAAGCTCTTCAAGCTCTCAAATGGCCACTACCACTTGTAAATTTTTATTACTTTTTAAAACACATTTCTTGTCTTCATTTTTCATTTGATATCTATTATTTGCATCATTTAAATGTAAATCTCGCTCTTTAGAAATGGCTTGTTTTTCTTCTGCGCTAATCAGCCTTAAGCTTTATATTAAAATAATCACACATATTACATGTGTCATTGTCTGGTAAAGGGTACAAATTAAACATTTCGTTGAAGATTTTTCTAAAAAGCCATTTCTTAGCTGGTTCTTCACTTTCCTTCCTAAGTTCCTCGCAATATAACCCATACATTTTTGAAATATTTTAGCCATCTCCAAGATATTTCTTAGCAAACCTTTCTCGAAAATAATGGCTTTCATACGTAGGGTAGCTGTCAATGTGCTTAGTGATTTTTCATAAACTTTTCGTGTTTTTTTCTTCCAATTATCTTCATACCTCATTCGTTATTTACACTTTAATTTAGGTGTTGTGGTTAAATCACTTTCTATATCTGAGTCAGATGAGGAATACAACACTAATTTGACAAACGTTGCTTCATTATTAGTTTCCATGATGACCAGAGTAAACTGATTACTCTGATTAGAAGATAGAAATAAATTTTTGACTTAATATGTCCATAATTATTCAATTATTTTTCAAAGCACACTACAATTTAATGTCTACTTTCATTTTGAACTTACTATTTTGCACTAAAAACGAAAGGACTTATTACTTTATAATCGAAACCTCATAATAAGGTTTTTTAAAATAATGTTACTAAAAATGAAATATTGGGTTTTAGAGCATTCTTATTTGTTCATTTTTGTTAAAAGTGGACTTACACCCCTTTAGCTCTCAGCTACAGATATAATAATAATAAAATCATTTTTAATAGTCAATTCCAAACGTTCCACAAAGAATTGCATCACGATTAACGGCTCGTCCTCGAACTTCAGTTGTAAGTCAAGCATTATCTGAAATTCAAAACCTAGATGACGTAAATAATACATTGCATAGACCAGGTAAATAAAAAACAATAAATTTTCTTTTATTTTATTCATTATTGATTTTTATAAGGACCTTCGAACAATGGCACAGATGGAAACGTTAATAAAGCTTGGGATATAATGGACATAATGAACAACGTAAAAACAGTCCATCCTTGTGCAGAACATCAAAATCAAAAATATGGGATTGGTAACGCTTTCGATTCGCTCAATAGAGAAAAGTAAGTAAAATTTGACGGGCGAAACTCGACTATTTATTTTATTTCAATTATTTTGATTTGAATTTATTTCTAATTGAAATGTTTTTTGACTTAAATTGAAGTCTAAATTTCAAAATTTTATTTTTTTCGGTTAAAAATTAAAAGTGTTGAGCGACGGACAATGACGGGCTCGCAAATTTTGAAAATGTCTCTAAGGTTAGACTGAGCAAAAATAAACTGAGTGAGTTTGTGAATGGGCGTGTGTGTTTGATGCGACATTTCAGTTTTTTTAAGTGTTTTTATTTTAAATTTTGCTTATTTTTGGTTTTGACACAGTCATTCGAGATGTTTATTTAATAGGGGAGATACATTTAGATAAGCTAAAATAAATGCGTTTTCAAGATTTTTTTTTCATTAAGATGTAATCATTTTCAAACAATTGGTTTATTCACTACTATTTATTGATGCGTTTACACTATACAAATATATATTTATAATTGATGTAATATTGTACTTGTTTCCCTTCAAGTTAAGCCTATTTACTGATGAATTCCAGAAGGCGTCTACCCTCACTTTTCTGTTGAGTTGCTCTTCTTACCGCCCTCTGCTCTGATATCCTCTCCATGTGGCTAATTCTTATATCTCCGCGTTTGTGCGAATTCACCAAAAATCACCATTCCGAATGGGGCCATAAATTCGCCTGAAAATTTTTCTTTCCTACGTGTTCTGGCACCTCTCGTCCTTCTTAGATAGTATCCATGTCTCGCAGGCGTACATAATTACTGAACGGAAGATTGTTCTATAAATACGCTTCTTTGTATTTTTATGCAGTAATTGTGACCTTTGCAGGTGCTGGAAGCTAAAGTATGCTCCGTTTCAAGATTTGATTCTTTCCTCAATCTCCCTTCTTATTGTTGTCTGTTAAGAAGGATTCCAGATATTTAAATGATGACACGTTTTCTAAAGAGTATCCGCCGACAGTGAATGGCCACTGTATCCCAGTCCTTCATCAAGACATGAGCGTATATTTTGTTGTATTCTCGTTAATATGGAGACCAATCGTCCATATCTCTGCATAACAAGTCCACATCGTCCGCGTATGCCACGCATTGCATTTTCCGATTTAATAGTTCCTCCTTATCCTATTCCAATGCTCCTGATTACCCTTTCTAGTCAGGTTGAACGACGTATAGTTTCCGATATTACTGGTGGTTTTTATGACCCTCAGAAACAGTAGTGGCAGTAATTATCACCCGGAAAAAGTACCTGGACATGATTTATGATAGGCATTTATAGCGAACTAGGTCCAGGGACGCACTTCTTTTTTTATTTTATTTTAAATTCAACAAAATAAAACAAAAATGTAGTAAAGAATATAATTTAAATTTACTTATACTTAAATGATTTTACCAAAAAAAAAGCAAGTAATAATTAATAATATAAAAATTAAAATATATTTTGTATAGTTATATTAGAATTAGTGTGAAAAGATAATAAATTATATTATAATCATAAATTGTTTAAAAAAATGTACTTTTTAGATAGATTTTATTTTTGAATTATTTAACTGGCTATTTGTAACCGGCGATTGTCGTTAATTAGAGTTTCTTCATTAGTGTCATAACAGTTGTCACTTTAAGCGCATTCTAAGTTGTCGTCATCAGAAGAATCATCAACAATCATAATAAAACGCTGTATATGTGGCGACACATACGAATCTTCGACATCTTTCACGTGTTTTCAATATCGTCGGGGTTGTATTATGTTTTCTTATGTTCTTTAAGTTGCCCCAGATTAATTCTATAGGATTTAAGACGCAATGGTGAGGTGGCAGTCGTAGTACTGTATGCCCTGCATTTTTTGCCATGTTGTCAATTACGTATTTGACCGTATTATTATTTTCATTAACTTTTTATAATAATTTATCTCTAGTAGTTTTTCCTTCTGGCATGGTAATATTATTTTCTTTCGTATAATTTAAAATATACTCTTTCTTGTGCCTTTTTGATGGTTTGGGATTTTTAATGCGGGAGTGATAACGCATTATCGAGCACTACAACCGAATTTGCATTTAAATTCTCCAATAACTGGTTCTGAAACCCGCTTTCAAACAATGCCGCGTCCATATCTTTGATTTTTGCAGACACTAACAGGACATTTTTTGTAAAACCATTTTCTCCGCCTGCATGAAGAATAATCAGACGCTTCCCTCTTGAACGTTTAGTTGCCAGCGCGCATTTCTGACTTCCATCAGAAAGACCTTTTTTTAATAAATCGTGAGTGTCATACTAAGTTTCATCCAGATAAATTATGCTATAATGTTATACAGGACAAGGCATTCCATTGCCTAAGGCTCACCTCAAGCTCTGTCGAGACTTTTCTTCTCCTTTTCATCTATTTTATCCGCTGCCGTTTATATTACCTTCCTCAAAGTGTCCCACTCTTCAATCTCCTTTGTAATTCTCTCTCAAAGTCTTCCCTCGCCTTTTCGTTCCTTCTTAATTTAGCGCTGTCAAACATCTTCATTCTTGGGTTTTTCTTCGTTTTGAGCTGTAATATTCTTTGTCGATATCTTATCTTTTCTAGGTCTGAATCTACATCAGCCCCTCTAAAATTGCGGATATCCACTACATCTGACCCGTATCTTATATCCACCAGTATGTAGTCAATCTGATTTTTCGTGACTCTATCAGAAGGACTTGTTGATGTCCTTATGTAAGAAGTAGGTACTCGATATGATCATTCGCTTACTCATTTCAAAAGTAAGTCGCACTTCATTATCGTTTGACTCCAAGCGCAGGTTTTCTTTTCCTATCGTTAGTCTGTAGATGTATCTGCGGTTAGGTCTCCCAGACTTATTTTTATATCGTGTGGTGGCGCAGCATTATAACCTCGTTCTAGATCGTCATAGAATGTATGATCCTGTATGTCCTTAGTTGGGGCATACACATAAAGAAGTTTCTCGTTATGTTTTAACGTCCTGAAAAGGGGCTATTACACCGGAAGTACTTAGAATTTCACTTTACTATTTAATTATCACGCTCTTAAAGAACATTTTTGTGAAAAACAATGTTTTGAGTATTTCAAAAATTTCAAATGTATTTCCCCTCTTAATAAAGAGAATTTATCAATTTTCCAATAACCTTTCATCAACCGTTTTTTTATTATCACAACAGATTTTATGCGTTATAATTTATAAGCGTTAAATTATTGTATTATTTAAAACTTTGTAATTGAAATAATTAAATTGAATTGGTAAATTGAATAATTCTCAAAATCATTCATAATAAACATTTTAAAAAGTCATTACAATCCTACGCTGAGCCACAAAATAAATAAATACTTAACATTTTATCCGCATTAATCTTCATTAGCGATACTATTATATAATTAATTGAGTAATTAGTTAGCTTTCTTATTAATAAACTTATAAGACACATTCTATATTTCACGTTTAAGAATTTTTTTATCTCAATATAAAGAATGCGTATTATAAATTTATTTTAGTTTTCCGATAACAAAAATTTCTTAATAAAAAAATAACAACGTTTTAAAACATTAAATCAAAAGAAATCAACCCCACAGTTTTAATTTCGTTTTACTCTCTAGTAATATTTATTTTAACTGTTATTTAGGAGTCTCTTGCAGTACATTGACGAAGAGTTAATGATGAGGTAATTTTTAGTTCATTTACACACGCACACTAACCAAAACCATCGCTTTGATTTTCATTATTTTACTCCGTTTATTTCGATTTTTTTGTACGTTTTTCTCATTATTATCTATTTAAATTCATATAATTTTTTTTTTTGCACATGCTTGTTTCGCCTGGGTGCTTGGTAAAGGGATTACAGCCAACGAATATCGTATAACTATTATTCGTGTATTCTTTTTACCATTACGTTCGTTTTTTTGATCATTTATAGGGGCACCTACAAATTTCAACCGGCGGAATATTCGCAACAGTAAGTTTTAACCTCATAAAATTGATAATAATAATAATAATTGATGTTCTGCCATTTCAATGTTTGGTTGCTTTAATATGCTTTGTATTAGCATATGGTGTGCATGCAAAATTTTAAATCTTTATACTATAAATAAATAAATGATTTGTTTTAATAAATTAAAATTTTTAAATGTAATCGAATTATTTCAAAATAAATTCTTTGCTTTAGGAGAACAAAAAACAGCTAAACAAGCTTATTTGCATGGCACTTTAAAATCAGTTGTCGGTAGTTTCAGCTTTTGGCTTTTATAATTTGGATAACAACTAACCAAAATTCCAGAGCAACACTTCCGGTTCAAGATACAACTGAAGTGCAGCCATATCCAACAAAGTGTGATTCGCACAAACTAGCTTCTAGTCCGCCGACTTCCGACGTCGGAGTCGCTGTTCACGGATCGCCAAGACGGCATTCTTCCGTTGATGAGATATTTAATTTAGTTAATAATATGAGTGTGAGCAATGGACAACGACAGCGATCGCTTAGTGATAGCAGTCGAACTGATAACGCTGTTAATGGTAATATTATATTAATGATTTTCGATTTTTTAATTTACTTTCTTTACGAAGGTACTGAACGCGAACAAAATAACCATGATAATGGTGCCCCTGATTTGGTGGCGTGTCCTCCAGTTCCACCACGAAAGCATCGAAGGAGGCATACACCTCCTCGACCACCTAGTAATGGTTTACCACCCACTCCTAAGGTTCATATGGGTGCTTGCTTTTCAAAGGTAAAAAAAATCCTTTTAAAAAATACAACATTGTAAGAAAGGTTATTATAAAAGAAAGAAATATGATTTATAATATGATTTACATTGCCCTAGAAGAAATGAATGGAGATTGAACATAATTTATTACACTTCATATTTCATATTTGTAGGTTTTTAATGGTTGTCCACTTCGAATACATTGTACCACTTCATGGATACACCCAGAAACAAACGATCAACACATATTAATAGGTGCAGAAGAAGGTATCTACAATTTAAATTTGAATGAATTGCACGAAACGTGCATTGACCAATTGTATAATAGGAGAACTGTATGGATGTATGTAATAAAAGACGTATTAATGACGTTATCAGGTAATTTTAACATCAATGCTGAATTAGAACTATTTTTTTCATGATTTCTTGTTTAATACAAAGGCAAAACACCCCAATTGTATAGACACGATCTTTTGGCGTTAGTTAATAAACAATCGCACAGATTCAGTTTGCACATGAATCGAATTCCAGAAAGATTGGTGCCGCGAAAATTTGCTTTAACCACTAAGGTACCGGATACAAGGGGTACACAAAAATGTTGCGTCGCTAGAAATCCGTATAACGGTTATAAATATTTGTGTGGGGCTACGAATTGCGGAATTTTTTTGATGCAATGGTACGATCCGCTTAATAAATTTATGTTGTTGAAGGTAAATAAAATCCGTTTGACTCCCTATTAACATTTTAGAGATTTAATTTTGATTTTAGCACGTTGAATGCAGTTTACCAAACCCATTAAACGTTTTTGAAATGATCATCACACCAGAATTAGAATATCCAATTGTTTGTGTTGCGGTTAAAAAGGCTTATGAGATTAATAGGTTTAAATTAGATTTAATAAATATGAATTCAGGTAATAAATAATCGATAAAAAATAAAATTTTTAATTTTAAGATTAATTATTTCATTTTTTTAGGTTCTAATTGGTTTCATTCCGACGAACTGCAAGATATGGATGGAACGGCAACCGTTGTGCCAAAACGCGAGAATTTGAGGATTGTTAGCGTACAACAAATTGAAAAGGATTCTATTTTAGTTTGTTATGATAATCTGGTGAAGATTTTAACACGAACTGGTAGGCTTAGGGATAGTAGAAAACAGCTTTCCGAATTGGAATTTGATTTTAATATCGAAAGCATATGTAAGTTAATTTCGATACGAATCTACAAAGAATTTAAATGATTTTTGTTCCGCCCAGTGTGTTTACCTGATAGTGTATTAGCGTTTCACAAACACGGCGTGCAAGGGAGATCTTTAAGAAATGGCGAAATTACGCAAGAGATTACAGACGTATCAAGAACTTATAAATTATTAGGATTCGAAAAGTACGTCTTTAAGAAATTAAAAGAAATTTTATAAATCAATTTATTTTTTAGAGTGGTTATGTTAGAAAGTAATTTATTACGCAATGGAACGTTAATTAACGAGGAAGGTCATGATTTATACATTTTGGCGGGACATGAAGCCAGTTATTAAAAAATAAAAAGCGGTATGTATCGAAGTTATGCATTAATTTGGTTTTTATTAATAACGTTGTAGGAAACGTACCTGGTCTTTGTGAATCTCGTCGCTTATTTCATTCGAAACATGAATTAATAAAAGCTATACAGAGCTCATCATTAGGATATTATTTGTTTTCGTAACTTATTGCTTAGAGTTAAGAGTATCCAGTATACAGAAATCTTATGTAAGACAAGTTGGAAAATATACCTCAAAATAGAGTTTAGACGAATGACGCAAAGTCAAATAAAAGTTTAAAAATTAAAATCGAGAGGAAAAAATTTAAACAAGTTATATGAAAAATGTTTATTAAAATGCAAATCATACAAATGAGTAATTTTTGTAATAGATGTTTTACCAAGTAATGTAAATAGTATGTATTTTTCTGGCACGTTTTCTCCTGATAGTCTTTTAATGTAAAAAAAAAATGGAAATTACGAGAAGGAAAGTTTTAGTCACCGTTTGTTCCCGTATTTCAACAATCTACGAATTTGTATATTCAAATAATAGATAGCGTTAAAATCTGTTTTTTAAGAGATTTCTGTATTTAACGAGAGATTTTTGATATAGTTAACAGCGTCATTGGCTGTGTATTAATTTACATATGTAATAAATAGCTTATTTAAGATGTACATATTGTATATTTGTTCAATAAATACCAAAAAAAAACTTATTTAAATACATACGTTTGTAAGCTTTCATGTAACATTTAGTTCATTCACTTTTGTTAGCCTTCTGTTATACATTATGTTAATATTTCTCTTTTTTTTTCAGTTTAAACTATTTTATTATTAATAAAAATTAGCAAAATTTTTTAAGTGTTAATTTTCCTTTGTTTTCAGATCCTTTAATCCCATTGTTATGAGTAATACAATCAAATTTGGCAAGAAACTATAAAACCTGGTATCATTTTTAAAATCATTTAATAGAAGGAAACGGATTTTCTAATTTTATTTTCGCTGCTAAACTAAAAATAGTCCCCACTCAGCTCCTGAATATAAATAACTTCAGTACGGACCAACGAAATATCACTGCTGTGTGTGATTAGAGCTAATGCGTGCAAAAAAATCGAAATAAAGGTAAAAAACGGCGTTTTATTTCTTTTTCATCTAATATCCATGTCTAAAAACTAACAATAATCATCGAACCCACAGCAAATTCGAATTATAATTTAAGATTATGGTATACCATTTTATAATTAAATTTAAAATGTTCGTCTAAATATCAATAATTGGACAGAAATCTTGAAAGGGCGTGAAATTTACAGTTAAGAAAGTGTGTCAAATGTAATCAATAGTTCTGTATAAGAAAAACATCACCGGTTGGCGAATGATACCGGCGCTAATGTGGTTGCCTAAATTTTTGTCGCAGTGTAATAAATGTTTATTTTTAAGGCACCGATGCAGTTCGTGTTGTAAATATTTTGAAATTTCAGGTGTTTGATAGAGAAGCCCCAAAATGGCAGAAGCCGAAGGGGGCTCAGAACAAGATGATGTTTCATTCTTGCGTACGGTAAGTGTATAAATTAATTAATCCAACTATATTTATTATTTTAATTAATTATTTCATGTTTTAATTACAGGAAGACATGGTATGTCTTTCATGTACGGCTACGGGTGAAAGGGTTTGTTTGGCAGCCGAAGGTTTTGGCAACAGACACTGTTTTCTAGAAAATATAGCTGACAAGGTAACTTTATTCATACTTCTAAGGCATGCTATAAGAATAATGATTTATGCACTTCAAATTCAATAATGTTACATTAGATTTTTTTTTTAATTTATTCAACAATTATACATAACCAATTTAACTCTATCAAGCAAACTCAAGCATATTAAGAACCTAAACCTTAAAAAGAAATTACATTCTTATATCAGTAAAGCTATTATATTTGATATATCAAAAAGACATGATATAACACTGGTATGGGTACCAGGGCATATAGAAGTGATTGGAAATGAAAAAGCTGATGAATTGGCGAGCAGGGGACTCCAGGTGGTGATTCACAGAGTAAAAATGTATGGAAAAGAATTGTACCTGCAAGATATTGATGACATAAACCATCAATAGGAACAAAAGTGGATTAGAAGCAGCTCAATTAAATGGATTAGATTAGATATGGTTCAAAAAAGTTCGCTTTGTATCACGCCAGTTTTATGCTCTCATTACTAGACTGAAAATAGGACATGCGCTATGCCCCACATATCTGTTTCTAATTGGAATTAAAGATACTCCACAATGCGAATGTGGCGAAGAGGGTGATTTAGACTGTATCTTTTTCGCCTATCCAAGATACTCTGATCAATGACAGAAAATATTTGCAGGTCTATTTATCCACCAGTTAATTAGTTTTAAATTAGTATTCATAATCTTACTTATTCTGATATCTAAAAATACGAAATTGTTATTGATAAAAACTATTTTTAACCAATCAGGTGTGGTATTTTTCCAGCTTAATGTGCTAAAGTACTCTTTTATATTAAAAATTTGAACCTACAAAGTATCTATTTGTAGACACCAATTTAGCCAAATTTACAGCAAAGCTTCATGAAACGTCTCAGATTCACAATGTTTCTTCTGTCAACTTCTGCCTTTAAGTATGAAGTATCCGCAACTAGAAGAGAGATCAGTAAGAAGAGAATCTCAACACTACTTTGTGTCAACGTAATTGGACGGATAGATTGATCTCTATCATCTCTGGAAAAAACTCAAAAACCTTGAATTTCATACTACAACTCTATAAGAGATACTGCTTTTTGCAAACATTTTCTATAATATCAAGACCAGAATGAAGTTCAAGAGTTAAAATATGAAATAAGCCACTTTGGATCATTAAGCAAAATGGAAGTTGCTTTGAAAGATGTTTTAATTTGCCATCTTCCATTAATTAAAATATGTCCACTTGAACATTGACATCTTCCATTGATATAAATTTCTCCCACTTCACAATCTGGAGTTGCCGTTTGACACCTTCCATTGATAAATTGTTGTCCAAACGGGCATTAACACTTTCCATTAATATAAACTTGGTCACCCTCACATCTTGGTGTAGGTGTTGAAGTCGCTTGACACTTTCTATTGATAAGTGTGTGCTCAAATTGGCACTCAACTTAAGTGGGATGACATTTTCCATTGATGTACTTTTACCCAATAGAGCATACGCATTATCAATTAACAACTTGATGACCTGGTAATTACAAAAGTGTCGGTGGAATTGGGCTCGTGTATCTAGTTTGACATCTACTATTAAATTCTTGACCAAATTACATTAATGTATTTTAAGATGGAGAGGGTGTTGTAGTTTGTCACCTTCCATCAACAAAAAATATGAATCCAAATTGACATTAACATCTTCCATTGATGTAAGATGATGTGATATTATTGACTTCCTTCGCAGCTTGGAGCGGAAGTTGTTGTTAATTGACATTTTTCATTAACGAATGTATATCCGCTTTGATATTGACACCTTCCATTGATGTAAATTTGGCCTCCTACGCAAGATGGTACTGGTGTTGTTGTAATTTGGTAGTTAGTTTGATAGTTGTAGTCAAGCAATTTTCTACATGCCCAACAATTGATCTTATTCCCGAAATTACGTAGTTTGCTATTAACCACAGAGTTTTGCCAATGCCATAAGTTTGGATAATTTCAAATAAGTCATAGTGGAAAGCCAGCACATCTAAGAAAGAGGGAGATTTCGTTTTTTTCGATGGGCGACACCCTTAGCGAATATTTGCTAAATCTGTTTACTGAAACAGTCCACTTAGATACAATTTATTCCCAATGCAGTTCAATAAGTTGATGTAGTGTGAGCTGCGTAATATAGCAAGATAAAGACGAACTGTGTTAGGGGTTGCTCTTTTGCTCGAGTTGTTGGGTAAGCGTTTAGTATCCAAGATTAATCTGGAACACGACTATCCTATCCTCTACTTAGTGGGCAAAGGACGCTATGCTAAAGAACTGTAGGTGTGATATACCTATGTCTACAACGTGGATAAGCTGTCAAAATCCGTCAGAGTTCATCGACAAGGGAAGCAATAAACATTGTGATGATCTAACAACTCTTCTTATACTCTCAGTGCAATAAAAGTACAATAAGGTTATTTTAATTTAATTTTGTGATTTTATTTTGACAACATCGTACACTAAATTAAAAATTCATATGGTTATGTCCCAGGTTATGCTGCTAATTGGTAATAAGATGTAGAAGAGTTAAACTTGTGTTTGTTTGGAACAGTAAGAATATGTTTTTCAGAAGATTCCATATCCCTTAAACTTTTACACCTATGATACCTCATGACTTATTAATGGCAGACGGAATATGTCATTTGCTGTTTGCAGTAAAGTGTCTGTTTTACGAATTAAGTTAAAATTAGGATTTAAAGACACAAAAATTTCCGTACTTCTGAAGTGTGTCTAACAGGTGTGGTATCCTCTATCTACCAGCTCATTTGAGATATATTTGATGTTATTTGAATATGTTACATCTGCAGGCATTCTACTGTGATAACGGCTGTGATGACTTTGTCTGTGATATATTTAAAGTAATCCAAGTCATGACATGAACGAAGACTTCAAACTCCAAAACCCAACCGGATGTCAATAACAATAATAACCTATAAATCTTATTTAACATTTAACGAAAAGATAGGTTATGAATTAAGAAGTTAAGATATAATTATTCAAAAATTTTTTACTTTCATATTTGGGTTTCATGTAAAGATTTTAACATGTATTTGCAATATTGCCAAATATTTCTCACCCATAAATAAACTTGTAAACAGTTTGAAGCCAAGTTTGTCATAAACATCCACTTTAAATATTTCAATCCAAAATTATTTACCTATTCATTTACTTTGTTGGTCAAAAAATCAATCAAATTTATTTTATTTTTCAGAATATACCTCCAGATTTATCACAATGCGTTTTTGTAATAGAACAAGCACTTTCCGTACGTGCCTTACAAGAATTGGTAACAGCCGCAGGGAACGAAACTGTAAGTTTATTTATTCAAGTAAATCAAAATGCCATCTTTTTAAATTGTAAATACTTACTATTTCTATTTGCTATCTGTCATTATAAAAGCCTATGAATACATTATTAAAGCTGATGGACTTTATTAAAGCGTAAACACATTACACGGCTAGAATTAACACGAGATCATTTTTAATTTTCATTTCTAAAATATCATTAAGATAAATTGAAATTTCTGCGATTTTATTTTCTTTTTTTTTTTGTTGCAACTATACAGTTTCTTTTTTCTTCTGTTGTTTATCGTATATCGTAAATTTCTTTTTGGATTTCAGGGTCAGGATAATGTAGTAAGTAAAGACGATGTCACCCGCGTCGCAATGTCGTACGAAATTTTCTTTTTTATTACATGGCAAAAAGCACCGATTAACACTTCTTAATTACGCATTTTGTGTTCTTAATCCGAATAACATTCGATTAGTTATAAACCGATATAGTACTTTTTCTTTGAAATTTCGGTAGATTAGAGATGTTTTTCTTACTGATACCAATTTGTAGTTTCGCAAACTTACACCGAATTTCCACAATCAAAATAAATTCTTAATTAAATTGTAATTTGCGTAGTAAATATATTTGTTTCAGGAGAATATTTAAAGTAATTTTTTTAATCATAAATTTTTTTTTCATTATCAGCTTTGTATTAAACTCATCTTAATAGTAAAACATTTTATTATATCCTCTTAAACTACATTTTGAATTAATTAATTAATGTACATAATTAAATGGACAAGAAAACAATGAGAAAACTTGGTTATAATACGATTAAAATTTGTTATAATTAATTCATATGATATAGTCGCTATTAACATCCCACGTAACAATATTAACAAAACGCTTAGCAGTCGCATCTGCTAAAAATAGCTAATTCACACCAAAACTTATACAAATTGCTATATGTAGTGGTAGATATTTTGTTGTTAAACGCCGCGTGTTGTAAAGGATAACATCTTATTGTTATAGATTTCAGAAAAATATTACAGAAGATTTTATCTTTTTTATAGAGGGTGATCAAAAGTTGTTTGCCAAATGAAAATTCATTGTGAAAAAGGTTATTAAAGAATTTAAAATTTTTTACTGGTTGATGAACTACTTTTGAAATCTCCTATTTAACTAATTTTTTTTAAATCTAATTCTAATTTTATTTAAATAGGGTAAAGGTACAGGATCCGGCCATAGAACTTTGTTATACGGTAATGCTATTTTACTGCGACATCAAAACAGTGATATGGTATGTTATATAAATATTAACAAGTTGATTGTGGCTAAAACATCTTTTTTATTTTAGTATTTGGCGTGCTTATCAACTAGTTCAAGCAATGATAAATTAGCTTTTGATGTTGGTTTACAAGAACATAGTCAAGGTGAAGCTTGCTGGTGGACTGTTCACCCAGCAAGTAAACAAAGGTAACATATTTTAATTTTTTTTTGTAAATTTTTGGTAATCTTCATGACAATCTTCATCCATATGCAATTCGTTTTGTCTTGCGTTTTTTTTGTGCCAATTTGGACGTCCCATTCCTTTATGTCATTCTAAACTTAGGATATTCAACTATTTTATTGATATATACAGCAATTCTAAGAAGATACCAAATTCAGAAATGTCATCATAATCCATACTCGGCCATTTATCTCAGAAGGCTCTCATTCTATGATTCTGCTAAGTGGTACAAACACACAAGCTGCGTTCTGTTGTTCTCAGCATAAGTATGGTACAGAAGGATATTGACAAGTTTGAAGTTATAGAGGTGCTTGTTTACCTTACAAAGAATTGTAATGAGTCCGTATATGGCCCTAATGTCCTTAATATAACTCTATATCCCTCCTTAATAATATTAAATACAATCGCCTTAATGACAACATCTATTAATATATGAAGACAATGAGCGAATGACCATGAGAATGTTTTTTTGGTATGCGTAGTAGAAAATATTAACAATACAAGATAATTTGTAAAATTTGCAAATTTACTTCATCCAAAGTATATCCCTGCAGGAAAAAGTCTAGTAGAGTTAAATCTGGCGATTCTTTCGTGATGGAGACTCGACGCAGAGTCGTGAAGCAAGTATGAGGAAGATGTAAAGTAGACTGATGGAGATTTACTTAAACGATGTTGATGTGGTGATTTAGCCTTGACTCTATGTAGACTTTAAATTGAATTTTCTTGATGATTAGACTTAATGAAGGCGTGTTATTAATAGATACATAGATACTGTGTTGATGCGGAAAGGATAGAGTCTCTGTACAGATTTGACTTGATAGAAATATGATAAGGATTTGATAAGATGATGTAGGCTTTATACGGAATTGTATGTACTTCTAAATGTAGTGTTGATGCAAACAGGACATGAAAGTTTTGATGTGTACATCATGAAGACAGACTTAACTTGACAAAAAACATGACGAGCACTTGATGCAGAAATGATGCAGACTTTATACGAATCTTTCTCAATGCAAATTTGATGTAGACTTCATTCAGGCATTATGGAGATTTAAATTAGACGTGATGACGTTTTAATGCATCTCTCAAATCATGAGATATATTAGAGATTTAATGCAAACTTCAAAGACTTGATGCAGGCTAAATAAGAACTACATATATGGAGATTTTATGTAATCTCAACCAAGTCTTGATGTACTTTTAAATGTAATGTTGATGCAAATAGGATATGATGGTTTTGATGTGCACATCATGAAGACAGACTTAACTTGATAAAAAACATGGCGAGTACTCGATGCAGAAATGATGCAGACTTTATACGAATCTTTCTCTATGCAAATTTGATGTAGACTTCATTCAATTATTATGGAGATGTAAATTAGACTTGATGACGTTTTAATGCATCTCTGAAATCATGAGATTATTAGAAATTTAATGCAAACTTCAAAGACTTGATGCAGGCTAAATAAGAACTACATTTATGGAGATTTTATGTAATCCCAACCAAGTTTTGATGTACTTCTAAATGTAGTGTTGATGCAGACAAGATATGGTGGTTTTCATGTGTACATTATGAAGACTTGCTTCTAGACAGTCTTAACTTGACAGAAACATGGCGAGGACTTCATGCAAAAATGATGCAGACTTTATATGAAGCTTTCTCGATGCAAACTTGATGTAGACTTCATGCAGGCATTATGGAAATTTAAATTAGACTTGATGTCTTAAACCATTTATAAAATCATGAGGTATATTAGAGATTAAATGCAAATTGATGCAGACTTAATAAGCACTGTTTGGAAATTGTATGCAATATTGAATCTTTTTGAACATCTATTAACCCTTTGATAGGGGCTATATACAAAAACGCATGAATAGTGCTTCCACAGGTAGTTCGGTACAAGGAAGATAGGTGTGTTGTTTTTGACATTCTTTTTGCTTATCAACTATAATCAAGAATTACACTGTATCGTACAGTTTTTATTCTTCTTTCTTCCACACAAAACAATGCCATCTTACACTTTATATTGGTTCTTTATCGACTTCTTCCAAACGACGCCGACGTTTATATCTAAATAAAAATTGTTTCACATCCAAATCATCTCTGGAGAAATTTCCTTTTTAATTTTCCACATTTTCTTCATCACCAATCACTTCTTCGCCATACTCATCAAGAATTCTTGCGCCAGTTGTTCTAACTCTACTTGAGTAAGCTTTTTAATACCTTTTAATTTATCAACCTTTATTTTATTCATAGATCTGAAGGTGAAAAAGTACGAGTAGGAGACGATCTTATTTTAGTATCAGTAGCCACCGAACGATATTTGGTAAATATTCTTCATAACCCCAATTAAAACACTAAACAATAACATTTTTAAAGCACACAACCAAAGAAAATGAAATATCAATCGTAAACGCCAGCTTCCACGTTACTCATTGGTCTGTCCAACCATACGGAACCGGAATCTCACGTATGAAGTACGTAGGTTTCGTATTTGGCGGAGATGTTCTTCGATTTTTCCACGGCGGTGATGAGTGTCTAACAATTCCATCGACATGGAGTCGAGATCCCACTCATAAGTAATACGATCTCTTTAATCCCCCAAAAAGCAACTAATTAATCTTTAAATTTAGCATCGTCGTTTACGAGGGAGGTAGCGTAATGTCTCAAGCGCGTTCTTTGTGGCGTTTAGAATTAGCCCGAACGAAATGGGCCGGAGGTTTTATAAATTGGTCGCATCCAATGCGGATTCGCCACATTACAACCGGTCGATATTTAGGTGTTAATGAGAATAACGAACTTATTTTAATGGCTAGAGATGAAGCTACGACAGCTTCAACCGCTTTTTGTTTACGGCAAGCTAAAGATGACCAAAAAATCGTTTTAGAAGATAAAGATTTAGAAGTAATTGGATTGCCTATTATTAAATATGGTGATTCGACTGTTATAGTACAACACACCGAATCGGGACTTTGGTTATCTTATAAGGTTAATTTTATTTTTTTTGAGGTGATTTAGTATTAAAGTTTAAATTTTTTAGTCGTATGAAACGAAGAAAAAAGGGGTTGGAAAAGTGGAAGAGAAACAAGCTGTACTTCATGAGGAAGGAAAAATGGATGATGGTTTAGATTTTAGTAGAAGTCAAGAGGAGGAATCAAGAACAGCTAGGGTTATTAGAAAATGTAGTTCTTTATTCACCCAATTTATAACGTAAGCTCTTTTGTAGTCAAATCATAAATGATGTATTAATAAATATTTTTAGTGGTTTAGAAACATTACAAATGAACCGACGACACTCAATGTTCTTCCACACAGTAAATTTAAGCGAAATGGTGATGTGCTTGGAAGATTTAATTAATTACTTCGCCCAACCTGAAGAAGATATGGAACATGAGGAAAAACAAAATCGTTTTAGAGCTTTAAGAAACCGTCAGGATCTGTTTCAAGAAGAAGGAATTTTAAATTTAATTTTGGAGGCAATCGACAAAATTAATGTCATCACTTCTCAAGGATTTGTTGCTGCACTTTCTGGAGATCAAAGCTGGGAGACTATTTCTGGTTATCTATATCAACTTTTAGCGGCTATCATTAAAGGGAACCATACAAATTGTGCTCAATTCGCCAATTCTAATCGTTTAAATTGGTTATTTTCTCGGCTGGGATCGCAGGCTTCTAGTGAAGGAACTGGAATGTTGGACGTATTACATTGCGTTCTTATTGATTCACCAGAAGCTTTAAATATGATGAAGGTAAAATACATTAAATTTATTTATTTTTGTGATGTTTAATAATTTATTTTAGGATGAACACATAAAAGTCATTATATCACTTTTGGAAAAACACGGAAGAGATCCTAAAGTTTTAGATGTTTTATGCTCACTTTGCGTTGGTAATGGTGTTGCTGTAAGAAGCTCGCAGAATAATATTTGCGACTTTTTACTCCCAGGGAAAAATTTATTATTGCAAACTCAACTTGTCGATCATGTTGCGAGGTAAATTTTTATCAAAATAATTTAAAAAATAAAATAAATAAATTTTTTGTTTAGTGTACGCCCAAATATTTTTGTTGGACGCGTTGAAGGAAGCGCGATTTATCAAAAATGGTATTTTGAGGTAACTGTTGATCATTTGGAACAAACTACGCATATGATGCCTCATTTACGAATTGGGTGGGCGAATTCTAAGGGATATATTCCATATCCTGGGGGTGGTGAAAAATGGGGTGGAAATGGGGTTGGTGATGATCTTTATTCGTTTGGTTTTGATGGTTGTTATTTATGGACTGGGGGAAGATGTACGCAAGTTGTTTATGAAACGATGGAACCATTTATCAGAAAAAGTAAGTTGACTTAAAAGGTTAATTTTTCTTCCTTTGCTGATTATCTTCACTATTTTCATGTTTAAAAGGTTATTAAATAATCTTCTCAAGTACTCTTTATTTCCTTGATAATCCTTCTTGTTTAATCTTTACATAGCTTTGTATGGGGTTTATATCTTTGACTTAATTATTTTATACAACCTGTGTTGTTATCCTTGAAGTCCTTTTCCATGTTCAAAAGTTTGTCATTTTCACAACTTTCCGTTTTTGGTCTACAGATTCAATCAGCGTCTCACCTCGTCTCCTTAAAAGCTTCCTCTCTTTCTCGTGTGCATCTCTCTATATCTTCATTATACACGCTTCACTCCTATTTTGAATACTCTGCTCGTAATCAAATTCATTTTAATTCTGCACTTAAACTGTGAAACTAAAAAGTGATCATAATCACACAAAATTGGATTATTTCTTGTTTAGATTTATATTATTAGAATAATACAACCGTTTTGTTTTGTCTTAAACTGGCTTTATTATATCATTCAAATATTTTTTTTTTATAAATTCATTAACACAGCCTTTGATGACAAAAATCTGTTTAAATAAAAATTCAAATAGAAATGCTAACAACTTTATTAGCAATACCACACATATTCTTCCCCATTACAATTTTTAAATAACCATTTTCTCCAAAATCGGTCCCCCAAGAATTCCGAACGATATAAAAAGGAATTGACCCACTAATATCGTACCCGACAATTTGTACTGCGTGATTCATAAGAAACGGTGATGAATCACAATGATATTGAATGATTCCACCTAAATAGTGTTGCCACGACCCTGCGTTAACAGCAGCACTTACAGGTCCAAAGTTGGCTAAATAATGTAAAATAATGTCTTCGTGGTTACCCAAAAATTCGCATTTAAAATTTTTTATGGTAACCCCGTCTTTTGTGGAATTAATTTTACACTCGCTTTTAAGGTAATTTAACGGGTACTCGATATCTTTCACAATTTTGAGATTGCTTTCAACTACTTCGTCAAGTAAAGTGCACATATCTCCACCTTTACAACCATTATTAGTTGTGGAGCAATCAATCATTTGTTGAATACTTAACTTATCCAATTTACCATTTTTTATAGCTTCAAGAGATTCAACAGTTTCAATGGTGGTAAAAGCCCAACACCCACCGCAATTCTTTTGATTATAAACCGGCGATAAAACGTCCTTTTCACGCCAATCAACTTTTAGAGGGATTTCTTTTTTGTGTTTTTCCAACCAATCTTTAAATTTCGGTTGTTCCCCTTTTTTTATCATCAAGTTACTTACTAAAAATTCGATTGGTAACAAATCCGAATATTTTGTTACTCCGTAATAAGCCGAATCGGGATTATTCCTTTTTGAATTTAATTCCGCAATCATTTTCTTTGAGGTTACAAACACATTTAATCTTTTTTGGTACTCCGTTTCATTGTAAGTTTTGTTATATCTTGATAAATAAGCGTTGAAATCATCGATGTTAGAATCACTTAATGGAATTTTTATTGGAACACAAATTAGCAAAAATAATGAACAAAGAGGAAAAATTAATTTTGTGTTATTATCCATTTTGTTATTATGGATGTTAAGAGAGAAAAAACAAGATTGATATGAGGAAAGAGACGTTTTAAGTGATTAGACCTTATCAGTTAATTAAAATATGCAGCATTACAAATTTATTATAAATATCGAATTAACTTAATTTTATTTTAATCTTTAGCTGATGTTATTGGATGCGCATTGGATTTAACAATACCTATGATATCATTTACTTTTAATGGAAAACCAGTTAAAGGAAGCTTCCGTGATTTTAATTTAGATGGAATGTTCTTCCCAGTAATTAGTTGTTCATCTAAACTAAGGTGATTAATTGTTAATTAAATAACTATTTTCTTTAAAAAATTTTTTTTAGTTGCCGATTTTTATTGGGTGGAGATCACGGTCGATTAAAATACATCCCCCCAGAAGAATTCTCTCCATTAGTTGAAAGTCTCCTTCCGCAACAAATTTTAAGCTTAGAACCGTGTTTCTACTTTGGAAATTTAAATAAATGTGTATTGGCCGGTCCTCTTTTTGTAGAAGACGACACTGCTTTTGTGCCAAATCCCGTTGATACCTCGATGGTTACATTGCCGACTTACATAGAATCGATTAAGGATAAATTAGCCGAAAATATCCATGAAATGTGGGCGATGAATAAGATTGAAGCCGGTTGGCAATGGGGTGATATGAGGGATGATTTGAGACATATTCATCCTTGTCTCGTACCGTTTGATAAACTCCCGCCGGCAGAAAAAAGATATGATTCTCAATTAGCAGTTCAAACTTTAAAGTATGTTTTGATTAATCATAAAAATTTTTTATAAATTAATTTTTTTAATTAATTTTAGGACTATTTTGGCGTTAGGTTATTATATTTCAATGGATAAACCCCCATCTCGAATTAAAACAGTTCGTCTTCCCAACGAACCTTTCATGCAAGCGAATGGTTATAAACCAGCTCCTTTAGATCTTAGCGCTATTACATTAACTCCAAAAATGGAGGAATTAGTCGATCACTTAGCTGAAAACACCCATAATTTATGGGCTAAAGAAAGAATTCAACAAGGTTGGACTTACGGATTAAATGAGGTATGATCTAAATTTGCGCAATAATTCCCCTTTATTTATTTATTTATTTTTAAGGACGCTGATATGTATCGTAGTCCCCACTTAGTTCCTTACAGCAAAGTTGATGAAGCCATCAAAAAAGCGAATAGAGATACAGCATCAGAAACTGTAAGAACTTTACTTGTTTATGGGTACAATTTAGATCCACCAACCGGTGAACAACACGAAGGTAACTCCTTAATTAATTTAAAATTTTATGATTAATTAAATTAAATCTTTTTAGCATTACTTGCTGAAGTAAGCAAATTACGATTACAATCATTCAGAACATATAGAGTAGAGAAAAATTATGCAGTTGGATCAGGAAAATGGTACTTTGAATTTGAAATACTCACCGCGGGCCCAATGAGGGTTGGATGGGCTAAGGCCGATTGTGCACCTGGACGAATGCTTGGTGCAGATGAAAATACATGGGCGTTTGATGGATACAACGTAAGTTAAACCACTAAAAAATAAATCTAATCAGCGAAAATTAGAAACGTTTATTATTAAAGAGTATTATTAAAATAGACTAGAAAAATTCACGGCGGCTTGTCCGAAGTTTTCGGATTAAAATATGAAGTTGGAGATGTTATCGGGTGTTTTCTAGATCTTACTGATGGTGAAATTAGTAAGTTATATGAGTTTTTTCAACGTCTTCTTTAATTGTTGTCTCTATGAAATAGATGTGTAAGATATAAAACGAAATCAAACATTTTGTGGGATGAGTATGGCCCAAAAAATCTAAACACTTCTTGTGTCCTGATTTCTCCTCCAAATCTTATATGTATAAGAATTAAAAGTTATTGTTGAAAGCAATGTGACAATATGTTGATGATCTAATCTAATTATGAGTAGGTGAATCACAAATAGTGTTGAGAGTAATGTAAGGCATGTTGCTAAAGATAGAATAAAGAGAGCAAATAAGTTGTGATAATAATAATAATAATATGCATTTGAGTCTATGCAAGGTAGGTAACTATAAAGATAGGTAAAGTATCAATTCTTAATGGAATCCACGCTAGAAGAGAATTAAATGGATCTAATGATGAAATATACGGCAAAGATTTATTAGAAATATTATCTATAGGCTAGTCATAAAATAACTTTGAATCCAGCATCATTTCAAGATATATGGAAACTTGCGCGAATCGAGTTTCTTCGGGAAATTGCTGCATATGTCCCTTATCTTATCATTCATTCTTACCACATCATGCGTTGTTTATCTCTTTGAGACTGTTGTCGCTGGATTACATTTGTTTTGGATGACCTTTATGAATCTTGTAGACGAATTATTGCCTCATGAACGACCACATATGGAGTCTCCAGCTTCCATATACAGGGTGGTTCAGTTTTTAATCGGGAAACTTTACTACGACGTAGTACTTTCCAAAATATCTCTTTTGTTTTCGAGCTAGCTCATAGCTCATCAAAGTTGAGCCAAAAATTTACATTTTATCTTTTATTTCGGGTATAAATAAACCATAGAATTTGAAATTTTGTAAGTATATACTACTGGTTAATACTTTATTTTCTACCATGTCTTAAACATCCCTAACGCCCTCTAAGGGGATGAAATTCACAATCCCTTTGATTTTTTTATAAGAACTTTTTAACACCATGGAATATTAACATAAAAAAATAATAGTCAAAAATCATTAATAATCATCAACAATTATTAGGATTTACGGAAAAATGAAACTTACAAGTTCTCAAAGCCAACTTTTAGAATAATTTTAGCTAAACATGGCGGCACATACCGGTACATGGTACAACATTTTATTTTTTAACATGGAAACTATTAACTTTAAGGAAAATACTAAAGAGACAAAAAAGTACTATTAACGGTTGAGCTTTACAACCCATATTCTTTTATGTTAATATTTCACAGCGTTAAAAAGTTCTTATAAAAAAATCAAGGGGGTGGTGAATTTCATCCCCTTAGAGGGCGCTAGGGAAGTTTAATGTATGCTTGAAAATAAGATCTTGACCAGTAGCAAATACGTAGAAAGCCGAAATACAGCTCGAAAACAAACGAGTTGTGACCCTACGTTTATATAAGAAACTTGTATTATTTAGGCAAGTACTACGTCCTAGTAAAGTTTCCCGATTAAAAACTTAACCACCCGGTATATGTAGTGTTCATTGCTCAGGTCATTTCGCAAACTGGTTGTATTTGTTGTAATTATCAACATCTCGTACAAAATCCCTCTCATTTTTGACTCGTTTCGAGTCGTTAAGAACTCATCAGGCAATCCAATGGATTTTTCTGTGTCATGGCATCTAATGACGCTTTTTAATTAACGTTCAAGAGATTATATGACGGGTATGATGTGTTATACAGGCGTGTCAAATGTCTAGAATATAGCCAATAACTTCGCCATTTGTGGTTTTAAAGAAAAATGTTTCAAATAAAAGTTTCTTTATTAATTGTGGCACATTTTTTTGGAGAAATTTGCTTGTTTGCATTGTTTTTGTTTCGTTGCTATGGCAACCAGCATTATTATTTTAATTAAATAAATAAAGAATAAAAACCTCTTACTTGCTTTTATTATATTTTATTTGAAACTAGTTTCAAGGTACAACGATTATAAACAAAATTGTTATAAACATGTTAAAATGAACACAAATAATATATTTATATCTACTGAACTGATTTTCTAAATACTCACAGTCAAAATTTTACTATAAAAGTTTTCGAAACATCAATGAAATTATGTTAAAATCTAAAATACTCTATTTAAGATACTAAAATACATTAAAATTATGTCACTGCAAATAAACAAAACAGGTACTCTTTTGGAACGCGTTATACAAGCTAAAACGACAAGACCAAAACAAGACAACACGTCCACAAATAAAAACTAGGGTTTCAACGTAAACAGAGGATTTCGAGAAGATTCATTTTAAAACTCTTCTCACATTTATGAAGTAATTTTGTTTCTTTATAGTTGATATTATGTCCTGTTTCCATATGATGTTTAAAAACATTTGAATATTATTGTTATTTCAAATGGAATGCATATGTTTTTTTTGCGTATTTTGATAGAGGATAAATTCCTCTACGCGATGAACATAATATCAAATGGTATGGTTGTGTAAGAAAAAATCGAGAAAAAAATGCGTCACAATTAAAAAAAAACTTTAATTTGAAACATTTTTCTTTAGAACCACAAATAGTGAAGTTATTGGCTCTATTCCAGACATTTGACATACCCTGTATAATGGATTATATGATGGGTGGTAAGCAATTGTATGGAAATGTTTGGTTCAATCCAGGTTTTGAAGATAATGGAGCCTTTAGCAACCTCGAACCATCTTAAAAATCTGTCCACATTATTAAGTTGTAATTTCAGATGGTGAAGAAGTGGGTGGATTGTGTTAATTCCCAGATGCAATGGTTGTGTGGTTTTAGGATTTTTCGAACATTAATTTGATTGGGTTCAAGGCAGAACTTCAATATTTTTTCGATTCGTGACAATAAGTCAACATTGTCTTGATTCAAATTCTCTCTTTTAGCTAGGAGGAGCTAAAAATGTTTGAGGAGGCGCAGCTACTTGATAGCCAATTTATTAATATGTCTGGTATGTCTATGAGTTCTTTTCCTTTTGAACCTTTGAGCCTTCAAAAATATTTAACAAAGACTTATACCGATATATAAAGAAATATTTTTATTACGTATATTTATTAAAACAGCCAGAAAACTTATCTTAAATACCACACTATTGGTGTGATCCATTTGATTCATAACATTGTGTAGCAACAAACATCCGTTCTACATCTTTAATTTGGGCCATACTATCCCCCCTCAAAATCATTCTGTATAGTAATAATATGGAACCGTTTATGTATGTCCATGTTTTTGTTGCATGTTATTAGGAAGAAAAGGTTTACTGCAATACAGCAGAATCCTTTGGAAAGCAGTGGCAAGTGGGTGACGTTGTAGGAGTTTTTCTAGATTTGATCGATCACACGATTAGTAAGATTTTATTTTAAAACAGAAATTTACGCTTTATTAAAATAAAAATTTATTTGGCTAATAATTTATTTTTAGTTGCAAGTGTTGTGTGATCTTTTAAATATTTAATTTTTATTTATGTTTATTTTTGCATGAATCTGATTTATAATGTATCAATTTATTTATTACAATTTTTTATTAATTAGAATTTTTGTTAAGGTTTCTCTTTAAACGGAGAACTTTTAATGGACACATTGGGTGGTGAAACAACCTTTGCAGACGTCCAAGGTGATAACTTCGTTCCCGCATTCACATTGGGTGTAGGTCAAAAAGCTAAATTATCGTTTGGGCAAGATGTTACTGTTTTAAAATATTTCACCACGTGCGGGTTACAAGAAGGATATGAACCATTTTGCGTGTAAATTTATTAATAATTAAGATGTTTTTATCTTAATTAATTAAACATTGTTGTTTTAGTAACATGACTCGCCCAGTAACTTATTGGTACACAAAAGATCAGCCGATATTTGAAAACACGGACGATATGGAAGATGGTAAAATCGACGTGACCAGAATTTTAGCGGGATCTGATAGCCCTCCGTGTCTTAAAATCAGTCACAACACCTTTGAGACGATGGAGAAGGCAAATTGGGAATTTTTGCGTTTGAGTCTTCCGATTATTTGCCATCAAGAATTTATTACTGAAGAAGAAAAAATGCGTAGGTGGCAAGAGATTAAAATTAGACAACATCGTTTGCGCGCTGAAGCTGAGCAACAAACCACTCCTGCGCATATTGAACAAATTATGAAGAGCGGGTTTAGTATGAGTGATATTAAAGGGTTACATCGAAATTATTCGGAAGATGCTGTGGAATCTGATGAGGTTATGAAAACGCAAACTAGAACGTCGAAGATAAACCCACCTCGACCACCAAGGAAAGGATCTTTATCGAGGACTTTACCACAATATGAAGAAAATGGTATTATTAAGTAATATGAATAATTATGATGATAATTATCATTAAATTATGTAGGTTTGGGCCAATTAAATCCAATTAAAGTACATCGATCGAATAGTGAGTTGGATTTCCAACGTTACCAAGATATTAACCATCAAGGAGCGGAGAAGGACGATAAGAAAAAACGAGGCAGATCGCCGTTCAGGTGCGTGTTACTATACCGTAGTCGGAGTCGGTTGTTTTTAAAGGGATGTTACATTTTTGCGTAATTTTCAGCAGTATTGTGCGCAGGTATATATTATACACATAGATATATTACACCGAGCATGGCGAATTTAATGTATGCTTAACTATTTTATCTCTTATTTGTATTGATCACTGTGCTTTTCAATATTTTCTTATAAAGTTTTTACAGAATGAATCTTGAAGAAATTTAAATGTAAATGTCTTCTTTGTATTAATCTTTTTCTTACATCGTCTTCTACACTTCATGTCCTGTCGCACACGCTGTGTAGAGCTTTTTCAAATCAATGTTTATAACAAGTTTTTAAAAAGTTTTAAGATTAATCTTTATTTCTTTGTTGTGTAGGTTTTTCTCTAGAAAACGAGAAGGGGCTAGTAGTGGCGATCGATCGAAGAAGGCAAAAACTCCCGATATAGATCGCGGCCGTATTCCAATGTCTCAGCAACAAAATCTTGGAATGACCAACGCAATGTTACAAAGAAATCCCACTGTGAAATTAACACAGGTGAATAATAATGATATTCGATGATTGAACATTGTATTTAATTAATTTTTTGAAAAGGCTGATTCCGTTCAACCATCCCCTATTCCGGAACGCCAACAAAAACAACTTTCTGTTCCCCAAACATCTGATGTTGAATCCATTGGGGATGAAATTTATGACGCAGAATGTTTAAAATTAATTAACGAATATTTTTATGGTAATATCAATTAAATAACTTTTTTAATATACAGTGTGTCGGTAAAGTAAGGGATATAGGTGATAAAATCATTATAAAAGATTTATGGAAAAATCCCTGAAACGGGTCTAGAGATTAAAATTTTTTGCAATTGTTTGGTGTAGATTTTAAATTTCTTCCGCCATTTTTAAGCGAGTTATGACGTCATCGGTATTTTTTTCGAATTTTATTACGGAATATGAAAGAAGATTTTTTTCTGAATCTAATACAGTCAATATTAATATTGCTTACAGAAGAAAATTTTCGAAAAAAATTACTTTAAAGTTTAAATACTTCAGATTTGTTGACATGATGAAAATAGCAGTAACCATGAGTAACTATGGCAACCAATTATTTTAAACAATTTCCTAAGTGTCAAAAACTGATGTAGTAAGTAGTTGACCACTTTAATACAACATATCTTGATCGCCAACTCATTAGCCAAAGTATGGTGAGGCTAGCTGTGCCTAATTTAAACAGCATGGCCATCCCTCGAAGCATTTCTCGAAGTCTGGCCTACTAAATGTTGCAAGGGGGCAACAAATCGTGGTTTTGACTGGGTAAGAAAACCCTCATGTTACTGTAACGAGTATTAGGTCTAATTTCGACATTAGTAAATTAACGGTTCATAAAATTTTAAAACCCGCAAAATATCATTCCCATAAAGTAAACCTGATTCATGAGCAATAAATCGTAGTTTTTGCAAGACTTTTTCAAAAACATAATTTTTTCGTCGAAGGGACATTTACATTGAATGGACAAGTAAATAGACAAAGTTGTTGGTATTGCGCTACCCAAAATCCAAATTAGCCAAAAAAGTCGCACATCCAATATTCGCAAAAGATATGAGGAAACCTTAAATGGAAGGAGATGTTTAAATTTTTTCAAAGCGATGTCATTCCTTCCATCCCAAGAATGTTGACACAACTTAATTCCAACTAGATGGCGCGCCACTATACTTCAAGAAGCTTTACTTAGGCCCACTTTTACCATCCTCCTGATAAACTATCTAGAGGATAGTTGCCATGGTTACGGCGGTTTTAAGCGCTCTCATTGGCTAAGAACTGGATTTATCTATCGGATATATTTATCAGGAGGTGGTAAAAGTGGGCCTAAATCAGTTTTTGACACTCAGGGAATTGTTTAGAATAATTCGTTACCATAGTTACTCATGGCTTCTGCTATTTTTATCATTATATAAATTTGAAGTAATTAAACTTTAAAGTAATTTTTCTCGAAAATTTTCTTATGTAACCAATATTAATATTGACTGTACTAGATTCAGAAGAAAATCCTCTTTCATATTCCGCCATAAAAATGGGGGATTGCCATTTAAAAAAAATATCGATGACCCCATAACTCGTTTAAAAATGGCGGAAAAAATTTGAAATCTACACCAAAAAATTTAAATCTTTAGACCCGTTTCAGGGATTTATCCATAAACCGTTTATTATGATTTTATCGCCTATATCCGTTACTTTACGGACAGACTGTATAAAAAATGTTTTTATTTTAGGTGTTAGAATCTTTCCGGGTCAAGATCCAACTCACCTTTACGTCGGTTGGGTCACAACTCAATACCATCTCCATAGCAAAGATTTTAATCAATCCCAAGTTTTAAAAGGTTCCGTTCTCACTTTAGACGATTACGATAGAGTTTATCAAAGGTAAACTTCATTCTTAACTAATTTCCATTAATTTTCTTATTTCTTTTTTATTAAAGCATCAACCGGCATTCTTGTTACATGGTCAGAGCAGACGAATTATACAACGAAGTAACGCAAGATGCTTCGGGAAAAGGAGCATCCCAAGGGATGTTTATTGGATGTTTTGTTGACGCAGCAACTGGAATTATTTCATTTACATGCGAGGGAAAATCAACTAAACACCGATTTAATGTAATTTCTTTATTAAATCTACTTGTTTTTATAAAAATGATTTTATTTTAGATGGAACCAGAAACAAAACTTTTCCCGGCAATATTCGTAGAAGCAACAAGCAAAGAAATCCTCCAAATCGAATTGGGTAGAACCGCAACGAGTCTTCCACTCTCAGCGGCTGTTCTACAAAACAGCGCGCGTCATGTAATCCCACAATTCCCACCCCGATTAAAAGTCCAATGTTTAAAACCACACCAATGGGCCAGAGTACCAAATCGAAGTCTTGAAGTACACGCATTAAAATTATCCGATATCCGCGGTTGGTCAATGCTCTGTGAAGATCCTGTTTCTATGTTAGCCCTTCACGTCCCCGAAGAAGATCGATGCATTGATATTTTAGAACTCATCGAAATGGATCGAATGTTAAGTTTCCACGCTCACACTTTAACTTTATACGCGGCTTTGTGCTATCAAAGCAATTACAGAGCGGCACATGCTCTTTGTAAACACGTCGATCAAAAGCAATTATTGTATGCCATTAAATCTGAGTATATGAGTGGTCCTCTTCGTCAAGGTTTTTACGATCTTTTAATTGCCGTGCATCTCGAATCCACCGCTACAACAATGTAAGACTTTTAAGAATTAAAATATTGATTAATATTAGATATTAATAATGATTCATATTTTTAGGGAAGTGTGCAAAAATGAGTATGTAATTCCGCTTGGGCCGGAACTTAGAGAAATGTATGAAGATCCTGAGATGGGGCATAGCTTGAGAAGATTACAAGTTGAATCTGTGAGACCACAAATGAAGATGACTGATATTGCGTAAGAAATGTTTGCTTTATTATTGATTTTTATGTTTCCTATTAAGTGTACAACTTTCAAATCTTTGCCAATTTCTTACTTTTTATAATTTGATTACCATTAGTACTACTAGATATCAGTCTTCTGGCATCTCTTAATGATTTTATTTTTGTCTTGGTCTTCTCAACATCTAATATGCCTAATTCAATGTTTTTTGGTTTGGTCATAATCATGATCATTTCTCGTTTCTGATTAATATTTTTGGTTTTAAATTAAGTGAACAAAAATAGGAATCTGGAGTGTGCAAAATTGATTTTCTCAAAATAAATTTATTACCATAAATTGATTGGAATTTTGGTGTTTCAGTGATTCAATTGATAACATCAAAAACTTATACTCACCTTATTTCCCACTTGATGTCGTTAGAGATTATGTTATGACAGCTTTAGCTGAGGCGGTAGAAACCAATCAAGTTCATAATCGAGATCCCATTGGAGGTTCTAATGAAAATCTTTTCTTGTAAGTAACTTTCTTTGATTATGAATGATCAAAAATCAATTAAATTTGTTTCTAGACCACTCTTAAAATTAGTTGATCGCCTTCTACTTGTTGGTATGCTACGAGATGAAGATGTGGATAAATTACTTATTATGATCCATCCAGAAACTTGGGATGATACTTTTGATAAAGGTAATATAATACTTTTTTGTACGATTTATTCATAATTACTTTTTAGTTGGAAAAGATGAACATAGAAAAGGTTTATTACACATGAAAATGGCTGAAGGTGCAAAACTTCAAATGTGTTACTTGCTTCATCACTTAAATGATAATCAATTAAGACATAGAGTCGAATCGATAATAGCTTTCAGCCATGATTTTGTTGGTGAACTCCAAACAGATCAGCTTCGAAGATACGTGGAAATTAAACAATCAGATTTACCATCTGCTATTGCTGCTAAAAAAACGAGAGAATTCCGTTGTCCACCTAAAGAACAGATGAACGCAATTCTTGGATTCAAAAACTTAGAGGAAGATGAGAAAGAAAATTGCCCCCTCAACGAAGAGTTAGTTGAGCAAATGTCCGGATTTCATGACGCGCTAATGGAACACGTTTCATTAAAAGCACTCTTAGCTCCACCCTCCGTTGAATGTCCTGAAGATATTAAAAAAGCTGGGCCAATTAAGAAACTGTATAATTTCATAAACGCCGTTAAAGAGTTAGAGATTGAACCAAAAGTGGAAGAAGAACCACCAAAGAAAACACCAGAAGAAAACTTTAGAAAGGTTCTAATCAGCACTATAGTTGCTTGGGCTGAAGAAGCACAAATTGAAACACCAAAATTAGTTCAAGAAATGTTTTCGTAAGAAAAATTTTAATTTATTAATAATTTATTTTTACAAACAACTATTGTAGTTTATTGGTGAGGCAATATGATGCTGTTGGTGAATTGATTAGAGCCTTAAGAAAAACTTATGTCATCAACGCAAAAACTAAATGTGACGTTGCCGAAATGTGGGTCGGATTGAGTCAAATTAGAACTTTATTACCCGTGCAAATGTCTCAGGAAGAAGAAGAATTAATGAGGGAGCGATTATGGTAAATAAAATCATCTTAAAATTATTTCTTTATTAATAATATTTTTTTAAAGGAAATTGGTGAATAATCACACGTTCTTCCAACATCCAGACTTAATCCGCGTTTTAAGAATTCACGAAAACGTGATGGCTGTAATGATTAATACTTTGGGAAGACGGTCGCAAGCTCAATCAGATGCTAGCACTCAAGCTCAACCAACAGAAGGTGAAGTTGTTGCAAAGGAAAAGGTAAAAAATTATTAAAATGATGTTGAAACATTTTAATATAAATATATTTATTTTAAGTAACACTTTTTTTTTCAAATCATAATTATAGATTACAAGAGAATCCGTAAGGTCCAAACTTTAGTTTTTAGTGAAATGATTTCACAAGAAATTCGCTTTAATAACTAGTTATACTTTAATTTGCCAGATAATAATGTACACTTTGGCAAATCTTTCTTAGGTGGTGAAGGTCAAATGCTCTGTAGCATACAACATCATTAATCATTCAACCTCAATGGTTTAATTAGTCAAAACATCTACAATTTTATTGTAATATTGTCAATTTTACTATTGTCATGAGTTCGCCTATCTCACTTCAACGATTTACTATCATACTCCTTTTTCTGCACAACTGATCGGTTAAGATAGATTTGCCAAGCTCTAATTAGATTTAGAAACCACGTTTCATTTTATTTTACCCAACACTAAATCACACGTAAAGTTTAGTTATTCCCTAAAATTTTTCATTTATTTTTTAATTTTTCAGGATACCTCCCATGAAATGGTTGTTGCTTGCTGTCGATTTTTGTGCTACTTTTGTCGCACAGGGCGTCAAAATCAAAAGGCAATGTTCGAACACTTCGATTTTCTACTCGACAACAGCAACATCCTGCTTTCGCGTCCAAGTTTAAGAGGCTCAACACCTTTAGACGTTGCGTATTCATCCTTAATGGAAAACACCGAGCTCGCCCTTGCCCTACGAGAACACTATTTAGAAAAAATCGCGATTTATTTATCCCGTTGCGGGTTGCAATCTAATTCGGAGCTTGTTGAGAAAGGTTATCCCGATTTAGGTTGGGATCCCGTCGATGGTGAGAGATATTTAGATTTCTTAAGATTTTGTGTGTGGGTAAACGGTGAAAGCGTTGAAGAAAATGCCAATTTGGTGATTAGATTGTTGATTCGTCGACCGGAATGTCTTGGGCCAGCTTTAAGAGGTGAAGGTGAAGGATTACTTCGAGCTATAATAGATGCAAATAAGGTTTATTGATGTATTTTGAGTTAATAAAGTTAAAATTAACTTAATAATTTTTTTTAGATGTCTGAACGTATCTCGGATCGCAGAAAATTGATGGATGAAGCTGAGGGAACCGTAAATATCGCTCAATTTTCCCATCCTTTACCTGAAAGTGATGATGATGAAGATTATATTGATACCGGAGCTGCTATTCTTAATTTTTATTGCACATTGGTGGATCTTCTTGGAAGGTGTGCCCCTGATTCAGGAGTTATTGCTTTGGTATGATAATTTTGCAGAAAATAATTTAATTTTTAATAAAATTATTTTATTTGTGCAGGGAAAGAATGAATCTCTTAGAGCTAGAGCTATTTTAAGATCTTTGGTGCCGTTGGAGGATTTGCAAGGAGTTTTAAGTTTGAAATTTAACCTTCATAATCCAGCAGCTGGAGAAGAACGTCCTAAATCTGATATGCCATCGGGATTAATTCCAGGGCATAAACAATCAATTGTATTATTTTTAGAACGGGTGTATGGAATTGAAACTCAAGAGTTGTTTTATAAATTATTAGAAGAAGCATTTTTACCGGATTTAAGGGCTGCTACAATGCTTGATAGGGTAACTTAATCCTTTTAAATGTTAATTCATAGTGTTTCATTTTGATATTTATTATTTGTTAATAGAATGATGGCAGTGAATCAGATATGGCATTAAGCATGAATCGTTACATAGGAAATTCAATATTACCTCTATTAATCCAACATAGCAAATTTTACAACGAAGCTGAAAACTATGCGTCATTATTAGATGCAACATTACACACCGTCTACAGATTATCAAAGAACCGGATGTTAACCAAAGGGCAAAGAGAGGCGGTTTCAGACTTTTTAGTAGCATTAACAAGCGCGATGCAACCCGCTATGTTACTAAAACTACTTAGAAAATTAACCATCGACGTATCAAACTTATCAGAGTACACAACAGTTGCTTTAAGACTTCTTACATTACATTACGAACGTTGTGCCAAATACTATGGATCAACTGCAGGGCAAGGATTATATGGTGCTTCATCCGATGAAGAAAAACGTTTAACAATGATGTTGTTCTCAAACATTTTTGATTCATTAAGTAAAATGGATTACGAACCAGAACTATTCGGAAAAGCCTTGCCGTGCTTAATCGCGATCGGTTGTGCTTTACCCCCAGATTACTCACTTTCAAAAAATTACGACGACGAATGGTACACTAACAAAGCAGCTACAACCGGTCCAGATGGACCATATAACCCCCAACCGATTAATACAAACTCAGTTCAATTAAACAACGACTTAAACGGACTAGTCCAGAAATTTTCGGAGCAATACCACGACGCTTGGGCTCAAAGAAAATTAGAAAACGGATGGCAATATGGCGAAACTTGGTCTGACTCTAATAAAACTCATCCCAGATTAAAACCTTATTCTCTCTTAAATGATTATGAAAAAGAACGATACAAAGAGCCTGTGAGAGAATCACTAAAAGCTTTGTTAGCTTTAGGTTGGTCTGTGGAACATACAGAAGTAGATATCCCAACTAATAACTCATTAAGGAGACAATCAAAACAAGGAGATGCAAATTCCCCTTACAATTATAACCCCCATCCAGTTGATATGGCCAATTTAACGCTTTCGAGGGAAATGCAAAATATGGCTGAGAGATTAGCTGAAAATGCGCATGATATTTGGGCTAAGAAAAAACGGGAAGAATTAAATACTTGCGGGGGTGGGATTCATCCTCAATTAGTACCATACGATCTTCTTACTGATAAAGAAAAACATAAAGATAGGGAAAGATCACAAGAATTCTTAAAATATATGCAATATCAAGGTTATAAATTACACAGACCCGTTAAAGGTGGAGCGGGTGAAGGGGAACAAACAGCGACAGGACCAGCTGTCGAATTAAGATTTGCTTATAGTTTATTAGAAAAATTAATCCAATATTTAGATCGAGCAACGGTTAATATGAAGCTTTTAAAACCATCGCAAACCTTTAGCAGAAGAAGCTCATATAACACATCTTCGAGAGACATCAAATTCTTTTCAAAAGTTGTACTCCCATTGATGGAAAAATACTTTTCCACTCATAAGAATTATTTCATTGCCGTCGCTACCGCAACTAACAACATCGGCGCAGCAAGTTTGAAAGAAAAAGAAATGGTTGCGGCATTATTTTGTAAACTAGCGAATCTTTTACGATCCAAACTAGCAGCTTTTGGAGCAGACGTAAGAATTACAGTTAGATGTTTGCAAGTTTTGGTCAAAGGAATCGATGCGAAATCTTTAGTGAAGAATTGTCCTGAATTTATAAGAACATCAATGTTGACTTTCTTTAATAATACTGCTGATGATTTAGCACATACCATCATGAATTTACAAGATGTAAGTAATTATTATACAAATTATTATACAGGGTGTTCCGTGACTCGATCAATAAACTTATATCATATATTCCGGGGGTCATTAACGATCAAAAAATGGTATATCACCTATAGGTGAATTCCTTTTTGTTTCGGAGATATCGAAATAAAACTAAAAAAAAGCAAAAAAAAATGATAAAAGAAAATTTATTCATTTCTTTATTTATGAATGGGTAGCTAATTAACACAGCTGTTCAAAATGAGAACCGCCATTTTCTAAACATTCAGCTATCCTTGGTGTCATAGAATGTTGCCAGTTAATTACCACCAATTTATTCTTTAGCGAATTAGTAGCTTCAGCTCTTCACGTGTATCTGATTTACAATTACTACTATACACACGAGATTTGAGGCTACGCTATAGAAAAAATCTAGAGGTGACAAGTTAGGTGACCGAGCTCTCCAATGTACGTCGTCCTACTCACCTTTTCGGAAAATTTTCATTAAAAAATACCGTCACTTGTCTCCCAAAATGTGGTGGTACCTCATCTTGATATCTTCCATGTAATTCGGCAATTCTTCTTCCAAAAAGTGAAGGTAAGTTTCTGGACTGAGACGTCCTTCAAAAAAAATGAGGCCCAATAAGATGATTTTTTAACAAGCCGCACCATATGTTGACGGAAAAACGATGTTAATGGTTAACAACGATTGTTTCGTGTGGGTTTTGATCCGTCCAGATGTGAGAATTATGTGTGTTGTTAATACCATTCCTTGCAAACTGGGCCTGATCCGTAAAAAGTGTGTGTGAAATAACTTCTAAATTATTTTGTAACCACTGGACTTTTTGTAAATGATAGGGATAAAGTCCATCATAGTGCAGAATTCCCTCAACCCAACCCAACCAACGTATGGAGCGTTGGTTTGAGGAATTCCCGTTGTATGAGATATTTTATGAATACTACTAGAAGGACTGGTAGAATAAGATAGTACAAAAATCATTAATTTGTCAAACGTTAAATCGTTAAAACTGTCAATTTTTTTAATTAATTCGATATCTCCGAAATAAAAAGGAATTCACCTATAGGTGATATACCATTTTTTGATCGTAATGACCCCCGGAATATATGGAATTTGTCGATCGAGTCACGGAACGCTCTGTATGTATATGAATATATGAAACTACTATGCACTTGCATTGTCCCACATAACATGCAACATATCTTAATAGTGCACGGCTAAACCCGAATGTTTCTGACTCTAGGTCTACTGTTAGTTCTACTTTTCATTCAATAAAAAATATACCACAATGTAACGCTAAATAACAATTAAAATTAGAACTAATACTAAACCGAGAACTAGAAACATTCGGATTTAGCCGCACGTCTTTCAAGACGGCTAAACCCGAACGATTCTAGTTCTAGGTCTTGTGTTAGTTCTAGTGCAAAACTGGAACTAACACTAGACCTAGAACTAGAAACATTCGGATTTAGCCGCACGTCTCTCAAGACGTCTAAACCCGAACGATTCTAGTTCTAGGTCTTGTGTTAGTTCTAGTGATAGTTCTAGTGCAAAACTGGAACTAACACTAGACCTAGAACTAGAAACATTCGGATTTAGCCGCACGTCTCTCAAGACGGCTAAACCCGAATGATTCAAGTTCTAGGTGTTGTGTTAGTTCTAGTGATAGTTCTAGTGCAAAACTGGAACTAACACTAGACCGAGAATTAGAAAGTATTGTCTAGATCTAGTGTTAGTCTAGGTTTATTTGTTATTCAGCGCTAGGTTGTTGTATATTTTTATTAAGCTATAACGAACACTGCGTTTCGTAGTAATATCAAATTACCGTATTTTCTCGAATCTAATACGCACCATTTTTACAAATTTTATATGCTCTAAAATCGAATGCGGATTACAATCGAGTGCGGATTAGATTCGCAGTCGTTTAGTTGCGATTTGGAAAATAGTAAAATAAAATCGCATTATAATAATAACACTGTTAAGGGTTTTAGAACGATATTTACATTTTTATGTAACATTTTCTGCCCATATTACGTCATCTTCGGATCTGTCCAAAGCATTGGTTATACAAAACTTCTTAAATGATGTTATAATATTGTTTTCAGGGATCGTTTTCCATGTGTGTTCCTGGTCTACGACTCCATACCTGTCTTAACCATTCCATCATCAGCTTTTCCATTATTCATCCTTTTTGTTGTGCTCTAACTAAGACGTCATTCGGGAAGTCTTTCGGATTTCAGAATGGTTTTTTTCTCAATATTAATAATGACAGCAATTTTTCCCTATCACTTGTTACTGCTAGCATATTAATGTTATGCTCAATTTTTCGCAACCACTCGTTTCTAAGGAAATTGGGAGGCATATCCAGATATACTGGCATTTCGTCGGCATTCACAGTTTGAGACAAATTGAAGTTTTTTTGAAAATCATTAGGAGCTTTTGGGAAATTGTAGTTTGTCCAACCTTTGCTAGTATTAAAATTTTTTTAGTCTCTCCTTCCGTTTTTCTTGAGAGAACCAGAAAACTGCCTCGTCAAATTCATGAAATCGTCTCTTCTTTGACCCGGTAAATTTTTTGCACGATGCCTCAGTCTACAATAGCTGCCTTGTCTTTCCCCAACAGCCACAACGTTACTCTCATTAACGGCAAAAATTGTACCAGCTTTTCGATTTCTTTCTTTTAACGCTAACTTAATAACATCTCTTTAAACTTCGCTGTATAGAAGAACCTCTTCGATTTTTGCTACTTTTTTTCCATAATTACGCTGTTATATGTATAATTAAACACACACCAAGTTCGAGCTACTACGAGGGCGGTATATGAACTGAATTCATGCTAGGCATTACTATTTATTTTTAAAATTATATTTATTTTCCAATTTTTTCTGGCTTGGTAAATTTAAAGTTTAGTCCAATAAAAACTCGTCGTAAACAAGGTTTCTTTAGGTGGATCAGCCTCAGTCAACGGAAAAATTATATATTTATGGTTAACAACAAGCATCTCATCGTTTTGGTGTTGTCGAATTGCTCAGAGAAAGATGCGGATTACATTCGCAAACTAAATTTTTTTACCATTATGCATTTTTAAAATCGGGGTGCGGATTAGATTCGAGAAAATACGGTATATTGACATTTTGCATTTTATGTGGGATAAAGGAAGTAGGTATACCCTTTTTGTATATTGCATCTTAAGTGAAATTCACTGTATAAATAAATCATATTAACTTTTATTCTTTATTAATTTTAGGGAAAATACAGTCATTTAAGAGGTACTCATTTAAAAACGTCTTCTTCGTTATTTTATGTTCACGCTGTGGTTTTACCCTGTTTAACTGCAATGTTTGATCATTTAGCAAATTGTGAATATGGCGCTGATTTATTATGTAAGTTATTTCCGAATAGAAAATATTATCATAGTTTTTGTTTACATTTTAATTTATATTTTCGTTGTAGTGGATGAAATTCAAGTTGCATCATACAAAATTCTCCAATCTTTATACACTTTAGGTACCGATCGTACATTAACTCACGATAGGAAATACTTAAAAACGGAAATTGAGCGAAATAAACCAGCTTTAGGTAAATAAAATATTAAAGTATTAATTTTTCAAATACAAATTTAATTTGCTTTTTTATAGGATCTTGTTTGGGAGCTTTTAGTTCATGTTTTCCGGTGGCATATTTGGAGCCACATTTAAATAAACATAATCAATTTTCACTTTTAAATCGTATAGCTGATCATTCTTTAGAAGCTCAAGGTAAATAATTTAATTTTTTTTATTATATATCTTATCTTATTAATTATTTATGTTATTAATTAGACATAATGGTTAGAATGGAGAGTTCAATGCCAACTTTAGAAACAATTCTAACGGAAGTAGATCAATTTGTTGATAGTGAATTAACTTATAACGAAGCCATGCACATCATTGATGTCATCATGCCATTACTTTGTTCTTACCTGCCATTTTGGTGGTCGCAAGGTCCCGATAATGTCAGTCCAACAGGAGGGTAATTAATTAATTAAAATTATGTAACTCTCACAAAAATACTTTGTTATTTAGAGCTTATGTAACAATGGTTACTGCTGAACATATGAATCAACTTCTCAAGAATGTGTTAAAATTGATTAAGAAAAACATAGGAAATGAGCATGCTCCTTGGATGACGAGAATAGCGGCTTATGCCCAACAGATTATTATCAACAGCAGTGAAGAATTGCTGAAAGATCCATTTTTGCCACTTGCTGAAAGGGTAAAGAAACGCACTGAAAACATGTTCCATAAAGAAGAGAGTTTAAGAGGGTTCATTAAAAGCTCAACGGATGATACATCACAAGTAATAATCATTTATTTTTAATCAATTCATTTTTTTTATAATAAATTATAATATTGCAGATTGAAGCTCAAATTCAAGAAGATTGGCAATTATTAGTAAGGGATATTTATTCGTTTTACCCCTTATTAATTAAATACGTTGACTTACAAAGAAATCATTGGTTACGTCACAACATAGCCGAAGCTGAGGATATTTACAACCACGTTTCGGAAATTTTCAATATCTGGTCGAAATCGCAATATTTCCTTCGTGAGGAACAAAACTTTATATCCGCGAATGAAATTGATAATATGGTTTTAATTATGCCAACTGCTACAAGAAGGACTGTTGTTACTGATAGTTCAACTCCAGCTGGTGGAAAAGCTAAGGTAAAATTCTTTTTAAACGATTAGGATGTTGTTGAGATTATTATTTTTTAGAAAAAGAAAAAGAATCGCGAGAAAAAACGCGATAAAGACAAAGAGATTCAAGCGTCGTTAATGGTGGCTTGTTTAAAACGTCTCCTTCCTGTTGGATTGAATTTATTCGCTGGGAGGGAACAAGAACTTGTTCAACACTGCAAAGATCGCTTCTTAAAAGTAATTAAATGTAATAATTTTTATAATTTTTGTTAAAACGATTTTATTTGTAGAAAATGCCAGAATACGAAATAATCGATTTTGCTAAAATTCAATTAACATTACCGGATAAGATCGATCCTGCAGATGAAATGTCTTGGCAACATTACCTTTACAGTCAATTGGGTAGCAAAAAAGCAACCGCTGTAAATACTACTGATGCGAATGGTAAAAGCCAATTAGAAGAAACTGTAGAGAGAATCGTTGCGATGAGCAAAGTTCTTTATGGGCTTCATATGGTAAGAATTCTTTTTTAAACAAATTTCTTTACCAAAATAAATCGAGATTTTATACCGAGTGTTTTAGATAAATTAAATATTTATTGATTATTAGCAGTAATATTTGATAAATAAAATGAGTGTAGATAATTAGATGATAGCGTTCAAATTGGAGGATCTATTAGACCTTAAGGTTCTTATATCACAAAATCAACTCTAATTCTTTTACTTTATCATAAATAAATTATCTAAAACACTCACCCATATTTTATAAACTCTTATTTAGTTCCAAACTCTTCTCTATGCAACTGATAAATTTTATTTCTATGAATGCATTGGTTACATTATTTTCCATTATTAAATTGCTTTGTAAAAATGATTCCATAATTTTACTTAAAAGTAGTGCTAAATATTCTGTAAAACTTTGATTAGCTTAAAAAGACTTTATAGGTACAATTATCACATTTTATTTGGAGCCACAATTACGATTAAAAAAGAATAAATAAACGGCGATAAGAATTTCCCATTTTTAAGTTATTATCATAATGATTTTACATTGCACGACAGATCGATCACCCTCAACAACAACAGAAAGGCGTGTATCGCAGCGTTGTTTCGACGCAACGCAAACGTGCGGTTCTATCTTGCTTCAGACAAGCCTCGTTACATAGTTTGCCCAGGTTCGTTTATTGGTTTGTTTTGTCGTTTTTTATTTTCCGTTCTATTTTCTTTTGCTCTTTCGCTTGCCCGTTTAGAATCTAGATCAAATTCTAGAAGAGTCCGTGTTGTTCTTCTTACGGTCAAATATTAACCTTACTAACCGGATTGTTTTTTTTTAACACTAACTTTTTAATAAGGCTTCCAAACCTCGATCTCATCGAGAGGGATGGAAAAAAATTTTATGTGCCGCTCGAAAAAGAGCAGCCCTTGCATGTTTGCGATGTCAACCTTTATACAAATTACGCAGGTGAAAATCATTTCTTTTAGTATTTAAATATGAACAAAAAATAATATTAAAATTTCTTTCAGGCACCGAGCAATAAACATATTTATCCGTTCTTATTACGATTTATGGCTACAAGATGAGAACGTCGGACAAGAAGTATTAATTGAAGATTTAACGCAATCCTTTGAAGACGCGGAATTGAAAAAAGTTGATGATGTTGAAGAAGAAGGCAAACCAGATCCCCTAACACAATTAGTAACCACTTTTTGTAGAGGGGCAATGACAGAAAGATCGGGTGCTTTACAAGTAATAATTTATTCATTTTAAGATTTTTTGTCATTAAATAGTTTCTTGTGTATAGGAGGATCCATTATATATGAGTTACGCTGAAATCATTGCGAAATCATGTGGTGAAGAAGAAGAAGAAGGTGAAGATGAGGAGGGAGGTGAAGGTGAAGAAGGAGGCGCATCAATCCATGTAAGTATATAGAATTTAATTAAAAAAAATAATTATCATCCTCTATAAATATGCAAAGAGGACTATGGAAAAGTTAATGGTAAGATTAGTTTCATTTAAAAACTACAAATTTAAAAAAATCCATTTTATTTAATTAATACAAAATTACTATTATATCTGATTAATTTAAATAGGAACAAGAAATGGAAAAACAAAAATTATTATTCAGTCAAGCAAGATTGGCGAAACGAGGTGTCGCGGAGATGGTTTTGCTTCATATCTCAGCTTGTAAAGGTGTCCCATCAGAGATGGTTATGAAAACTTTACAATTGGGCATATCAATTTTGCGCGGTGGCAACAGCGATATCCAAATGGGCATGTTGAATCATTTGAAAGAGAAAAAAGATGTCGGATTCTTTACAAGCATAGCAGGGCTAATGAATAGTTGTAGTGTACTTGATTTGGACGCATTTGAAAGAAATACTAAAGCTGAAGGATTAGGAGTTGGCTCAGAAGGTAATATATTTGATTATTATTGAAAGTATTTATTATAAGTTCGTCATTTCAATCATTATACATATACAAACATAAAGTAAACACACAAGGTACATATCTGGAGTCACTAGTAGATAGATACACATTTATCAGCTCTTTGTGTGAGAAGAAACGAAATAGTTTTGTGTAGCGAACGATGCTTATGAAACAGTTCCAACATTCGAGGATAGCTTTCGATTGTTGATTTTGTTCTTTCCAACCTATGGTCAATCACTGTCACGATTTCAGCATATTTAGGATCCTCTCAATGATAGGTCTTAATAAATTTAGCTATTGCAGAGAGTAGCAATAACACAAAATTAATATTATTGTAAACAGGCGTAATCAATCTGATAAATTAATTGTAATATACAGTGTACAATAATGTACAATAAATATTAATATCGGTTATATAAGAAAATTTTCGAGAAAAATTAATTTAAAGTCATTATTTCCCATTCATTTGATATAGAAAATAGCAGTAGCAGTGCGTAACCATGGCAACCAATTGTTTTGATTTGACATTTCCAACAAAACCTAACATGAAAGATAGAAAACAATAATATTATTAATTCAAATATTCAAATTGCTGCCCGTTAGCGGCAAGGCAATGTCTTAATCATGCACCAGTCACTCGTATTAATGAAGTTGGGAACATACGTTTAATTCTGGATACTGTCACTTATGACGTTGCTTTCGATTACAGAATCCATTTTGGCAATTTTTTGAGTTGTCAGTTTGACTGGTTCGACCAGGTTTGACATACTAATATTTTTGATTGCGTTGTATTGTGTACAGTGGAAGAGTTGCTAGCGATTTGAAGAAAAAGCGATTTGTTGTTGTTGCTTTATAATAAGTACACCTCGATTGATGCGGAAGCAGCATTGGATAAATGCAATAAAATTAAAAGGAAACGATGTGGTAAAAATAATAATAAAAAAATTAAAGAATAAAGTCTTTGTTATTCATTTAAAGACTTTTTAATAAACCCTGTACCAAATAATAATTTAATACGTAGTCATGTTTTTTTGATGTTTTTTTGTAAAACATTGTAAACGACAAAATTTAATGTGTTTAAAGTTTTGCACAGTTTGTAAAGTTTTGTCGCCAAGCAATGCTTTCGTAAAAAATCATCGATAAACCTTTCAAATAACAAATTTAATTTATATTTCCCGCCTGCCAATGATTTCAGCACTGTAGGTGACAGTATCCAAAACTAATTGCGCATTTCAATCAAACGTTTATAGTTGCCCATCTATATAACAAATATATTATATCTTATCTATGGTCTTAATCGAGAGACAAACGCTTCTTGAACGTTTTGAATCATATCCGGGCTGATTAATTGAATTTCTTCTCAAATTTTTTGCTTCAGATCTTCTATGTTATCAGGCTTATTAAAATAAACTTTAGATTTTAAATAACCCGAAATAAAACAATCCAAATAAGGGTCCATTCAATATGTCCGCGTCTGCCGATCCACCGATTGGGAAATTTTTGGTTGAGGTATTCTCGTACAACTAGTGCATAATGAGGAGACGCTCCATCTTGCTGTAGCCAAATTCTGAGATGTAGTGAATTTGGATCTTCTGCATTTTGAAAAATTGCAACTAAACTTGGAATTAATTCTAATTGAAGAAATTTCAAAATTGTTCACCGCCTGTTGTTCCAATAAAGAAATACGGTCCAATAATTCTGTTCTCCACTATTTCAGCCCACACATTGACCTTTTGGGGATACTGTGTATTTGGGTATTTCCAATGGGGATTTTCAACTGCCCAATAACGGCAGTTTTGCTTATGGACGGTGCCATTTAAACAAAATGTTGCTTCATCAGAGAATAGAATGTTTTTAATGAATCTCGGATTTGCTTTGCATAGTTCCGTCATTGTTTCGCAGAATTGCACGCGTCGATCAAAATCGTCATCGGAAAGCTCATGCACCAAGTGTACTTTGTAGGGGTGATATTTTTTTCTTTTAAGAAATCTTGTTATTGTGCTTCTAGATGTATTTAAATTTGCAGCAAATTTCCTCTACACTTAACAGGACATCCAATAGACGGTCTTCATTTAAGGCCAATAGACGACCGGTCTTAGGTTTATCTCGTACATGACCAAGTTCGCCAAATTTACTCTTAAATAACGCACGGACTTCGTTATGAGTTCGGACTCTATTTCCGAAACCAATCATCATAAGAATCTCGATTCTCTCAGTTTCAGTAAGCGTCATTATAACTTTCTAACTTATCGAACAGTCAATAATTAAAAAATAACCAATATTAGATAAACAATAAGATCAAATAACAACGAATAGCGATGAATAGCAACAAATAACAATGAATAACAACAATTAACACAAGAAACTCCACAATACTACTCAAAATAATCTCATTAACGCACAATAAACTGTTTCAAATCGAATTTTGACACTTGGAAATGTCAAATCAAAACAATTGGTTGCCATGGTTACGCACGGCTACTACTATTTTTTATATCAAATGAATGGGAAATAATGAAACTTTAAATTAATTTTTCTCGAAAATTTTCTTATGCAACCTATATTAATATTTATTGTACATAATTGTACACTGTATATTACAATTAATTTGTCAGATTGATTACGCCTGTTTACAATAATATTAATTTTGTCCGTTACTTTTGAAACTGTATATTTAATAAAAAATAATAATGATGAAAAAAATGCTTATCGAAAAAACTTAGTGGAAAGTTAAAATTGATCAGTCAACCCAGTTTCAACATAGCTTAATCAAAAATTTATCCAATTTCAAAACAAACAAACCCAACCCTACAGCCATTGAATCACAGTATAACCTAACTCTAAAAAAACCAACACGAAAGAAAGATTATCCAATTCTCGGCTTCGAACTTTTTCGACAGTCATTGGTAAATCAGAAAGCAATTCAAAAGTTGCATGCAAGTTGCATGTATGTTGTATTTTATATCGCCAATGATGTATCAGAAAATATGTTTAAAAATTGTGTATCTTAAAAAAACAATTCAAAAGTTACATACTTAATCTAATGCCTCGGCCGCAAGCGACCTCGGCTTTAAGTATTTTATATCGCCGATGATGTATAAAAAAAAGGTTTAAAAATTATGCACCTTATCTAGCGCCTCAGCCGCAAGCGACCTCGGCTTCAAACTTCCTCAATCGTCATCGATAAACCAAAAAACCATTCAAAAGTTGTATACTTAATGTAATGCCTCGGCCGCAAGCGACCTCTGCTTTAAATATTTTATACCGCCAATGANGTATTAATCTCCCTAAAATACGCTCGAGCTTGATTTTAAATCAGGATAATTTTATTTTTAATTCACTCAAGTTTTGTTACCCTTTGGAAATAACTCTCAATCAAAATCAAAAGATAAAATCGCTCCAGCTAAAGCTGTCGCGATTTTATCATGCTTTTGATTTCGAGTTATTTCCATGGTAACAAAACTTTCGTGTAAAAATAAAATTATCCGATTAAAAGTCAAGCTCTTGTGTATTTACCCCCGATGAAAAAAATGCTTTTCGAAAAAACTTAGTAGTTTCACTCGGTGGAAAGTTAAAATTGATCAGTCAACCCAATTTCAACGTAGCTTAACCAAAAATTAATCCAATTCCAAAACAAACAAACCCAACCCTACTGCCACAGAATTACAATATAACCTAACTCTAAAAAAAGCCAACATGAAAGAAAGATTATCCAATTCACGGCTTCGAACTTCTTCGACAGTCATCAGAAAGCAATTCAAAAGTTGCATGCAAGTTGCATGTAGATTAAATGCCTCGGCTATAAGTATTTTATATCGCCAATGATGTATCTGAAAATATGTTTAAAAATTGTGTATCTTAAGAAAACAATTCAAAAGTTACATACTTAATCTAATGCCTCGGCCGCAAGCGACCTCGGCTTTAAGTATTTTATATCGCCGATGATGTATAAAAAAAAGGTTTAAAGATTATGCACCTTATCTAGCGCCTCAGCCGCAAGCGACCTCGGCTTCAAACTTCCTCAATCGTCATCGATAAACCAAAAAACCATTCAAAAGTTGTATACTTAATGTAATGCCTCGGCCGCAAGCGACCTCTGCTTTAAGTATTTTATACCGCCAATGATGTATCAAAAACAATGTTTGAAGATTATGCACCTTATCTAGCGCCTCGGCCGCAAGCGACCTCGGTTTTAAACTTTCTTAATCGTTATCGGTAAACCAAAAAACCATTCAAAAGTTGCATACTTAATCTAATGCCTCGGCCGCAAGCGACCTCGGTTTCAAACTTCCTTAATCGTTATCGGTAAACCAAAAAACCATTCAAAAGTTGCATACTTAATCTAATGCCTCGGCCTTCAATCGTTATAAATCGTCATTTAAAATCAGAAAATAATTCAAATGTTGTACGCTTAAACCCAGCGCCTCGGCCGCAAGCGACCTCGGCTTAAGTAATATTAACTTCTGATTTCAATCAGGAATCATCTAAAGAACTCGATTACACTGGATACTATTTAGGATTTGATTTTTATACACATATATAAAAATTACCTTGTATTTTTCTAATTATTAAAAAAATCTTTAAGGTGCCGCCGGAGAAAAGAACATGCACGATGCAGAATTTACTTGCGCCCTCTTCCGTTTTATCCAACTAACATGCGAAGGTCACAATTTAGAATGGCAAAATTATCTTCGTACTCAAGCGGGAAATACAACAACCGTAAACGTAGTTATTTGCACAGTCGATTACTTACTACGCCTCCAAGAATCGATTATGGACTTCTATTGGCATTATTCAAGTAAAGAATTAATCGATCCGGCGGGAAAAGCAAACTTTTTCAAAGCAATCGGCGTCGCTAGCCAAGTATTTAACACCCTCACTGAAGTCATCCAGGGACCGTGCACACTCAATCAACAAGCTTTGGCCCATTCCAGATTGTGGGACGCCGTCGGCGGTTTCCTTTTCCTTTTCTCTCATATGCAAGATAAATTGTCGAAACATTCGAGTCAAGTGGATCTTCTTAAAGAGCTTTTAAACCTTCAAAAAGATATGATTACGATGATGTTATCTATGCTTGAAGGAAACGTTGTCAATGGTACTATTGGTAAACAGATGGTTGATACCTTAGTTGAAAGCGCCTCAAACGTTGAATTGATCTTAAAATATTTTGATATGTTTTTAAAGTTGAAAGATTTAACAAGTTCTGCGAGCTTTATGGAAATTGATATTAATAATGATGGGTGGGTGTATCCGAAAGATTTTAAAGAGAAAATGGAACAACAAAAAGCTTATACTCCGTAAGTAATCCAAAATATGATGCTTTCAAAAATTAATTTATTCAATTTTAGTGAAGAAATTGAATTCCTTCTTACTTGTTGCGAAACAAATCACGATGGTAAAATAGATTACGTTGGATTTATTGATCGATTCCACGAACCAGCCAAAGAAATCGGTTTTAATTTAGCCGTTTTACTTACAAATTTATCGGAACATATGCCCAATGAACCAAGATTAGCAAGATTTTTAGAAACCGCGGGGTCCGTTTTAAATTACTTCGAACCTTTCTTAGGCCGCATCGAAATCTTGGGTAGTAGCAAACGTATTGAGAGAGTTTACTTTGAAATTAAAGAATCAAACATTGAGCAATGGGAGAAACCACAAATTAAAGTATTTATTATTATTAAATCTAATAAATTGTATTGATTTATTTTTTTAGGAATCCAAAAGAGCTTTCTTCTATTCAATCGTAACTGAAGGAGGTGATAAAGAAAAATTGGAAGCCTTCATTAATTTTTGTGAGGACGCAATTTTTGAAATGCAACACGCGAGCGCTTTGATGGCAGTTGAAGAATCAAGCGGAATGGGACAAACAAGAACGACCAGTTATAGTTATCTCCAAGATGATGATGAAGAGCGAGCCGCTAAAGACCCAATTAGAAAAGGTTATCAAAACGTGAAGGAAGGAATTTATTACGGTTTATCCGCCTTGAGTCCGGCCAATATAAAACATCGAATTGCCGATATGCAACAAATGACACCATACGAGCTTTTTGTTGGTTTCTTTAAAATGATCTTTTATGCGTTTTATTATTCCGGATTTGGATTCTCGATGATTTTGGGTTATTTCTTCCGTATGTTATTGAATTTGATGCGAGGACCTCAAGTTGAAGAGGTCGTTGTTGTAAAAGAAGAAGAAAAACTTCCCGTTAGGATGCTTCCTGCTTTACCAGCCACCCCAGAAGAATCAAATACTCAAATACAAGCGTTTGGGTTGGATATAACTAAAGAAGAGGGGGGACAGTAAGAAATTTTTTTGATTATTTAATACTTTCTTATTTTTTAATTTGTTTTAGAATGAAAATGGCACCTCATGAATCACCAACAAATAGTCAACCATCTTCTGGGGAAGGTGAAGGTGAAAGTACACCTGAAGAAGCAGCCGGGGAACATCTGGAAGGTGCTACAAGCGATCAACCTTTAACTCTATCTGATTTATTGGGGTATTTATTCATTTTTGATTAATTTTTTTTTTTATTTTTTTTATTTTAGTGGTGAAGCGGCGAAACGGGCGGCTCAAGAAAAGGCTGAAGCTCAAGCAGCTCAACAAGCTGCGATGCAAGCAATCGAATCAGAAGGAAAAGCGCAAACCACAACCGAACCTTCAGCGGTTTCCCAAATTAATTTTAGCAGCTATGGACAAAGAGCTGTATCTTTCTTGGCCCGTAACTTTTACAATCTAAAATATGTTGCGTTGGTTTTGGCATTTTGTATTAATTTTATGCTTCTATTTTACAAGGTAAATAATTTATTTTATCCGCAATCACCTTATAATAATTATAAGCTTAAACTTCAATTATTGAAGTTTTATCCACACTTATGAAAGTACCACTTTATCCACTAGTGGAATAATGAAAAATTCAATCTTAAATCAATCACATCCTATTTATTATTTATATTAACATTTACAGTTGCTCATAAAATTGAGTATTTTTGAAAATTTGAAAATTTCAAATAATTATTAATATGTTTTAAAGTTTGTGATATATATGTATTAACAACAATCTTATTAACTAATTTGAATTCAAAATAATCCAGTTTTCCAAATAAAATAATGACAATATTAACAATAATAAAAAATGGCACGAAATTTACGCCACAAAATTGAGTATACAGTTAAGGCAAAGTGAATAAGTTTAGCTTAGTATTATGTTTTACTAAGCTGTAAGCCCTCCATTGGCGTCAATTATCACCTGCATTCGCCGTGGCATTGAGTCCACAATGTCTCAGCGAGACCGGTCATTAGACGTTTCTGGGGTTCTGGCCAAAATAAAAATTTGAGAATTCAGATTTAAGTATAGTGCTGGCGCTAGCAAATGAAGCGCCAGAGTGCGGGAACCGGAGTGGCGCCCCCTCCCCACGAGTTAAAAAATGCATTTTAATTAAAAAAATATATATAATCATAATCCATACTTCAGCAAAAATTTAAGAATTATACTGGTGAAAAACCAAACTTAAGGGAATAGTCGGGAGTACTCTGGCCAGAAGGTTAATTTGCAAGAAAAAGTCTGAAATTGCAATAGTTATAAACTAGACTTCAGCAAAAAACAGGAATTACATTGTTCAAAGTCCACATGAAGTCTGAAATTACTGTTCAGAGAAAACAAAAAATTGATTATAAACCAAACATGATTTTTCATGGCAATACTTATGTGTTCAATAAAAGAATGCGAAGAATATGAACAAGAAACCAATGGACTTGTCTTGTTATTGCACAGGACAGGAAATCACCAATACGGAAACTTTGCCAATGCAGGATAAGCACAAAAGCAAAGTAACAGCTGCAGAAATGAGGTACCGGGTGGTACAAGATCCGTATAGATAATAAGAGGCTCCCAAAAAGATGATGATAGACACCCAGAAAGAAGTAGCTGTCAGTATCAAGAACAAAACATACATAACGTTGGCAGAAGACTAGATACTGCTTCTAAAAGATTAAATACTGCTTTCTGAAGACTAGATACTGCCAACAGGTCTAAATACAGCATCTGGAACACTAAATACTGCTTTCTAAAGACTAAAATTGCTTTGTGGAGACTTAATATTGCTTTGTAAAGACTAGATACTGCTGACAAGTCTAAGCACTGCAAAAGAAAGATAATATATTGTTGGAGAAAACATACATAACTTTGGCAGAAGACTAGATGCTGCTGCTAGAAGACTAAATACTGCTTTCTGAAGACTATATACTGCCGACAGGTCTAAATACAGCGTCTGAAACACTAAATACTGCTTTCTAAAGACTAAAATTGCTTTGTGGAGACTAAATACTGCTTTCTGAAGACTAGGTACTGCTCTGGAAGATTAAATACTGCTTTCTGAAGACTAGATACTGCCAACAGGTCTAAATACAGCATCTGGAACACTAAATACTGCTTTCTAAAGACTAAAATTGCTTTGTGGAGACTAAATACTGCTTTCTGAAGACTAGATACTGC